TATCGCAACAGTGGCAACAGTCCGGAACACACTCAGGTTCGGCTTTTGCTCGCTACACTCCGGTACCTCACAATGGATCCTTATGACGAATCTATGCACAACCGAATATTGTCAATCCAGCAAATGTAGCGCACACAGCGCATAGTACATCGCAACGAGTGGCAACAGTACCGAACACACTCAGGTTCGGACTTTGCTCGCTTCACTGCGGTACCTCGACATGGATCCTATGACGAATACATGCACAACCGAATATTTTATCAATCCAGCAAATGTAGTCGGCTACACACCGTATAGTTACATCGGCAACAGTGGCAACAGTACCCGAACCACTCAGGTTCGGCTTTGCTCGCTACACTCCGTACAAGTACCTTAATTGGATCCTTATGACGAATACATGCACAACCGAAGATTGTCAATCCTATTGATCTATAAGGTGTCTATCTAATGAAAGGAGTGGTCTATTGGTCGGCAATCGATGATCTATTATCTTACGAGTTATCTATCTATCTTTATCGTACGAAAGAAGCAAGTCGTTCGCCCGAGGAATTGTGCATACAGGAAAGTGAGTACCGACACATGAATCACCACCAAAAAACTTGGAAATAGCACTGGAGGGATGAATCCAGTAGTAGATCCACTCTCTTGTGTGCATACGAGTTGTCGTGTAGTCTCTCCTCCTTCTGTTGCCATTCAATGACTCGACGACGATCTCCTCCGTTCAGGCTGTTGGTAGGGCTGGAGTAACAGTTTCCTCCGTACACAACCTCCGTAGCGGTAGCCTCTCTCTTGTTATCCGGAGCGATCGATCGACCGGAAGGACTCGACAATGGCAATTCACCGCCGTCAGCAGTTGCAGCAGAGAAAACAAACAAATAGATATGATTTTGTTTTCTGTGCTTACTGCAGACAGACCGGAGACTTACCTTGTTTTTCAAATTGCACCAACTTGGCCCGTCATGGGCCGAGAACTGATTGCGAACCCAAACTGGTACAATTTCAATGGGGATGGCTTTCCAATCTGCACCGGAGACGGTTGGCTTGAATGGGCTTGATAGCAGAGGTACCGGTACGATCGATCCACTCGAAAAAAGCCAACTCACCTGTTGACGGCCAGAACTGACTGCATCCCATAGTCCATAGAATTCAATGAGGGATGGCTTTCAATCTACACCTTCAATATCCATCTTGATAATAGGCTTACCTCGTACCTTACCAGTCGTTCGATCGTTCCAACACCATTCTTGTTGGCCAAGCTTGGATTCTCTCCTGTTTGCCATAGAATTCCATGAGGGAGAGAAGTCAGTGCTGCGCCTTCAATGATGGACTTGATGATTAATCGAGGGACGCATGCACCGTAGAGGTGCAATTGGATGGATTCGATTCGTTCCTCAGTTCTTTCGTAAATCCTTAACCTTAGTAACTTCAAGGTTCCTGTATCCACGAATCGATCTATTTATCGAACGAGAACCTGTTACTTATGGATACACATGACCGTTGATTCTGCAACTGAAGTGCCGCTACTCTAATTTACACAGTAAACGCCGGCAAATCGATTTCGGAGTGCAACCAAAAGGAGCGCGGTCTCAGGAGACGGAACAGGAAATACAAAGGGGTACTCGCTAGATGCCAAACGTGCCAGGAAAAAACCATGCAGTGAATTCACTACAATCATCAATTCCCTTATCAACATTCCTTAACGCTTCGAAACATTCTCTAAGCCTTCATAAACCCATAGAACATTCCTTAAAATAAACATTCTAAAAATTAAAACATTCCTTAAACTAACATCCTTAATTGCTTCAACATCCTTAACATTCCTTAACAAACCATTGAGCAGTTTTAACCTGAGCAAAAACCGTGGACGGTCCAGGTAAAAAGCCAAACCAAGAGGCTGCGTTGGCGCGCAGTTTACCATTACCTGTCCGCGCCTTTTGTCTAGCCAATAATTAAAAGATTAATTCAGTCGTACTTTAAATAAATCCGAAAACAAGGTTTTCGCGCGAAAAGACGTTGTCTTTCCTTTGCTCACAAATTCAATCGAAACCGTCACTCTTCCAAGCTGAAGCTACCCAAACGACACTACCGGTATCATCATTGTGTTATCTCTGTCCTGGTGTAATCAGCCAGACTTCATTAGACAAAGTGAGTTTCCTGGTAACTTCCTCGAAGTACCTGTGGGACACCGTGGCGGCTGGAATATCAGGGCTGCTTATGAATGGCCGAGTCCCTTCGTCTTCCAATGAGGGCCTTGGCAATACAACAACGAATCATGATCACTTGGAACTCGTACAAAGAATACCTTCCGCAATATCCAAAGCACCACATGATAAGACAAGAAATGAAACTTCAGTCATGGAGTTGGCGACCTCGTCCACTTCGTTGAGAGCCTCCAATCGACACATAAAGCGACAACGAACGAGTAGTCGGGAGAAACATCAAACTGTGTCCTCAACAGGCCAATCAACGAGTACCGACAAGAGGCCAGAGAAACAGGGATCAGTTCTTATGGATATATCTGCATCAGCATTGAAGAGAAACCAGAAGGAGCCTTCTGTTGCTCCATTTAAAACAAACAAGTCCAAATCAATGCTGTCGGCAACGTCCTTGCCGGATCAAACTCAGCTAAAGCATAACCAACAACATCAGAGATCAAGACAGAAAACAACTAGTGAAAAGGGTGTTGGAGGCGTACTCACAGCTATTGACGAGATTGATAATGGCCAAAAGATACGAAAAACTAAGGAATCTAGTGTGCCACAGGTTGAAGGAGCCAACAATGCCAAGAAGAGGGAATCTGTCGGGGGAATCCTTTCTACTGCTATACCTAAACCAGGTGAAAAGCTTCAGCAATCTACAAAACAGAGGCTCGAGAAAAAGGTTTCGGGGAAAGGGAAATATCTTCGCAATGACAAGGGGTACTCCCATGCAAAGATCAACCAGTCTCAAGTTATCAAGCAATCGACAAGAGTTGAAGGCACAGGGGACGAAACATTGCATTCGAACCGAACAAGATCGAGAAAGATCCAGGAACAGAACAAAGGGACCAATAGCACGAATCCTACCGGTCTGATGGCGTTTGCTGGTTCTTTGGCTGCCTCTTCTGAACCATCGGATCCGCCGCGGAAAACCAACCCGGACTCATTGAAATCAACATCCGACACAAAGACGGATATTGCTATTCCTGCAAGCACCCAAAGGACAGTGGCGAGTTCAACAAAAGCTCAAGGGACGTCCGTGATGGTCCCTTTTAGTTTGAAGTCTGCAACCAATATCAGTATCGTGACGAAGCCAAAAAAGTACAATGATACCGTTAGTGGCAATTCTCAACATCGAACGGGATCAAAAGGCACTGGCGCCCAATACAACACATGCTCGCTCGCAGCTCTCCCTCCTCCTCCACAACAATCCGCTGCTGCCTCTCGAAAGCTCCGAAATCATTCATCGAAGACGCCGCCACGTCGAGCCAAGAAGGGCGACAATCCAAAATCTCAAGTCGTTGCAAAAGTTGACGAAGACAAGTCAGCTAAATCAGACCATCCTTCTCAAAACAAAAGTCTCAAAGTAGCATCCAATGGCCCCGAAGAAAGGAAGAACAAAGTTAAGAGCACTAGACACCCTGCTCGTCATCAAGCTCAGCGGCACCCAGCTAGAGACACAAAGAAGACGTCGCATGAGAGTATATTATCCGAACTGTCCGACGGAAAGGATGAACCAAAAGCGGCATTGCCAAAGCTGAAAAGGCCTGTTCAGATCATTGAACTGAGCAGCGATTCGAGCAGTGATGATGAGGATCTAAAGCAACCAATGGGAAGGAAGCCAAAAGCAGTGATCGAGCTAAGTAGTGATTCGAGTGACAGTGATGAGATGTCCAGGCCCATGTCCAGGCCGAAAGCTTCATCTCATCGCAGTCGTCGTCTCCGCCAACCGCCAGAGCGCTTCGCCGATCAATATCACCATCCCAAGGACGAAAGTAAACGCTTAGTTCACAGAGACGATCAAGACCTAGGAAAACTCGACAAGAAAGTTGAACAGCTTGTAGACGTGGAGCTTGGCGGCATCCTCGGAATCCCTTTCGCTGAACGCACTAGCATGAGACGCGGTCGAAGAAGTAGCGACCGCAAGAGCATTAAACCTGCGCGCTTCGGGGGAGAAGTCAATAGCGAGGAGACAAACGAGGCAGAAAAAGCTAGTTCCCCATCCAGACCAAATCAACCGAAGCAACAATTGACTCGAAAGCGCCGACGATCGAAGCGCAAACCAGACGCCGTCATTGGCAATAATGAAAGTCTGAGTCTACGGCCCCGCAGACGCAGCAAGCGATGTAAGAGCGGGGAAGAAAGTGAAGTCGATCCTATCTCCGTGGACGAGGATACTGGTACCTTTGATGAAGATGTAGATGATACCTCATCCGGCGAAACAGAAGATCCATTGTCAATCGCTGAGTCGAAACAAATTGACTTCAACCATGTCTCTGCTTCGCTTCGAGATGCTTGTTCCACAAAACGTCCAATGAAAGTTTGCTACGACCAGGTTGAACTCGTAGAAAACAACGACGTTCTGGTGGATGGTTGTTGGGGGAAAGCAGCTGTCTTCGCCCCGATTCGGGATCAATGTACCTTCGATGGACCCGTTGGCAACAACTCGACGGCGAGGCCGCTGCGGAGTGTGACAGCCGTGGACAAAGGAGTTTGCTGCTATGACGAGCTCGAGGTCGCTTGTGGCAAGTCATACATTCGAATGTTGGCAAACCTACCGCCTGTCATCACACGGCTGGAAGAACAAGAGCAGTCTAAGACCGTACCTCGTCAAAAGAACAAACTGATCAGTGCAGCTGATCCTGTCCATCAAGCGCAGCTTTTGGCAGTAGGCCTTCGGAAACGAGATCACCGCCGACGGGCACCTCAAAACCCTCCCAAGGACGATCAACCAGAAGCCGAGATTGTTTGGAGCTCAAACGATTTGGCAATGCTGAAGCAAGCATATAAGCAAGCCAATGCCAAGTCACCTTCGTTTTGGGATGACGTCGCTTCGATGGTAGAAGGCAAGACGGCATCCAGCTGCAGAGAGAAGTGGTTTTCTTTGGCCAATACTCCACCGCGGAAGACAGTTGCAGCAAGGAAGTGTATCGTATCCTCTTCTCCCGTATCTGCCGAAGACGAGGACGATCTTTTCAATTCAACGCCATTAAGAGGTTCCTTGACGACAGGCGACAATCCCGAAAGCAGCTCAGAAAAAAAGGACAAGACGACTGCAATCAGGGGTTTTCCTTCTTTCAACATCGGGAGCCCGCTCAAGTTTGAAAAGAAGGTGTTATCGCTTCCTTCTCTGTCTGACGACGAGGATGATCTATCCATGGTCGATTTCCGTTTCAAGCCTGGTTACAAAACGTACATCCGCGACATGAAGAAGAAAGTCCGGCAATCGCAGCAGCAACGCCAAAAGCCAAAAGGGAAGTCCAAGAAAAACTCACAGATGGTTTCGGAACGATTTGCTGATGGTGATGTTGAGATGAGGGGGGACCTTTCGCCAGGAGGGACTTTGAGGGTGAAGAGTGTCTTCTCTGACGTCGAGGACGATACTTTCTTTGACGGAAGTGATGATGAAGAGGATGAATCCATGTGAAGAGAAGCTAAAAACATAGGAATGGGTTGGGGTTTCTGTACATTTCTTCATAACTAATCCACATCTTAGCCAGCTATGCATATCCATCATGTACTGTTTCCATCAGATTAGGAGATCACTTCTGAAGAACATGACGAAAACACACCAGCTAAAACTTTGATTGTATCCCTTCATCGCATCATTGCTGCTTACTGGAAGCCACTGCATCCGGGTTGCTTTTTAACCACTTGGGAGAGTATTCGATTTTGACTTCCTGGCTGATCATTTCTGCCAATGCAATATCATTTTTTGTGATTCCTTTCACCTTGTGAGTATATATGTCAATCTGAACATCTCTATAGTTGGTCAAATGGAAATCAGGATGGTGCTGTTCCCGTTCTGCAATGGCCCCCATGTCATTCAATGCATCCATGGCGGCTTTGAAATTCTTGGCGGTGAATCGGTGGCACAAAAAGGGAACATCATTTGGTTCCATCGTTTCGTGTTTCCACAATGCCAGAGACGGCTTGGATTGCAACTCCTGGTCCACCTGTTCCCGGGACAAGAGGGCCGAGGTATCCAGGGAGTGACAAGGCTCGCATTTCTTATTGGGTGCAGCGCATTGCATAATGACAGCAATTCGTCTTGTCGTCGTGGCCAAGTCGGTTCTTGCGAGTAGTAACTGGAAAGCAATGGGTGTAATAATAAACCCCCGGACTTGCAAGGACGATAGAGCCCAACACAACCAAAACAGTAGCAAGTGGGAACAATGGCGTTGTGGAAAAGGCATGCTTGATGCTGGACGTTTGTTGTTGTGATTGTGGTGAAAGATCCGTCCCTGCTTTTGGCGATTGCTTTACACAGCTCTGCTGGCCAATTTGAGGACGGCAGCAAGTTTGATGCAAACATGCAGCCCAGCTCCACGCAAGAAGCAAGAAAGAAGACGAGCGAAACGATGGATCTGTTCCAAGAGAGACAAAACCCACCTCAAGCAGACCCCTATTTATTCGTTGGGAGCACCCCTTTCTGGAGATCAACGTTAACGTCTACCGACAACAGGCAAGACCGAAGCAAAATCAATCGCAAAAGACGCAACAACCACAATGGTGAAGCCATCCAAGACTATGCAACCGGAGGCGGTGGACCTCAAGAAGGCGGGACGTGCCGCTGGCAAAGCGTTTGAAGAAGACAGTTTTCGAAACTACATGGCACGAAAGATTGACTTACAGAGGAAACAATTCGGTCTGAATTTGCCACCGGATCCTCGATTGGCGTTGGCCAAGCAACAAGCAAGTAGTGCTAGTGAGGCTCCAACGGCGACTACTACATGTACATTTACTCACGGTAGCAAGAATGTCAGCCAGCAGCAGACACCGCCACGGACAAAGGACGCGATTTCTTCTCCTAGGAATTCCAGTTCCAATGGTGCTACCGGTACATCCAGTAGTGCCAGTCGAAAGAGAAAACACCAGCATGTCACCTTTGCTGCAACTGTCAAGGACAACACTCCCAAACGGAAAAAAAGTAAAAAATCCAAGAAAAATCAGCAAGGACCCATTGCTCATCTACTGAAAAAGCTAAAAAGACGACATGGACGAGGATTTCGGCCCAAGACAAAATCTACCACACAACCACAAACGTCACAAATACATGTACCACCAGAGTCAACACCCACAGAAGAAATGAAAGAGGTGACAATGCTGGTGGATGAGACTACATGTAGTCAATCCGCCACGAGTACAACAGATTTCACAAGAAACGACAGTAACAGGACCTTGGAACTGGAAAGCCAAGTGGATCATGCAGCCATGACGAATTGCCATGGTGAACACGGTGACAAGAATCAAGATGAGGTGGCTCGGAATGAAGATGAGGCGGTTCAAAAGCAACCCCCTGACGAGGACTCTGCCCCAACACCTATCGATGAAAGTGACAATCAGCTTCCCAATAGTACAGAAGCAAGCACTGCAGTGATGGACGAAAAGGACAGTCAGCATCCCAATAGTACAGAAGCAAGCACTTCAGTGATGGATGAAAAGGACAGTGATAGTGATTGTGAAGACGCCATGAACGCCAATAACGAAAACGCCATCAGTCCCCAACAAAGAAGTCCTCGACTACTCCGTGATCGCCCGGATCTGTTCTTTTATGGTGTCGTCGTCCAAGTCAATGGATACACCGACCCCGACACTGAGACTCTCCAACGGCTCTTGCTCAAACACGGTGGGGCACTGGAAAAGTACGAAACCACGCTGGTGACACACGTTATTGCCGAACACTTGTCCAAGGCAAAGGCAGACATTTACAAACGAATGAGACGGCCCCTTCCGGTCGTCAAACCTGCATGGATAGTGGATTGTGTCGAGGCATTCAAGTTGCTTCCTCATGGTGATTACTTGATTGACGAAGTCAAAGACAATACCGTGCAAAGTGTAAAGGCATTCTTTCAACCAAAGCCGCAAGAACGAGTTATTGAACGAGAAAACAACAACAACCAAGGGAGTTTGTCAGCCGTCGTCAAGAATGGCAACCATGGATGTGAGTCACCCGCCAAACCGGAAACCAGCGAAGACAAAAGTATGACAGCCGGGAACGCTGACAGTAGTCTGGGTCAACTTGAAGCCAGAGATACATATGAGCAAATGGAAACCGAAGAATCGGCCCAGCAAGAGCACCAATTTGAAGACAAACCTATCAAACCAAAGGCAGCGCCAACAACCCCACCAAAGCAAGGAAAGACAGACGACAAGTACATTAATGGTCGGCTACGCACTACGGGAACCGATCCCAACTTTCTTGACACTTTCTTCGCCAATTCTCGGTTGAGTTTTATCGGAAGCTATAAGCAAAGGGTTCAAGCTTCTCCCAAAAAGCAGCAATCGGAGAATCAAGATGTTGGTCCCACCCGACGGTTTGTATTCCATGCGGATATGGATTGTTTCTTTGCTGCTGTCGTCTTACGGGACTACCCACAATACAAAAACAAACCCGTTGCCATTTCACATTTCGGAAAGACTGGACAGTCAGGAGATTACCAGCATCAGCCCATGAAGAATTCCTCCAGCGAGTGCGCCACTTGCAATTACGAGGCAAGAAAGTATGGGATCAAAAAGGGCATGTTTCTCGGACGGGCCAAGCAACTTTGTCCCAACCTTGTGGTCCTGCCGTATGATTTCGAAGGTTATCAGACAGTGTCTGCTCAGGTCGCCGTGATTCTTCAACGATATGCATCAGAGTACAACGGAGAGGTGGAGGCTGTGTCGTGTGATGAATCCTATGTGCAACTCGAAATCCCCAGTGACGGCTGTGACCCGCACTGTCTTGCCGGTGACATTGCCAATGCGATTCGTGAAGAGATCTTGATGACCACGAAATGCACAGCCACCATTGGTGTTGGAGCTAACAAGTTCTTGTCCAAATTGGCTACTGATCGAGTGAAACCCAATGGTTGCTTTGTGGTGCGCAATCATGTGGCATTGCTGAGGAATCTCAAATTGAAGGACTTGCACGGCATTGGTTACAGGACAGGTCCCAAGCTCGAAGAAGCGGGCTTGGTATCGGTCCAAGATGTCTGGGATCTTGGGGATCGTGTCGATTCGGAGCTAAGCCGTATCCTTGGACAAGGTCTTGGGAAGAAGATTGGTGCATTTTGCCGGGGCGAGGACGACCGACCGGTGGCCGCTCCGGAGAGGAAGACCATTGGTGCCGAGGTAAGTCAACAAGGACACGAAATCAAGCACCCGTCATCCCTGGCGCACTCACCATTGCATGTTTGGCTGATTCCATGGTACAGTGCAACTACGGCGTTCGTTTCGACGGTCCGTACGGGGTCGACCACTTGATTGCTGGACTTGCCAAGGAGGTTCAGAAACGAATGGAAGGCGTAGGAGTTCGAGGAACTCGCGTAACGCTCAAGGTCAAAAAGCGAAAAGCCAATGCCAAAGAACCTCCCAAGTTTTTGGGCCATGGCTCGTGTCATAGCTTGAGTAAGAGTCTAGAGACAAGTGCAGGGTTCACGCGCGATTGGAAGGTTTTCTTCGAGGCTGGCATGACCCTCCTCGGGGAGCTTGGCCTCAAATCCGATACGAGTCAAATAAGAGGCATGGGGTTGATTATCTCGAAGCTTGACAACGAAGAAGAGGATGCGGCGAAGAATGACGGCACAAACCCAAGCATCAAGAATTTCTTCACCTCCAAAGCATCAACTGAGAAGCACGCATGCGGTGACAGTCATGATATGAAAGGGAACGACGCCGACTTGACGTCAGAAAAGGAGATCCAAGAGACTGAAGACACGAGACTGGAAACCTATTGCGAGGACCTCGAGGATGACGACTTCCCCAACAATTTCCCCTCTCGAAGTGACGACGAAGAAGGGAACAATCAGCTACATGAGAACCCGGGAGAAGCAGAGGCGAGTGGAGGGATCGGGGTGATATCCTTTGGTTCAGAAAGCGAAGAAGGCGCTCGTGACGATGGTGCCGTGGACGTTGAGCATCAGCAAGGGGCTGCAACGTTTTCCGATGTCGCCTTGCCGCCAGCAAGTCAGATTCACATGTCCCAAGTCGAGTGTTTGCCGAGTCCACTCAAGAAGGAAATCCAATCTCACCTCGATAGGAACAAGAGCAAGGAGGAGACCAGACAACCGGCCAAGAGCAAGAAGCAGAAGCAGATACAAAGCACTGGACGCTTTCGTCAAGTCGATCTAAAGCGAATGTTTCGTTTACAAAATGTCAGGAACAGTGAAGACTTTAGCGAACTGAAGCATCTCCCGTTAGATGTGCAGTTGCAGATTGCCAACAACGACGAACGTCCTCTGGGGGCGCTTTCTTCTTTCAAAGGGAACGCCAAGTCGACGACATCATCTTCACGGCGAACCACCACGAGACCCAAAGAGACGTCGGCTTCGTTGCCGATTGCAGCAGGACGAAAGGACCCCGCTTGGTCGGAGCCGGAGCCTGGCGAGGCCACAGCGCGAACAGAGTCATTCGACGACCACGAGGCGTCAACCGAAGAAGCACGCGTGGAAGGAAGTGGCACCGAACACGACGGTCAAGACGATTCACCAACAACAGAGGAAAGCCAGGACACGGGTAGTTGGTTCCATGACAACATCTTGCCACTGAAGATGTTCATGGATGAGAATTCAGCAGGAAACAGTGAAGCACTTGACCAAGTCGTTGACTTTCTCTGCATTTGTGTCAAGGAGGGTCGATTGCAGGATGCAATTCTCCTTCTGAGGAACATCCGTAACAGGCGTGACAGCTGGTGCAAGACATTCGGACACTTCTTCATGACAGTCGATGACATGTGCGAGCAAGTCGAAGGTTATCGCCTCGACGGCCGTGGTCTGGGCTTTGTTTGATGTTGTTTTACACACTACAGCTGGACGTAGTATACGATGCATTATGGTTATTATTAACATGCTATCAACAAGGTTTTGCTACCTATCAACAAGGTTTTGCTTCCTTTGAACAACTCTTGAAACTGTGGCGTGGGAAGTCTAGTAGCTGCTGAGTCTAGCTAGTAGTTGTTCGACGGTGTCAACATACTTTTCCCCAGTTCGTAGCACTTTCGTAGGCGTGAAGAAGGGAAACAAACAATGTTGTTTAGGAACAGAATGGCAACTTTCTACAAACAAATCCAATCAAGCTGCACCAGCTTACCATGATCATAATGGCACAGGAGGGGGCCACTTTGATCATTCTAGTTTGGTTTCCTCTCCACAAGCCATTGACCCCTTCCATCTCGTAAATAGCACGGAGGTCCGACCAGATGGTTCGTCCTGAAACCTCTGCGGGAGCCGCTCTGTACACTACATGTCCATCATGCTTGCAGGCAGCAAGCTCGGCAGGTGCCTCGACGGCGGTGGTTGTGAGAATTGCGCTTTGTTGTCGTGTCTTGACCACATCAAACGGCTGCAATGTCCATCAAACAGTATAACGTGAGGAGACCACAACAAACAACTTCAGCAGCAGTGTGTGTGAATTGAAAAATGTAGGTAACTAACCGTAGTACAAGCAGCGGCAACCATTCCTGCCGAAGCCCCACTCAAGAAGGAGATTCCTGCTTGCTGCACGGCACTTGGCCTGCCCTTCCCGTCGATCAATTGCGCTGTGTAGAAAGCTCGAAACTGTTCCAGACTGACCCAGTAGATTCCACTAAATGGTACATCCCTCCACAAGGTCGGACCGAGTCCCTTGTAGAGTGCTCCACATCCTTCTTGTCGTACAATCTGTCGCAATTCTGCCAGGATCCCGCCATTGGAAGCAACGTCTTGTCCAGCTCCTACTCGACTGGCTTGTCGTGTGCGTACCAATTCCAAGGGTGCCGTCAGCAGAGTCGTTCCCAGCCGAGCCGACGACCCGGCCCAAAAGGGAATCCAGGCACTGGTCAAATGATAGTTGTTGCGTGCATGTGCCAAAATTTCGTCGTAGACCGTGTAATAAAATACAGTACTGGGAACGCCCATGACAAGTGTGGGTGCCAGACCGGCATATATTCCTTGATATCCTTCCTTGAGGAAAATACTACGAATCATGGCAAAGGTTCCTTGGCTGCTGCTGCTCCCAGTGGTAGTAGTGGCAGTGATGATTGCAGGTTTTGACTTGGTTGCAGCACTCTTCGTCGTGTCGAGACACTTGAGATTCCCCCGTTCATCAAAGTAGGGCACGGCACACTTGGGCAATATGCTATCGCAGAGGCCATTATTCAACACAAAGGTTCCGCATCCCTTGGGACAGAGGGATACATTTTGGGGTATTATCGGCGATGGCGGGGTAGGATTGGTGGGTTTGGCATTTTGCAAATGAACCTTGACTACTTCCAACGGGGTAACGCAGAGGGCCGTCACGACGGAACCGATGGAGCCAGAAATGATTCGTGTGCTCACGGCGGCTTGCTCCGATGACGACGTTGATGGACTTGCAGCAAGAAGGGGTGGTGATTGGGGCTTGTTCTGGTTACTACCTCCTTTCTCGTTGGGTGAAGAAGTCGCCATGGTACGGGATAATGAATACTGCAAGAGGATACTCTAGACTGATCTTCCTCCTGCTCTTCCGCCTGGTTGACTTGGTCTCCTTCTTCCTTTTGTGTGATTGCATCCGCTTGATGACACTCATTCCTTCATTCCTTCAGCAGTCAGCAGGTTTCGCTTTCCTTCTTCGAACATTCAGAGCTCCGTGGATCGATCTGTTCTGGTGGTCAGCGAGGCGCGTGGTGGGAATGAGGTATTCGGCTTTTTTTCAGCGTTGGTCTCCTGTTTCCTCAGTTGCTTGCTGCTTGGATCCATATGATTCCATACCGGTATGACGAATACATGCAATCCAGCCATTGTAGCCAACTACGGTACCGTAGACAGAGAGTTACATCGATCCGTGACAGTGTCAACAGTACCGAACACACTCAGGTTCCGCTTTGCTGGCTACACTCCGTTGCCGGTATCTTGCATTGGATCCTTATGACGAATACATGCACAACCGAACATTATGAATCCACCCATTGTAGCCGGCTGTGGATAGCTACATCGACGACAGTGGCAACAGTACCGACAGTTCGGCTTTGCTCGCTACGTTACCGGTATCTGCATTGGATCCTTATGCGAATACATGCACAACCGAATATTGTAATCAGCCATTGTAGCCGGCTACCGTACAGTTACATCGCGACAGTATCAACAGTACCGAACACATCAGGTTCCGCTTTGCTGGCTACCTCCGTTGCCGTATCTTGCATTGGATCCTTATGACGAATACAATGCCAACCGAACATTATGAATATTGTCAATCCAGCCTCCACAAGCACTGTTCCCACGGGAAAATGGGTACCAGCACAGGAATCACCACCAAAACACTATGAAATAACACTGGAGGGGTGAATCCAGTAGTAGGATCCACTCTCTTGTGTGTTGTCACGTAGCCTCCTCATGTTGCCATTCAATGACTCGACGATCCGTTCAGACTGTTGGTAGCTAGGGCTGGAGTTAACAGAGCCTCCTCCGTAGCGGTAGCGTCTCCTCTTGCTGTTATCCAGAGCGATCGATCGTCGACAATGGTAATTCATCGGCCGTCAGCAGTGCAGCAGAGAAAACAACAAATAGATATGAGTTTTGTTTTCTGTGCTCAACTGCAGACGACCGGAGACTTACCATTGTTTTTCAAATTCCACCAACTTGGCCGTCATGGGCCGAGAACTGACTGCCATCCCATGGTCCATAGGATTCAATGAGGGATGGCTTTCGCATCTGCACCGGAGAAGGACGGTTTGAATGAGGCTTGGATAATAGAGATAATAGAGGTGCGATCGATCGATTCGAATAATTAAAACAACTCACCTGTTGACGGCCGAGCTCGGAATTCTCTCCTGTTTGCCATAGAAATTCAATGAGGGAGAGAAGTCAGCGCTGTACCTTCAATAACACTCTTGATAATAGATTCGATTGAATCGAATCGATCGATCAGCCGATTGGAAAAAGCACGCACCATTGTTGTCGGCCAAGCTTGGATTTACCTCCTGTTTACCATACGAATTCAATGAGGGAGAGAAGTCAGTGCTGCGCCTTCAATAATGGACTTTCGGAGCGTTCGTTCCTCGATTCTTTCGTAAATCCTTAACCTTAGTAACTTCAACGGTTCCTTTATCCACGAATGGATCTATTTTTATCGAACGAGAACCTGTTACTTATGGATACACATGACCGTTGATTCTGCAACTGAAGTGCGGGTACTCTAATTTACACAGTAAACGCGGGCAAATCAATTTTGGAGTGCAACTGAGGGGGAAACCAAAAGGAGCGTGGTCTGGGAGACCAAATACTTAACGCTAACCCTACCAAAATCATTCAGATCTATCTTTTGTGTCTGTGACCCCGCTCCCGCGATCCTTTCAGATCCTTTTCTCTCGTGTCTGTTGGTTGTAGACAAGCATACACTGAGTGACAGTCGACACCTTGACATCCCACACTGTCACATCCTTCCCAATAACAGTGACTAGCAAGAGTACTCAAGATGCCCAAGCCCACCAATCGGAGCCCAAAGGCGGGGGTCAAGTCTCCCTCGGCGGCCGTGGCATCGTCGGCGACACCCTTGTCCCGATCCAGTAATGCGTCTCAAATCTTTTTGGCCGCCGTCTTTGTGTCTTCCTTGTTTTCGCTGGGGCTCAACATTTATCTCTCCACCAAATTGGCATTGATTGGTGAAACAAACAATCTACAAAACAACATGAAACAAGCCTTTATTCAGTCGCCAAGACACAAACCAGGCGACCATCAAATATTGACGGCTGCCGAAGCGCACGCTGGAGGGTTACCGGACGACTTTGCGTCGAAACTCAAAGCAGCATTTGCCGCCAAGGCCAAGAAAAAGTTGGATCTTCCTTCGGATCAACAGGGCAAACGAGGACTGGACACCGGACACGATTTGGCCGGATTGAAGTGTGATGCCTACGGGGGACCGTCCACCGATGTGGCACAAGAAATGGTCTATTGGGAAGATATTCCATCCGATGCCAGTTTCGTCAGTCCCTTTAAACGAAAAGATAAAACACAGTACTTGACATTTGAACCAGATGATGGAGGATGGAACAACATACGAATGAACATGGAAACGGTCTTGGCACTGGCATTTGCCATGGGAAGAACCTTGGTATTGCCACCGGAAAAAGAATTCTACTTGTTGTCCAAAACAAAAGCAGAACATGGAGGAGAACAAAAGAAAACATTCTCCTTCTCACATTTCTTTCACATGGAATCCATACACAATGAACATGTTGGAATCGATATCATCACAATGACACACTATCTGGAATCAGTGGCCATGAAGGGCGGAATGGTCGATCGATACCATGGCGGCAAAGTCAGATTTCCACCCAACAATCGCACCAATTGGGATGGTGCCACTGAGAAGGAACTCAAGTACCTCTATGCGTACCTCCGAGAAACCAGTCACACTGTTGTTTGGACACCAGAAGAATGCTTGGCAGCCTTTCCAAAATCACACAAAAAGGACGATGAATGGCAATTACACCAGATGGTAAAGAACATGCTGGAGGAAGACGGAGTACCTCATTGGGAAAAGTATGTGGGACACCCTACTCCGGTAGATGGAGACACACTCTCGCGACTCAAGGAAAATTGGGCGCAACGAAAAAAGCTGTGCATCTATAATGGCATTGTGCAACAACAAAGTTCGGTACATTTTCCAACAGATGAGAAGTTGAATGCACGACTTCTCGTCCATTTCTATGGTAAGTTGGTTCTTTCAGAAAATTTCTGAATTGCTGGAACACCAAAACTAATACATTTCTGCATGCATATCCAGCATTCCTTTTCTTTCAAGATTGGAGGCATGATCTATGGATGAAACGCTTCATTCGCGATCATGTGCGCTATATCGATGAGATACAATGTGCTGCCGCCAGAGTTGTAGAAGCACTTCGAAAACGAGTGAGAGAGCGCAATGCTGAGAGTCACAAGGGTTATTTTCATACCTTTCATGTCCGACGGGGAGACTTTCAGTATAAGGCAACCCGGGTTGAAGCAGATGTAATGTATCGAATGGCAAAGAAGAATTTGCCGGAAGGAAGTACAGTCTACATTGCAACTGGTAAGACATTCGTGCATGCAGTTCGCAGCTTGCCAAATTTGCTCTCACCTTGACTGTATTGACCGTTGAAACTTGAACTGGCACGTGAAGACGAACGCAACTTAACTTTCTTCCAGCCGCTCATGAACCACTATGATGTTGTCTTTTTGGACGACTTTATTGGTGTCCTGGGCAAACAAGTAAACACAAATTATTACGGTATGATTGACCAACTTGTAGCATCCAGAGGAAAAGTCTTTTTCGGATGTTGGTTTTCGACGTTCACAGCATACATCAATCGGCTTCGAGGATACCATGCCGACAATCATCAAGAACCAGGATACAAAAATGGCATTGTCAACTCATATTACTATGCAATGGAGGATCGATATGATCACATGCAACAGTTCTATCCTGTGAAACAGGCTTTCTATGCAAGAGAATTTCCAGCAGCATGGAGACTCATTGATACAAGTGTGGGCGACCTTGGACTTGATCCACCCAAGCAATAAGGATAGTTGAGTTGACGATTTGGGATCACGCCACGACTTGCTCGAAGGAAAGTCGTCATCTTTTGAAATCTGGACAGGAACGTTGCAACACCCTTTGGCTCCACCATAGCTTTTACGGTTCGGTACGATTCGCGTATCGTCGTCGTTGTCGACGTCAACGTCCGCACCGAACGAATCACGCTTCCCAACCGGTCCCACGCATGAGCAGCACAAGCGCCATCGGTCACGGACAGGAATGCTACCAGTACAATACTACTCGTAGCTTGATTGCATCATTCTTCTTGCTAACAAGTAATAGTATCCAGCTGTCGAATTAGTATCATTCAAGGCCCCGAGGCAGCTCCTTGTTTGCGGCTTCGAATTTCGACGATCGAGAAGGGCAGGGCGCTTTACTTGAAAACTGTTCATTCTGCAAGTAAACCGTGAAGCCTTCATCGGCGCGGTGACAATGTGAGTACCCAATTTTCCACCTCTTTATCGGTTTCAGTTCATCCGCGAGAGAATCGACCGGGCCACCCGCGAGAAACTCCACTTGGCGCCCATGTTGTGCGGTCTCAACCACTTGCCACCGGATTCTCCATACAATCTTTCCCTGTAAGACCAGGTGTGATTCTAGCTCGATCAAAAGCTTGGAATGTAGTCGAGGATCCAATGATCCCAGAGGCTGGTCGAAGATGGAGACTTGCGTTTCGGTACGATGATGCATGCTCCACTCATCATAAAAAGGGCTGCAAGCCCGTCGTGGCACATCGAGAAACCACTCTCCTCGGCGATGCCAGAGCGACCGATCCACAGGAATGTTCTCGTCCTGGTCCACCGTGTTTCCTTCTTTGTCCCATTTTTGCCGCTTGATATATTGAATCCAATGGGCCTCTTTAGTAATGACAGAATCATGGCTCCGGAACGAAAGCTGAATGTAGCCCTTCCCATAACGGTTACTGTTGTAATCTTTCCAGGTCACGTCTTTCCAAGCTTCTACCCTTCCCAATGTTACTCGCTGATTGTTTTCTCGATCCATTATGATACCGCCCCCGTATTTTGGCAACGCCACCCCATGGAGGCGTTGGATCCCTCTTCTTTTCGACATGGCATCATCCTTGACGGCGGTGTCACAGTTGGTCGCACTTCTCCTGCGATCAGTCTTCTGAAATTCAATGGCACTTGACACCAAGAGGAAGGAAAAAGCTGGAACGAGACGATGGAGGTTCCGAGGATGGGACATGTTATAAAATAGGTATACCGGTATCAGTCTCTCACCGACCTGAGAACATCAAACTCTATCGTTGATGACAAGGTCGACGGGCACCACCGGATTGGGGATCTTGCGCTCGAGAAAAATGAGAGGAAACCCAGCAAAGCTGTTTTCTTTGGGGCAAAAGAACAGCACGAATGAGATCTAGCTAGCTAGGTTCTGCTGATTGCTGATAGCTGACTGTGATACCCCCATCATCACTTCTTGGAAGTCCGCATGGCATGGAAGTCAAAGCAAGGTCGTTGAAGATGACAAGCAATAGCGGAACTACTAGCACTGGCAAGAGTGTCATGTCTCCAGGGACCAGTGGGAACGACAGAAGGAACTGTAGTGTCGATGCCATTCTCTCCAACATATTCCGGTCTTTTCAATCCACTTCGGGCCTCCTACCTGGCTGTAGCAAGAAGGACTGTTCGATCAACTGGAACGCCATGTTTATACCCACTGCGGCTGCTGCTCCCAATCAGACTACGACAACAGATAAATCCTCTTTTTCTTGGTTGTCCTCGCTCGACTATGTCAAGTCCATCAGTATCGACATGGCTCTGCCACCACAGTCATCCACCACTACCAGCAATACCAGCAGTGCGACCACAACGGGTCCATCGTATTCTCAGGGAATGTACGAGCGATTTGGAAATTTCTCCGAAGTCTTGGCGGAAACGCGCATCGCATCCTCGATTACACAGCAACTCGAAGAAAGTTTGACGAGTTTCATGACAGATACCCTCCGAGTGACCACTACGGGAGTCTTTGTGGGAGCCGTCGTGGGAGCTGCCGTAGCTACCGGTGTCATGGTGGGAATGATGGCGGCGATGGGAGCCATGGCGAGTTCGGAGTATGTTCCTTGGATATACCGGAAACTATCCAGTCTGTTGTTGACTGCAAGACCACCCAGCAACTCACATGATTCACCATCACCCAAGCCACCAAAAGAGGCAAAAGAAAAGAAACCGGCATCCGATGAATCTTCGTCTGCCTCTTCGGATTCATCAGCAGTATTGATAGCATCATCCTCGACATCCACGGCAGTTGCCAATGGTCCTTTGGTTATTCTCCAAGGACATCCAGCATGTGCTGACACCACCACGACATCCGCCAAGGATCAATGTCTCTCTTGTCTGGAACAGCTTGCTGCCAATTTGAGAAACCAAAGCCTGGCATGGCAGGACATTTGTCGACTGACTGTATACCTGGTATCTGGGAAATGTGACGCCTCGACATTTCGTGCTGCCTTGCAACATCACCTCTCGTCATTGTTGTCCAACACAAGCAACCAAGAGCCTCTCGTCACTATACTGTTTGTACAACAACTGGAATCAGAGAATGCCGTGATACAAGTAGAAGCAATGGCTTCCAAAGGAAACAAAATAATAATATGAACAGGCAACACGTTCGCCAAGAACTTGACCATACTTGTGTTTTAAGGACCCATTAGTGTATTCTGTTGACAAGAAAGAGAAGGAGCATTCTAGTACATGTATTATTGGCTTCTGTGTATGACCTAAGAAACCACTCGTCTAGTCCAGCACTACATGTACTTGTTCTCGTCTAGTCTACCACTACTTGTTCTTTTGCAACAAGACTTGATGAAGCGTGGCCTGATTGTGTGGCCTTTGACTGTCAACCTTTCTGGTCACGGGAGATTCTCTCATCGTCAAGGACACTCTTCGGTCGGACAACAAATCTTGATGACGAATGCCATGAGAATAATCGTACCGTGCCTCTCCCGTCAATATCTGGAGGCAACGACGTTTCAGCAAGACTCTACTAGTAGTTGTGGTTGCATTCTTGTCTTTGCGTCGTTGTTTTTCATTGATAAAAGTCATGTAGCAATCCCCCGCCAGAGATAGATTGGCAATGGGCTCTTTGGAGAGCTGTCGATTGTCCACGTGGTTTCGCAGATAATGCCCTTTGGCACGACGATAGTCAATCGCATTGGCTTCGTTGGGGATCCAACCACGACGAGTCAAGTTGGCAAAGGTTCCTAGTCGGGGAATGATAATGTCGTCCATGAACCATGGCAAGGGATGGTCTTTGGGTGACGCTGTCACTTGACGAGATTTCAAATCGCAATGAACTCCCCAGCGCTTGCCATCATGCTGACCATTAAATGTGGACGGTTTCCAGGGCACAAAATCATGTCTTTGTGGATTGTCCAATGTTTCTAGAATTTGAGCTTCCTCTTCTTCTGTGATGAAATCTTCAAATAAAAGGAGACCTGGAACAGGCACCGAGGTAGGTTTCCGAGCAGGTACCAGTGGGGGTTTCTTGATAATGGGGGGTATTCGATGATTGTTGGCGGTAGCATCTCTTTTACTGTTGTTGGTGGCAACACTTTTATGGTTGATATCAGCTCTTTTTGTCACTGATGCGGATGGTATTACGCTCTTTCTTGTTGGATCGGGCTTTCCCTCGCATGTGGACGCATGTTTTTCCAGAGCGTGATGAGGAAATGACAGGTTGCATAGTGGACAGGATCCGAAGGCGCTGGCGTTGGTGGTTGGACGTTTTCGTTTGCGATTGCTCGACGGCACCACCGCTACTTTTTTCTGCGATGATGAGTTGCCCCCGAAGAACGAACGCACGTCGCGTTGTTGACCAGAAGTGCCGCCATTGCGGGGCATGGTCTTCAACAGATTGTGGAAGTAGGAAAGACGTTTCCGTGGATCTCTTGCCCTCAACAATTTTTTGTTTTGGGAAAGTAATTTTGTTTTCCTTCTTTTCTATCAGGAACGACCATACCACGATGACAGCACCGCTTCCCGTCTGCTCAGCGAAGTTAAGCATCGTCGGGCCAGGTTAGTACTACGGTGGGGGACCACGTTGGAATCCCTGGTGTTGTTCTTTTTGTTGAACCTGTTCATGTAGAGCGTACCCATAGGATGGATGTCCCCGGTTGTCTCCTTTTGAGCTGAGAAAATGGCACCTTGGGATGAGACGAACTAATGTTCCAATCTACTTTTGGAGACCACTTGCAATTGAAAATGGTTCCCTGGGCCTAATAAACATTTTACGAAAAGTGGCCACCGGAGGGTTCGGCAATCTTGGCCAGAGGAATGGTAGATTATTCTACCGGTGTAGTACAAACCCTCAACAACGAGATAGTGCATACCGGTAGCAGCTGCCAGGACTAACTTCCTATGGTATATGTGGCTTCTGCGCCAATCCCTATGGTTTCAATAGACTACTGGTACCGTACATGGTAATTGCTCTAGAGTTTACTGTACCACTACTGACAAGATCTCCCCCAACCCGTATATGAGAGGTCCCTAACAGTGTCGCCTTTGTGTCCAATTTCCCAATTTGTTTGTTGTTGAACACTATTGCAGCAACTCATGGATTTCGTACAAGGGCGACCAACCTACCCCGATGATTGAATCATTCAATTCAATCGACTGCGGGCAACAAATGACGTGTTGCTGTTTCTTTCCAAACAAAATCTGTTCCACTTCCTTTCACCACGGATCTGTTATTATAGAAGGGAAGCGGCTGAATCGAATCGATTCGATTCCATCATTCTAATAATAGTGCACCAGGAGCATCGCTGAAACCAGTCCTACGAACCAGCGGATTGTCAAAGTTTGAACAGCTGCTGCTGCACTATTGTCTTCGATCACTGGTGGACAGCATTGTTCTCCATAGAGCTTCTGGAACAAGCGACAGTCGGCGTTGGGTACATTGGCATCGAATTCCAATTCTCCGCAACTTTTAGAGGCATGCCGGGGAATGAATTTGAGTGGATCGGGCAGTGGTCGGTTATTGTCTCCGCCACAGATGCGACACATGTTGGCCGTCGCCTTGGGATTGTGGCATCCACAGTACTCGCCGACCGTGGCTTGATAGACATGACAGGGCACCGATTGGTCCCGCGATGCTTGTACCTGCGAGGAAGCACACGATATCGATGGAAATCCGGCCATTTGTCCCTGCTTCAAAAAGCCAGTTTCGCACAATCGACATTTTTGGGTCGTTTCAGAGAGAGAGGAAGCCGGTGCACACTGACACAAACCGGCTCCCCATCCTTGGAGGAAACTGCAGTTTTGAGGAGGCAATGCAATGAATCCCAAGGAATGAACGTGGCCACATGTCACATAGTCTCCTCCTCCACCATCAAACTTGGCATGCCGGTCCAACGGCTCCCAGGATGGATCATCTCCACAGAGGGAGCATTGCACAATGGCATTGGTGTCGGTTGCCGTGACGAGAGCATCCGTAGTAGTGCCATTGGAAGCGGCAGACACACCCACAGCAGAGATGCAGAGCACCCACGGCAACAGCAACAGCAACATTCCCTTGCGCTCCTTCATCAGCATCATTTGTTGTTGGATTTCTGTGAAATAGCTTGGTTCTTTTTTCTGTGGATTTGAATTTGGACTTTTCCGTTACTCGTAGGGTTTTGGGTTACGCTTTAGGTTTTGGAATCTTTTGAGGAGCTCGATCCTCATTTTTTCTCTCTCGTAAAGTATTTTTCTCGTTGGTGGTGAATACCGGTGCAATCTCTGTCTTTAGTTCATCTACTAGCTAGTATCTCTCTGTTAAGATAACATCATGGCCCAACCACTCTCTATTTCCACCGGTGACGACCACGACGAAACCCAGGCTCTTCAACAACAAGATGACGACGACACTACTAGCAATAATAACGAACCTTCTTTGGAGCAAAAGATTTTGGAAGTGGTCAAGAAATGTCCCAAGGACGAGTCACAACAATACTTGGTCAAACCAGCTCGCTTGTCGGCGGAACTCGGTCTGAGTGTCGAAGATGCCACGGCCGAACTGTGTGGACTACTCCAGGCGGTAGGTGGTGGTCACGATGGAGCCGAGTTTCGCTTTGAGACGACGAAAGATGACACGAATAGTAGTACTGGAGTCTCCACCATGGTCTTTACATTTCCACTCGATTTTGAACGGCGTGCCAAACGGAAAAGACGAAAGGAAGATTTCCAACAATGGCTGTGGGAGTGCTTTCTAGTATTCCTCAAGGGTCTCAAGATTGTTACAGCCTTTGGATTGATCCTGTCTCTCTGTATTTTGGTCATTGCCGCAATGATTGGAATTGTTGTGGCGATCGTGGCCATGTCGACCAACAATCAACGCGGAAATGGGGCTCATCGGCACATGTTATTTCGACAATTGAGAGCCATGTTCTACACCGTGCGACAATTGCTCTGGTGCTATGCACTCTTTGGACAAAGCGTGGAAGGACAGGATCCGTTCTTGGGAGAAATGGCATACGACATGTCTCTGCTGTTGAGTGTCTGTTGTGGCAGTCCAGGAAGCTTTTTCTGGTGGTTTCGAATGCAACAATTGAATCGAAGAAGGGAAATGCAACGACGAGGATGGAGACGAGGTTTGTGGAACCAAAGCAGTGGTGGACAATATGAAATGGAAAGTGATGTTTCGGGAGTGCGCCTGGTACGAGGAGGAGACTGGGCAAGACAGCAGCAACAATTACAACAACCAGTGCAACAAGGTTCTTCCGATGAACAGCGTGGTTTGCTCTCGATTGCAGTAGAATACTTGTTTGGTCCCACTCCGTTTGCACCCGGTCCGTCGGAAACCGAAAAGTGGAAACTGAGGGCAGCAGCCATTGTCCAGTTGGCCAGCAACCACCAAGGCGTCTCGCTGCAGCAACTAAGTCCCTACACGGACGAACCACCTTCGTCAGTGGATCAAGATGTGACCGCTCTGGTGGCGGGAGGGTTGCAGATTGTGACTCACTTTAATGGAGTGCCAGCCAAAACCACGACCGAAATGAAGCCTCACATGGCACAGTTTTCCTTTCCCGAACTCATGGGAGAAAGTCAATACGCAGCACGCTACGAAAACTTGGCAGACGACGAAGACGCCGATGACGAATCATGGGGGTCACTGCTCTGCGTGGGCGCCACTGGACTGGGGCGACCCTCACGACGTACGGGTGCGACAGCTTCGCCCGTACCGACACATCTCACGGAACGACGGTACAAGTTCACAAAGCTTCAGACCAACCAATTTGTGTATTGCGTATCTCTGGGTGCCCTCAACTTGGTCGGAGTCATTTGGCTCAAACAGTCTCTGGAGCCCAAAGGAATGCTTTTTATACCAGATGGAACTCTCATGGCAACAATCATCAAACATGGTCTCATGAAGGTCTTGTACTTTTATGCAATCCTGTTCTTTGTCCTGCCTGCGGCTAGACTGGCTTTGATTGCCCTGCTCAATGCCAGAATCAGGAAAAGAAACAGTCGACGCAAGGGCTTGGCTTCTTCTCTGAATGTCTCATCATCAGTACCGGCACAGGTATCCAGTCCGTTATGATGGATATATTCTCTACACTACATGTACTATAGGTTCACGTTCTTTCATTTTATTTTAGTAGAGCCTGCACTAGTAGATCGACTAGCCAGTACGCATCAATTGCTTTGACAAAATGTAAGTGTGGGTAACACGAAGAATAACACTCCTTCATGGGAGTCGAGTCATCTATGCCGAATCTTTGATCTTCTGTTGTGCTGTTGTTGATTCAATCATTCGGCGCCCGGAAGTTTATTGGTGGCCGGGTCTATGCAAGAGCGCTCGGACCCGCCTACAACCGGCATTTCTTCAGCAACCCTGGTACACCATCTCTTTTGTAGTCGTTCTGGGTCACCCAAAACTCTCGTTTCATGCCAATGGCGTCCCCAACAATGGAGGCGCCATGGAACAAAGAAAACTCTTCGTTCGCCAATTCGACAGAAATGTTTTCCACCTGCAAGGGGGTCCAGTTCTTCTCTTCGCGGAACCGTGGGTTCCATTGCTTCTCGTCCCGGAACTGAGTTCGAACTTCTGCTTGAAGTCGCTCCAACAACCCTGGAATGCGCGAGAGACCTCCCGACAAGATGATGCGAGAAACAATGTCCTTCACGCAGTCGAGAGGAATTGATGTAGCCACTAGCTCGACAATTGCATGACCAATCCCTTTCGCTTCGATCCCGAGAAGCGACGGGTTGAACATGCATTCCACAGTCTCAAATCGTTCCTTTTCAAGGTCGACTTCTGTGCCATCGAGGAGCTGAGTCTGCTCCAAGAGCAGCGACGTTTCCATGCTGCATCGTTTCTCTTCTGCATACGACGGAGCGGCATAGCAAAACGACTGCTTGGTGGGATCGGACACAATGAGGTCAAAGTCTCGCTTGGCGTTCAATGGATAACCCTGGTCGCCAAGGAGCTTGACAAGATGGCGGGTCATAACCCGTCCGCCAATTGGAATTCGACGGTTCGCGGCAACAATGGCGTGCCCATGATACACCGGCAACAAGCGAATTGATCCAGCACCTGCCTCGACGATGAGACCAGTCGTTTGGTGCCCTTGCACCATCAGAATAAGTGCTGCTTCTGGTTGCATTGTGACGGCTCGGAACTTCAGCTTTTCGAACAGGAGCTCCGACAACTTTTGAAGCTCGTCATTATTCATGTTGGCCGGACGAGGGAGGAACAGCTTCAAACTCGAGAACACACCAGCGTTTTCGTCGTCGCCAACAAGCTTGCGCAGCGCCCAAGTAAACAACTCTTCGAATCGACGCCACTCTTTCACAGTTCCAGCTGCATCGAAAACCAACTTGAGCTCGATTCTGTTTACTCCCGATTCTTCCAACGCTTCGGCTCCAAAATAGACAGTTTCCTTTGCACCACGATCGGATTTGCCGTAGAAGCAGGGCACTACTAGAGACGGAACATGGTCTCCTGCAAAACCAAGCTTGATAGAATGAGAGCCAACGTCGCAAACAATTACGTCCTTCATGGTCAAGAGACGAGAGTGAAACGAATTGTGGACGGAATGGGAGCAAAAAAAGAAACGGCCGCCCACGACTCGATTTCAAAAACGATCCCGTACCGAAAAGCACAGGGAACGTTTTCAAGGGGTATCCACCGTCAAATTGAGGGGCCAAAGCAGTACATGTATCAAAGCAATCTATCCATAACCAGGGTACAGTAGCTGTTGTCGGGAACGTGTTCAATAAAGGACAAGCCAAACCCCAGCCTGGACAGAATTCTATAATGTCTAAACTAACTTGTCTTCTTCTTGACAGCAAAAAACTGTGTGATGGGGGGTGTAGACTGCTTCTCCGGTGTTTTGCCTCTAGTGCGCTTTGTCGGCGTGCTACTAGTCGGCGTAATACTAGAAGTCTTTTGCCGCTTTGCAGCTTGGGCCACAGGCGAACCATGGGCGTTTTTCTTCTGTGTGGACAATGCGTTGGCACTCTCACTCTTCGGGGGTCTGATGAACTTTGCATCTGGAAGATTTGGTTCAGGCTCCTCGTCGGAAGATGCACCGGTAAGGTCTACGTACTTGTTCTCGTCAGCAACGCCCTGGTGGACCAGAGCATCCTTACACGCCTGGGTGTCGCGTGGAGGCTTCTGCTCACTGCTTGGCTGTTCGTTTCCGCGCCCCATACTTGGCTCTGACTTGATCCCCGGATATCTTTCAGGTGCGTTTGAATCAGACTTTGCATTCATTTTGAGTGTCCCAGCACCAACCGCCGCTGCGTGGGAGGGTTCCATCTTGGACGGACTCTTTGCTTGCATGCCCTTGAAGAATTGGAGCTTGGCTCGAGAGGAATCGACGTACTTGCGGAATAATGTTTCCAGCCTCCGACAATCATTGGCATCTTTGAAGACAGTGGGAATAACCTTCCTCGGCCGACAGAATTCGACGAACGATTCTAGCTCTGAACAGGAAGAATGCTCGCTGTAGGCAACCAACCGAATCTCCACGTCCACACGTCGATTGGACTTGCGGCACTCGAGCTGTCTCTTACAGACTGCATTTTTCTTGTTCCAGTTGGTGGCGTCACTCCACCCGGTTGGGATAAATGCCAGAATTTTGTCGTAATTGCGCTGTAGATCCTCTTCGTAATTGACGCAGTTTCTGTAGTTCGGCTTGAAGAAAGGCCACAGCTCTCCCGCCATTCCCATGCGAATGCAATGTATGTCCGTAGCATTGGGATCGCTTGTGCAACGCTGAATCATTTGATTGCAGGCGTGCGCATCGTTGGCATTACTATCAACCCTTTTGCCATCCGAAGCATCATTCCCAGATTCGGCGCCCTTTGTAGATTGTATGCATCTCATCATCTCTAGCTTTCGTTCTGTCACGTAAATTGGTTGCCCTGCTCGGCGACAGGCCTCCCACAACACTCTCTCTTTTCCAATGGAATAACACGAGAGTAGAATTAGCACTCTTGGCTTGCTTGGGTCGTCGACTCTATTTGTTTGATCGCCACACTGTTCATGTGCAGCCAACACTTGATGAACTTGCGTGGCAACAGTGTCCACGGCCACCTCCTGTGGAACAAAGGTGTGTTTGGGGTGTCCATATGTAGTATCAAGGTAGAGTAGATCAATTTTTCGATTCTGGACTGCGTCTTTGATTCTAGGGTAGCATTTCATTTTGGGATGGTAGCGCATATCGCCTGTATGAATATGCGTCGTCCCATCGGATAGTTGAATGGCGACAATGGCTGCTCCAGGACAGTGGTTGGCATCATAAAAGGTAATCTTGACTGAATTGCTGATAGCGTCCTTTTCTGCCGTAGCATTGCTGGTATCAATTTTCTTGGCGGCAGCCAACACACATTCTTCCAATATCCAAGTTTCCCCATATTCATGTTCCACCAGAAACTGAGGAGGGACTTGGTGAACTTTGCGCAGCAATGCGGCTGTCACCGGGGTGCAGTGGATCAAGGCAGGACCCTTATACTTGAATTCCCGAGGTAGACTCTGATAATGATCCCCATGATAATGAGTTAGAATAAACGAGTTTCCTGCATCTGTTGTTTTGCGCAAGAAAGACCCCTTAAAGGCGTCAATGTAGAGCCCCGGTACTTCTTCTACAACATGACAAGCTTCCGTGCTGTTCATAACGACATTGGCAGTGGGTAGATGCAATTTGCACGGACGGGAAAGATCCAGCTCGATAGCTCGGAAGGACCATGGACCATGGTCGTGCTGCGTTCGCTGTTGGTTTTGGAACCTGTTTTCATTCCGGATTGCGGGACTCCCAAAGAGGGACTGCTCAAGACTCCATCTTCAGCAAAGAGTGAATACTGCCGTAGAGCCACTGTAGAAAAGAGTGCAGACAGAAAGACAGGATGATAAAAACTGACCTGTCAGCTGGCTGTCGTTCTCCTGCCAATACCGTAGAAAATCTTTTGACATTATTTATCCCCTGAGAGCTGAGAAGGAGCAACGCATACATGTATGCATACAACCCTCCCCGGCCTATTGGCACTACTATCAACAGCCTACTAGTATCCAGTATGTATTGGTCTGATTGCTCCATAATCAGGACTCCTGGTGTGTCGGAGCACCCTGAACCAAGCCATGGAATCGCCGGACCCAGCGACTTTCACACCGCAAAAGAGTGTGGAAGCTCTGTGTTAGGGGATGGAAGAGTGGGTCCCCAACAGCCAAGCAAGTCAACCAGAGTGAAAAGTGACAAATGATGCCTCGCGCCTAATGTAAATCAACCTGTTTAGAATCCCACATCTTCCTCTCCTGTCGCCTAGTGTTCTTGGCAGCGCCCAGGCAAAGAAAGCAAGCTGTCTTGACAGAGTGGGCTGAAGATCGTCTTAACGTGGTGCTAGACCCCTAGGCCTGCTTGGATTTGACCACCTCAGCATATTATGTTGCAACAAAAGAGCTCACAAGCTCACAAGAGCAAGTTGTTGGGTGCGAATCAGAGGCTGGTTCTTCAGCTGTTCTTCCTGCTCAGAAGAATCCAGTGGTCTGTCCGAATCCGAATTTCGATGCTCCATTTGCGTTTCATTTATTTATGACTACCGTACTCCAGAGTCGTTATTAATAGTCAGGAAAAGAACCATTTCCAGTGACATCATCGTTTATCCAATCATAAATATACCGAGCGCTTTAGCTGTACGAACTCTTTCCTGTCTACTGGAGTAAACAGAAGGCCAAACGAACGCTGACAAAACTAAGATAGATATTTTAATTTTCTCGAGCTGCAAGCAACTTTTGAGAAAAGTGCATGGCAATTGCCAGATTGGGCTTGATGAGCTCTTGATGATGGCAGCATGATGATAATCTCATTATCTCCACCCACCGAGACCTTACTTACACCCAGGTTGGTCCAAGCTGCAAAAAGGTTTGAATAGATCCACCATGGTCCAGAAAAAAGTGAGCTTTGCCGTCAGGCCAAAGCTGCACATGTACTACACGGAACCCAGCGATACAAAGCGACGGCGAAAGCGGTTCAAGGAAACAGTTGAGACAGAAGAGTGGATCAAAACTTACTCAATTCTACTTGAAGGATGCTATCGGAAGCCAGTCCAGGAAAAGCTTGATGCCTTTGTTATCTTATCTGACAAAGACTACATCCGAGGAAAGGAGTGTATCATCTGCAAGGACTTTGCCCAAGAGAGAGCAGAACTGCGCTTGAAAGTAGTTCAATCTGTTATCGCACGAGAAATGTCATTGAAGATTGATACTTCCAAAACGCTGGATGATATTGCAGACGAGCTGTGTGCTGTTTCACAAAAGCATAGCTGCTGCGCAAGAACATTTGCACGGCACATGGGAAAGGCGGACGAACTGGCTGCAAGAGTGGGCGAGGACAACGATACGGCGATGCGTCTGATCTACAGACTACATGGACAAAGCATGAAGTCCTTGTCGGCAACTCTGGCGTATGTTGGACATGATTATGTTGTGCCGGGTGTATGTCAGTTTGCACACCTATGCTGGCGGTCAGGCATTCTTTGTTCCGGTGTTGTATAGGCAACAGAGCGCCTATAGCTTGCTAATACTTTCTCTAGATTGCAACTTCCTACCTCTCCATATCGTTGCCTCTCCAAGCTATCCTAACGTCAGCAACCACTGTCAACAGGAACCACCCAAACTTCGTCCTCCTACTGCATGACCAGTACCACCTTGTGGCCAATTGGATGCTCCTCTGAAGAGAGCTACGATAAGACACTCCTCCTAACATTGTAGCTCTTTTTGTTTCTTGCTTGCATGCGGCACTTTGAAAATGCAGGGGCGGCTACTAGCGTGAAGAGTTGCTATCACCTGCCACTGTCGGTGGTACCGGGGCCGGTACATACATGTAACCACAGCAGAAGGAATGGCACCGGCTATGCATACTTTACTTGAATATTACTACCTAGCTACTCGAGTAGCTAGTATTGGTGGTTGATAGGATAGTGGGGTGACAACTCCGTTTTACGTCCTTGCATCCCCGTAACTGCCACTCCAACTTGCCAACGCAACTCAAGACCTTGGACTTGGGACTCCATTGTCAGCCTCTGAAGGCGAAAGATTAGCTCTAGTAGTGGGAGATTCTATTCTGCAGCAAACATTGCTGGTGGCCAGGTGCTAGCTAGCTCGGGGCTTGTGGCTGGTGCTGAACCGCTGTCCCAAAAGTTGGGCTCCCCAGCAGGGCGCTTGGTTGTCGCCAGGTGGAAGTACTTTCTCGATAGCGGCCGGCAACGCATCATACCGGTACGACAAGGTACCAGTAGCTACTAGGTACCTGGTACCGGTACGAATAAGAGTACGGTAGCAACATTGAGGACACATGCAATGTGTTCCCATGAATTTGTGTTCGTGCAAGGCAACAGAAGCATTTGTAGGACTGGATTCTGAACTGAAAGGAAGAATGATCAATCCTCGCTTGCTCCTGAGCATCGAAGGCCAGTCAAGGCTAGAGCATTTCTCATGTCCTGCTCTGGTACACACCAGGTAATACTGTAGCTACATGTATACTGCTAGCTAGCTATCGCAAGTTACAAGCCAGCAGCTCTTCCTGACAGCTCATCAACGTGACCACCAAATATGCCTCCAAAAGCTTACCGCAGATAGATTAAAAAGTGGAAGATAAGCGAAACGGGACTTCCTAGCTTCCCTCACCTCGCGATTTGACCGGCAAATTCATCTGATTCGAAGAAAAACTTACGTTTCTTCCTTTGATTTTAAGATATACTTTCCTTTCATCTAACTTACCCACTCATCAGGCGAAGCGACAATGAAACCAAGCAATACGTGTAGTGTACGCTGAATGATACTAACTTCCTCTACATCAAGAAATCACTGGTTACATTGCAACACAAGCGACACTACATGTAGTAGACAAAGAGCTGCAGGTGATTAACTGCTTCTAGCTAGCTCGCTTGTGGAAGAACGGGCCTTCTAAAAAGGTACCGTACCGTAGAGTCAAACATTGAACTCTCTCTTAGTGTACCAGGTACCAATGTCTTCCCAGAAGTATTCCGTAGAAAGTGCTTCTAATGATGCTGTGTGCTCTACTACACTTCAGCAATCCTACATGTTATGCATAGCAAAATTACAACCATGAATGATGATTCGATTCTCTGTTTGGCCTTGGTAATGTCTTATAACAAAGGTACAAACTAATGACTATTAAGGATATGGTTGTTCGTGTTGAGTTCGAATTGGATCCGGTGAGTCGATCGAATGTCTTCAGTTGAATGCTACAATTAATAGCTCGGATGCTGCCAAACCGTTCTCCCGAAACGGTCTCTCTGGTGCCAACAAGACTTGTCACACTCTCTCTTTTTAATTGCTCTCCACGCTGCCGTTCACCGGAGGGTTTCGCCCACACGAAAGAAGTGGATAGGATAAGGTCCATCTCCAAGCGTTTACTGCCTTTATTGGCGGCACAGAGCAGCCTTCGCTAATGCCTCATTAATCGTGTGGTGATAGCTCCAACAACAATCGTGATATCTCGCAGTTATTCGATTCATTCGGTAGCTGTCTATTGTCTCAACAAGACTCCTTGAGGGGATGAACCCAGAGTGAGCACAAGAGTGACATCCCAAAACTCTCATCACGTCACGCCGTTGAAAGTCATAAGCTAGAATCCCGAGCATCCGCAGCAAACAAACAACACAACCATGCCAGGATTAGCGCACAAGACATCGGGGGTGGTGAGCCGCCCTCGGTCCATGGACGGAGATAACACGGTGATTGAGGTAAAGGCCGTGCGGGATGAACTCGGAAGAATCAAGGACGAGATTCTGATTGTTGTGCCTCTTGCTGTTGAGGTAGACGAGGATCCCTTGTACTATTATCCTCCCAAGAAGGCACCGGTAAAAGGCAAGCGATTATACGGCAGCAACGACGACGATGTAGACGACACAGAATCCGAGTCTGACTCGGATGAAGAGCTAGACAACTTTGACCCCGAAAGCATGGTAGTAGTCAACCACCATGGGCGAACATCCGTGCAACCATCAAGGGTGGATCCAGAGCTGGAACACAGCTTTCTGGAAGAGCTCATGACCACACTTGACAATATCTTTGGTTGCTCTTATGGCGGTTGTACCGAGAACTTGGACTCACCCGTTCTCAAATCGGCTCTGAGGCGAAAGGGAGACGATGTCCCTCCTATCGACCGCAACGTGAGCTTTACCAACCTGGAAATCAGAGAATTCAATATGACCCTGGGAAACCACCCATCCGCAGTAACGGTATGTTGAACTACATTTGGTCTCCTATTGGATGAATGAATAAGACCGATCACCTCACACTCTGCTGCCTATCTATTCTATCTCTACTCAATCAGGGGCCACCAGTGATGCTGGATTGGGATGCTCGACCGACAAGAGAAGCAATTGTGGATTTGGATTTGTACGAAAAGGCTCGCCGACCGAGACGAACCCGAAGAGAGTTGAAACTCAGTTTTGAGGCAAGGAGAGGTATCCTAGAGAATGAGAGAGGCTTCACGGTGGAAGAAGTAAAGAAAGCATGGTCAGAAGCCCTCAAGATCCGGAAACAACGACAGGAAACCCGGCTGCGTGGTCCCCACCAACAAATGATGGACGAAATTTATGAATCCGCTTGCCGAAAATACAATCGCATGTTTGGGTGCCAATGAGAGTGGGATCAGCCATTAGGCAGCTGTGTGGAGTTTCTTGCTAGTAGGATAGGAATATTGATTGCCTCCCTCCTCCGACATCTTTAAACAAGGATATCTGTAAAAGTTTTATCTCTACTACTTACATTTGGCTAGCATAGGAACTTTTCCGTTCGAACTTCGTCGCAGCCATAACGATGGACTACATGGACATGTTCTAGCGTGCGTGGTTCTGATTACTAGCTAGAGCTGTCTTGCTAGCTATCAGGATCTATTTATTTTGTTTTGGGCTGGCATTCCGAGTCCAACATCCGTCGGATAAAGATTTCATCGCGGGGATGTTCTCGTTCTCCGTCTTCGTATGTATAACTTGGAGCAATGGCCAGTTCAGATCCATCATGATTGAAAGCAAGTGCCGCAATGGATGTCGAGAACTGTGGAAGAGTTGTTAGTTTCTTTTTGTGAAGACCGTCCCACGTGGCTTCAAAAATTGCACAAAGTAGAGACAAAGACCAAGGAAAGAAGCAAGAGGAGAGCATGAGCTGTTGAACATTCTCAAACAAAGACCGATTTCCCGAGTGCAAAACAGTCACCATTTCCCCATTCACTTACAGACATATCCATCGCAACCACCCGTAGCAAATGTCCCGTATTGAGGGTGAAAAGCAATGCAATTGACCGGGTACACCGTATCACCCTGACGATGGCATTTGAAGGCGTACTTTTTCATTTTGGCCTGCAATCCCAATTCTTCCAAAAACTCGACTGCTACCCGCCCCTCGATGGAACCCAGCGCAATACCATTCCCATCCGGAAAGAAGCGAACTGCCCTCGATTGAAATTTGAGAGAAGACTCTCGATCCAAAACCAACGATGCATCGCCACCGGCTCGTACATCAATGACACAAATGCGTCTTCCTGCCGTGGCAATGACGACTCGATTTTGATTGGCAGGATCAACGTCCATAGAGAAGGCTTTGCCGGGTAATTGAATGGTGGCAGCAGCGCTGGAGGAAGATTGTCGCACATCCCAAAGATGAAATTGAGAGTTCCATCCCGCCGAAGCAATCAAGGGAGCATTGCTGCCACCACTGGCAGCAAGAGCTCCAAGGCTGCTGCAGCCCATCAATTTTGGATCTTCTGCAGTGTGACGACCAATGACTTGATACTGAGTTGCCGCAATGTCAAACATTCGGACTTTCGAGAAAATGGGAAAATGACGAAACTGTGTGAGAGGATGAAATAATTAACAATACTCGGACTGCACGGATGAACCACATTCATTCATCAGAGGTTATTTGTCCATGTAGACTTCCTCATCTAAATTGACGGCAAATTTGATGATCTCGATGAGGATGCCAGTACATATATGGTATCCATCACCTGATGAATGAATGGCACTTCTTGGTGCAGATAACGCATGGATTCGATCATTCAATTCTTCTGTTTTCTCACCTGTTCCATCGAGGCCTCCTGTGACTAATGCATTCAAGCCCTTTGGCGTAGCCAGAGACAACAGAGGTCCTGATTCCATCGTCTGAGAAAGGACAAACTTTCTCTCATTGGTGTCATGGATTCGCACGGCTCCATCAAAACTAGTCGACGCCAAAAGAGTCGGTTGTCCTGGAAGATAGGAAAGGGCAGTGATGCCATCCGTGGGTGGAGACGGCAGTGAGACTGCTTCTGGTGGTGGTTCTGTAGCCATGATTTTGTTCTGAGATTACTAATAGAACCGAGGAAAGAAAGACGATCGAGCAAGACCAGGAAGGAGAAACCCACAGAGTGGAAGATGATTGAGATTTGAGATGTAGAGGCGGTGGACGGTGTACCGAAATAAAATAAAAATATCGTTTTGAAAGGAGCATGCTCTTACCCAGCTAGATCGTAGCTAGCTAGCTAGTTAAAAAAGCAAAAAACTATTCCTCTGTTCCCCTTACACAAAAGTTTGCCTCGTTCACTTTGCCCTTTGGTATCATACTCTCGTACGAATGCGTCGGTAGCTAGAGCTTGGCGGCCCTTCTCGTCATTCTAATTGATTGAGACCCTGTGATCAAGGCAAGCATGCACGTCGAGCCCTAGAGAGAGGTTAATCCCTAATAATGAACAGGTTGTCCAACTACGGCGTCCAGTTCTACTACTTTGTATGTACGAGTAAGGAATCTCATACGTAAGGAATGGTATTTATGTATCTTATAATACGGATGGTTGGATCCAGTGATGGACCTAGTCCCGATAACAATATAGGGATGGACTTGTCTTTTGCAGTTGAATGAACGGATGCGTTTCAGGTAGCTGCTCTCCTCCTTCCGAGTCGTCATACCAGCATACTACCAAGTCGGATGGATAATCCTTCAACTTGCAAAAGATTTTGACCCCAGGGATCGCCAACAACATTTGCAAAAGAGAAAACTGAACGAGCCCCATTCCGGATGGATCCAGCACCTCTCCAAAAACCGCTTCATAGAGACCACATAGTGTTGGCACGTCCAGTGCTGAATGCGTCTCCAAGATTACTTTGAGCCACGCCTGGAACGAGTCAAACTTGTTCTGTACGGCAGGATCTCGGAATGCCTTCCAAGCTACCATCTTTGTATGATATCTGTTGTTAGCTTTCCCAGACGTTGATACCGGCTTGCCATTAGGAGGATGGAGGGGCAACGTCTTCCTTCTTGCTTGGTCCAACTGCAAGAGAAGGTCACCTTGAGTTCCAGCTGCCAAACCGGAGCGCAGAAAGTCTTTGGAATAGACTTTTCGGGGTTTAGGGGGCGGAAATAACTTTTCCTTACAAGAGAGCAGAAAGTCTTTGGAGTAGACCTTGCGAGGACCATTGGTTTTAGGAGGGAGGGGATTAGAAGGTTCCTCGCTTAGCCTCGGATTTTCCTTACAGGAGAGCAGAAACTCTTTCGAGTAGACTTTGCGTCTATCCGTGGGTGGGAGGGCGCCAGTCGACGGAGCTTCCTTTTGCGTGGTCTTTTTCTGGAGGGAGAGCAGTAACTCTTTGCGATAGACTTTGCGGGGTTTAGAAGGCTCCTGGCTGGGCTTTAACGTATCCTTACAGGAGAGCAGCAACTGTTTGGAGTCGACTTTGCGTGGACTGGAAGGAGGGAGGTTCTTGGCGGAAGTGTCCTCCTTTGGTTTGTCCTTTGGCTTGTCTTTGTCCCTGATGGAGAGCAGAAACGCTTTGGAATAAACTTTGCGTGGAGCCTTGACTGACGGCGGAAGTTTCGGCTTTAACTTTTCTTTCCTGTACCTTGTCGGCCCCAGGATCATGGGTTGTAGCGTTAGGAGATTACCGCGCACCATCTTGACACTCTTATTATCCAGGCTCCAATTGAGATTATGGTATAAATAAGATGGAGTGTCAAGGGAGATCCGACTTCCGACTTCATTTACGACCACGCGACAGAACAAATACAGTATCTTTTTTCGATCTCTTTCTTTTCTGCCAGTTCTCTTATTCTCTTGCCATGACTGAACATCAACCAAAAGCAAGGTTAGAGTTACAAGTTACGCCAGGAACTTTTTACGCGCACTTTTTCTTCCCAAACGACCATTATTTATTTTGTGTTTGAACCCCAATTGGCACTTCATTGCATTCCTCTTCTCCTCCAAGTTGTGTAACCACTTTGCTATCATCATATCACTGCGCAATGTTGTCTGTCGAATACTAGTAGGAGAGTAGTGTTCCTGTTGAGTAGAATAGAATCTGAAGCAAGCTCAAGCTGTTGAAAAGGTTTTTCACAAACAGACAAAATCGAATCGAATCGATCAACAATGACAAACCAACTTCCTCCAGCCCGGTGTCATTGGGTTGACCACATGATTACTCTGCCGACCCCACAGCAGCAGTCAGTGCAACAATATACCGACCATCGGCGACAGCGGCAGTACCAAGTGGGAAGGAATATTGCACGAAAGAGATTGCTGCAAACAGTCACTACTAGTAGTACTGGGAACCCAATGACAGCACATCATCGACCCATGCGAGGTGGAGACGTGTGTGCCACTGGCGACAAGTACTGCAACTGCTCCTTTCTGGATGGACGTGACGTGATCTTGGCTGCGACGGTTCAAGGCGACTTGGACATTTTGAGAGTGCCGTCCTCTGGACCAATGACGGAATTGACAGCAAAGCTGAGATTGAACAATGATGATTATGATTATTCCTACAGTATGGCAGCTGGCTACAAGTTGAAACCAATGCAACAGGGACATGGGTTTGCTGTCGGTACTCCATCTGGGTCGTTTTCGATCTTTTCCACGGAACATGCCACGGCATGGTGTCGACAACAGCTTCCCATGAATTGGAAGAGAACCAGCAGTGTTCGACAAGAACCGCTGCACCGACATGCCGACGACGACAACACACTCCCCTTTGTCACACACCAATGGCAGTCAGAAATACTGTCTATGCAGCAGCAACAATCACCACAACAGCAGGATCGCTATGATTCTCTCTCCATGGGATCCAGTCTGGAAATGCTGCCGTCACCGGGAAAGGAGTTGTGCATCACTCCACACAATGATGCACTCTGGGACTTTTGGGAGACTCCTTCGTGTCTATTGGCAGCTCATGCCTCGCAGGATTCTCGTGGTGGTCGTCGTACTCGCCTCCTCGATTGCCGGACCATGAAACAGGGGTGTGTCGCCGACATTGACTTGATTGGCCATCATCAAAAGAAGTTTTTGGCACGGCAAGAAGAAATCACCGCCATTGGCTTTGCCTCCGAGTGGACACTCCTGTCGGCTCACGCCCGTCCCCTCTCCAGAGGGAGAATTGATAATTGCATTCATATCTGGGATTTGCGAAAGCCAGAATCACCGGTCCACCAGTACAAACCGCCCAAGAATGCGGATCCATCCAACACTCGAGGCAACTTTTTTGTCTCGCGTTTGACGCCGACGGATGGAGCGGTAATGGTCACACTGCAGTCCTTTGCGTCTGCTCCAGGACAAGACAACCGCACTACTGTACAGCACGTTTGGATGGACTTGGCCCGGCTAAGCACCGTTACCAGGAGTAGTAGGAAACTCGACGAGGAGGAGGAGGCAGTATGTGTGCAGCAGAATGGTGGTGGGTCCTTTGCCGTGACTCCAAACCAAGATTTTATGGCGTGCTACAGTCAAGCCAAACCCAATAGCGATTGTGACGTGGTGAGACTATTTGATCTAGAAAGCTATAGTAAGAACAAGAAGCCCAAGCCACAACCTCCGAAACGAAAACTGAGCCTTCACCAAGCACGGGTCCAAATGTCTCGGAAACGAAGCCTCCATGGGAAAGGCAAGCTGTCCATCAAGGGCTCTCACGAGGAAGATACATCGTCCACATGCAGCACCAGTGGCTCTGATGACGATTTCAACTCTGACAAACACGACCTTCCACCTATGGAGGAGCATCATCAAAGCTTCAGCTGTGCTGCCGCGTTCAAACCCAACCTGCAGGACCGTTATGGATTGACAACCCATCTATCCTGCATGGCAGTAAATGATATGGGAAGTTCAATCGTCGGTGGATCGCATGATGGTGACATTTTCGTCTGGAGCGGCACTTGACTCTGACTCGGCACGGCACCTTCATCCATGGTTCAGCAGTTTGTTCGGACAAAGGCAAGTTGGCCAGCTCGAGGGTTCATTAAGGAAACACGCAGCTTGAGCCTCTCCCCAGGATTGAGGTTGATTGGAGAGGAAAACTTGTATTCAAACCCTAATTCATAAACATAAATCGCATACTGTTTCTTGGACTTTTCGCCGGTTCCAATATAGCCAAGGATCAAAGCATCCCAAATGTAATCGGGATCCTTGTCAATGATGCGTCGGATGTACTCAAAGAGCCAGTACTGCTCGCTCGTACGCTGTACAAGGCGGGCAGCTCCCATCAAACCACCGCCCTCACGATAGTCAATGTCATCGTCTTGTTGTCGTGTATCCCATTCGTATTCGTTGGACTCTGCATCAAGTAGGCGGGGAGGCGTCCATCCAATGTCTCGTTTTGACAAGTTCAAATGTTCGAGTGACTTGCCTTCGAGGATTAACTCTTGAATTCGCTGACGCCGCAACCATCTCTTCACTGCGCAATGGACCATCAAGTCTGAAATGAAGATACAATGTATGAGCCACTGCATAACAAAAAACAAAGACAAAGACGTGAACAACATACATCTCTACATGGGTGCATACCTTGTTTCCGGCGGATTGGACTAGTCCATTGGACGTAGCTAGACAGTCCCAAACCTGCATGAGGAGCGCAATGTTCCGTCACTTTGACGGGGGATAGAAAGCGACGGCAGTACCATGCATGGCAGTATCCATCGCCTGTATTGTATTCCATCAGCTGCATCATAACCTGTCTTTCCCTTGCTCTGGATGCGTAATCTGTAAAAGAGCGACCGGTGAGCGAGGCCTGAACCAACGATCAACATAAAAATTACTTGACCTCTCCATGGTTCCTACGCACCTGGCTTTCTTTGCCCTCGAAACGGAAGGCGTAGCTCGTTTCGAAAACCCTCTCCCGTTTCTTCGTCAACATCAGGCCAACTCTTCTCGTTGCGAAGCTTCCAAGTTCCAATTGCCTCCCCTGCCAGAATCATGCATTCGGTGACCAGCGTGTGGGCAGAAGACAAAGGCTCCACAATCGTCGATAAGCTTTGCTGACTAGACGATGATTCTCCGGCTTCTGCTCCAAATGTCTGATTTGCTCCTGAGTTGTGCGTGGCCTGGACACTGACTTTGATATCTATTCCGTCCGGTGCACTCTCATCCGGGGAGATGCTGATTGTTTTCTGTGGAATGGGACGTTGAACCAACCCTTCCGAAGATCCCCTTCGAATTCTATAGTTTCGTCTGGTTGTTGCTTTATCCAATAGGCCTCCTAGCTCCCATTCTTCGCTGTACCCGATTCCTTCTTCTAGCATCTCATCTACTTCCTCATAAGTCAGTCGATAGGAGACTCTGATCAAAGAAGGGGTAACCATGAGCGTGGATTCATCGATGGACCCATCATCGTTTAGCTCCACGGCAAGGGAGAGAGCGTAAGCGTCCTTCTTCGTTGTCAACGACATCAAATCATCATTGGCTCTGTTTGTTTAGTATCACCATTGAATCGAGTGATACCCATTATACCATGAGAACCAAGAACCGCATCATCTCCAAAACTAATCTATCTGACAAAAACTTACTTGGGTGGCAGCATGGGAATCGAAAATTGTGGCAAGTAGAGCGATGTCACTCTCCGTCTTGCAATATCATAGAGCTCAGAACCCTGTTCTACCCATCGCTCGGCGTCGGCGATATGAATCCAGATTCTCTGTTGCTCGGACCCGTCCTTATCTGTATACTTTTCGAGCGACAAACCATCATCAATCTCGGACGTCTCGGCACTGTCAATGGTAAACACTTTCAAATGCCGAAGATCCTGCCTCAATCCCAGTTCTTCGTCCAGGTCCCTTTGGTTTGATGCTGCCTAAATGATGATGATGATGACAAAAGAATAGTTAGTTGTTGAATGTCAGTCATTCCATGGTGCATTTATTGCTTTGTCATGCCCAAGGAAGTGAAGAGTTAGTTTTCTTCGCTTACATTTTCGGCGGCTTGCAGTTCCTGGTCATTGAATCGGAGCGAGAAACCACTCCGCAACAGAGCCAGATCTTCATGTTTGCCCCATGCTCCAATAGCTACCAATAATTCAAAGGCACCTTGTGTGGTTCTCTTCCATTTCATTTCTGCCAATACCTGCAATCCCGATCCTCGCTTGACCTGGTGCTTGAGTCGTCGCACGCTGTCGGTATCCCAGGTTTCCAAATCTCGTAGTAGAAACTTTTGTTGATTGCCTCTGGAATCCAAGTGGGCGACCATTCGTTGTAGCTGCACGGGAGATCCCTTGACACCCACCTGTGTGCCCAAAATGAGAATGGATTGCAGAGCCATGACAGCAGCTTGAATGACTTTGGGATCTCGTTCCGCTGCGGCAATTTTGGTTCGGAATAGGTTCTCCAGAATTTGTTCTCCCTCTGCAGTGCATGTCAAATCAATGAACCTTCCTTTGGCGTATTGTGCATTTTTATTGTTGTCATTGGCGTTGATATTGTCGTCTGAGTGATTATTACTAGTAGTGGTGCCATTCTGGATATCCTCCAGTCTCTGATGCAGTATCCTGGCCATGATCTTGACCGCTCGGACTTCAATGTCATCGTCATCCTCGGCTTCTTTGTCATCATCCAGTGCCCCGTAAATGTCATCGTCATAGACAATCTTGGGAGCATTTGTACGGGGAAACCATTTGTTTTCATCTGTCACAGAGAAAAGCTGTTGGGTTGTGGTGGTGGTGGCCACTGGGATTCGCCTGTTTCGTGCCGCCAGAACCGTGTGTGTTTTCAAGAAAGCTTGGGATCTTGAGGGTCCATCCGGATGTCGAACAACTGCAGGAGAAGGCGTTCCTATCAGAAAGCCTCCTGTCAAGGGAAGGAAACTCAACAGCAACCATGATGTGGATAAGATCAGGACTGAAAACGGCAGCAGAAATCGGTCAAGACTTGGAGTCCTTATCATCTTGATCAATCGATCTCGTGGCGATGAAAACACTCGCGCCTACCCAATAGACTAGACGCAGCCTTTGTCTACTACACTCTCCCTGTTTGTGTTTTCTCTCCCTTGCTTGAAAGGCTCTCCTTCTCGATGGACTCGACTCCTGATGTCGATGACAACCTAACAAACAAACTGGTGAACGAAAACAAAAGAGTGGATGGTTGCAGATGACGTCAGTATTGGTCACGAGCCATTCGTGACTGATTTCGACATCCAGGCTGAGAGATCTTTTTGCTGCCGCCAAGCAGTAAACCGCAGATCTCAATCTTGCTTGGATACGCTGAAACAAGCAATTCTTGGATACCACTCGTACCAGTAAACGTGTGGGCATACCGGTACTACCAGTAGTAAGGCATCTACAGTACGTACAAGTATGGCAGCGCATCTACATTGTTCATCTACATTATCGCTCACAACTACAGCTATCTAGCTTTTTATAAATAGTATTACGAACAATTTCACAAGCACAAACTCGCATCACCATGGATCCCCCAGGAGAATCGTATCAAGCCGCGAGCGCTGAATTTACTATCCGTGCGGAACAAGACCAAGAGAATTCCGGCGCCCACACACCAACCAACGACAGTAAGGCGACGGGGCCCTTTTGCAAGAAATCCCCTAACGTTGATACGGACGACTTTGAGGGTTTCGCCAACGCGGGTAAGACTACCCGGGCGGACAGTGGACTCGACGTGGACGAGCTAGCGGCGGCAGTGGATCTAGACGTGGATGAGTTGGCGGATCTCATTGCAGCCACCACGAATTCTATTAAGGAAAGCAGAACAACAGACAACAACCAAACAACAGACAACAACCAAAGCAGCCCTGCGACACCACAAGCACAAGCAGAAAATCATGGCAAGCTGGCAAGGATTCATCTGACGTTGGGCAGACCAAATGATGCTCTGGTGGAATACAAACGACAACTGGAAATTGAAGAAGCGGAACTAGGAACCAACCACGCTGATGTTGCAAGAACCTACTGCAACATTGGAACATGCTTCAAGGAAAAAGGAGATAGAAAATCTGCTTTGGATATGTTCACAAAGGGCTTGGAGATCAGGCAGCAAGTCGGAGCGTATCACACAGAGACAGCAACAACTCACGAACATATTGGTCGTTGTTGGATGGAAATGGGCAATTACCAAACTGCCATGGAAGAACTATGGAAAGCATATTCCATCAGAAAAACACTCCTTACCCAAGACCACCCGGACACCAAGGAATCTCTATCGGATCTTGGAGTTGTTGCGGATAAATTGAAGAAAACGGCACCTGCCTTCTTCCTGGAAAGGCAAGATATTCGCAAACTATTAGGACAAATTGAGGCAGCTCAACTTCGAGGCGGAGTCTCCAAAGGCGACCAGGACAGCAGCAGAGCTGGTGGTGGTGGTGAACCTGCTAAACCGTTTTCTCTTGGTGGCACCGGCGGCAGCACTATCGTTGCTCCTTCACCCGCTCGACCCGCTGCAGTATCCCGCTCGATCCGCTCGATTTCGCAATACTGAACTGCAATTAATTGCCAAGCACACAGGAATGTTGTCCATTATTCAGAATCAATCCAATTAATTAATTAGTTGTTCATTTAGTTTCTAAAAAACTGTTTGTAAAAAACAATTTCATACCTCTGTGAAGCTGTGGGCAGGGGTGGCATGGACATCTCCTAAAATGAGTTACAGTCTCCATTCCTTGTCTCCTACACTGTGTAGCTGGTGGGTGCAGAAAACCAACCAGAGGATCATTCTGGTTTCGATTAGCTTAGCTTAGCTGTGCTTCGCCCACAATAATTTATTGAGAGCCCAGATATTCTGTTACAACGGATTCATTCTTGTACAACGACTTGCTACCGGTACAGTCAATGCCAACAAAACTCAGTATTTGTACCCTCAAATGATGTTCTTCATTCAAACTCGCATCTCCATTGCCCTTGTTAAAGCAACCCATTTCTGTCTCGGTGGATCCTGCAAAGCAAAGCCCTTTGCCCCCGGTAATGATGCTCAATTTGTCTCCCCTTATCCCACGGAACCTAGCCAGTCCTGAATTTCCACTTTTCTTTGCTTCTATTATAAAAGTCTGACCCTCGTTGGCTTTCGTATATAATCTCCCTGCTCTCAATCCCAAAATATCTCCCCTGATCATCCCCCTGGAACTAGCTAGGGTAGTCCTGAATTTCGACTTTTCTTTGCTTTGAATGAAAGCCTGGCCATAGATAGATAATCTCCCATGGTATCCAAACATCTCTTTTATTGAGAGCAGCCAGCACAATCATCATGATGCTAGCTACCAGGTACCGGTACGCTGTACATCGTTCTGGTTGGTGCAACCGGTACCGTACTGTACCCCAATACCTCGGCAGTCTTGCTGCCGGAGCCCTCAACCCATTTTTATTAAGCTAGTTCTATTCGTCGTCGCCCTTCAAGGCTTTGAGAATTTTCAATCCGTCTCGGTCAAATAAACATGAAGCATTTGTCCCGCTTACAGTTGCGAGCCATCCTACTTTTTGTTTCTTGTTCGAAATGGTTCCGACCTTCACGTCGCTATCTGCCAGAGTCCCTGGCTCTGCACTACGTGTCTGCTTTTTGGGGTACTGAACCATAAAGCGAAGACAACCAAACTCTCCCCCCACAACTTTTGGCTTGATATCCTCTTCCCAGCGCCTCTTCAGACGTACATCATCAACCAACTCATGAGTAAATTGCTCCGTTGATTTGTCCCGTTTTTCGTGGTATAGCAAGTCTGGTGTCATTGTTCTCTTGAAATCTTTTCTATATTTGACTTGCGATATGACAAAAATGTACTGGGAATAATCCGCGTTCCACATGAGGAACATAAGATCTGGCCCAATTTTTGTGTCTGGGTAACAGAATGGAGGAACTTGGCCCTCAACCCTGGCCGTTGTCGCATCTTCGATCCACTGCATTGTTTGCTCAGGGTGACTGCATTGCCTGGCAAGAACGCCATAGGCTGATCTGTGGGGTACTTTTTTGTTCGTCAAGACGACATCAGTGCCATGCTGCTCTCGCAGAATATTGTGAAAATTCTTTTGGATCGCCGGCAACAGTAGCTTCTCGAAAGCTTCACCCTGACCACCAGTCTCTTGCGATATCAAGTTGTTGATGACTGACTTTGTTAAAGAGAAACAATTGATGCCAGCCTGAATAATAATCGGTTCGTCGAGGACGCCTTTGTAATTTCCGTCAGCACTGACTGCAGCAACGCCAATTACAATAAGCTCCTCTTGGCGCCTGTCAATAATTTGTGACTTTCCTCCAACGACAAACTTGAAGATGGCAGATTCCAGCCATTTGGCGACCTCATACTCACATTCCGTGACGACTTTCTTGATCGCACCAAAGGCTGTGCCCTCAGGTGGGTCGAATGGCTTCCTTCTGTCGCTTTGGGGGATATTTTTAATGTCATCACTTGTGTAGACATCGAGGTACCGATCCAAAGCTTGTATCAGGAGGGTTCCAACTGGTGGTAGTTGTCCCCGGGTCCCCTTATAATCCTGTATGCGAGCTCGAACCAGGTACACTTCTAGAAAGGTGGCTGTCCATCGCGGACGGCCACGAAGCCACTTGGAGATGTGTTCCAGAGCAATGGAATTGCCCGGTTCGCTCAGGTCGACATCGAGGAAGTTACAAAGATATCGTTTGACCGCATCGGCATCAAGAGGTTTGAACTTGGTAAAGAGGAATTCCTTACTCTCTGTGTCTTTCGCCATGATCGACTCTGACGCCTCCCTGATTCCATCGATTGACATCCCCGTACCGGCTACAAGTGGGAAACCAGTATCAAAACCATTCATCCTTGGTACTGTAGCCATCGCTTTGATCACCGCAGAGAAGGCAAACCTATCTTTGGTCCCATCCGAACTCAGGAAATAATTTCCGAGCTTCTTGAGAAGCGCTTGTGCCTCGTCTACCACCATTACGGACCAAAACCCTTTGTCGATGTGCGGAATGTATGCAAAGCTTGTGTCGTCCGTGTTCTCTCTGGCGTGGCGCAATCCCATTCTAACAAGCGTTTTGAAGATATCTTCCCCCATGGCGTCCTTTGGGAACAGTTGAATCAAGAGCCATTGGTAAGGTGTGAGCTCTGTTCCGCTATTCTTTTTCCAGCTCTGTTTTGACCGCCATGAAAACGAGACTTCGAACAGAGATCATCACCTGAATATGTCGATCCAGTTCCTTATAGTTGTTTTGACTCCGAACCACTTTCAGCTTCTGCTTCCTGGCTGCCACAACATCTGTCGATGAGTCTTCGTCGTCGAAAGAGGAAGAATATCCAATTTCACTCAAGAAATGGTTTTTGGTGCGATGACCGTCATACGCTTCGATCAGCATAGAAAGATCCTTCGACCCCGGATCATAGGTTGTGTTGGCAACAAAGTACAAACCAAAGCTGTGACTAAGGTATTCGTAGATAGAGCGGGTCTTGCCCGCTCCGGAAGTGCCGTACAATCCACTGCAAACGTCCTTGGTATCGTCAATGAATTTGTAGACCTCGGAATTCTTGCAATTAGTATTCTGAAGGCCATGCAACAAAAGTGAAGGTTTAGTCTTTTTCTTTACGAAGGGGTTTTTTGGTATCCCGGTGCCAGGCTTGAGGATGCTCGTCAATAAGCCATCCTCTGGCGCGGTGAAGTCTTCCAGCTCGAAAGCCTTCGTGAGAGGATTTTTTGCAAAGTAATCCTCGAGGTAGCTGGAGCATAGTTGATGGAAAGTAGTAGTAGAATTGTTTTTGGTTGTCATCAACCCCCTGTGGGTCTGTCTGGTGATGTGGGGCCTAGAACTATCATTTTGAGTATTTAGCTAATTTTGTAGCATTTTGGCATTTCAGCTGAATCGAGCATTACCCGTACCGTATCTTTTTTAATAGCTGGAGAAATTTAATGCAGAAAGCCAGCCAAAAAGGCAAGTGTCCTATTTAATGCATAAAAGTCCTCAGATATAGATACATTTTATCCAAAATGTGACATAGGCAAAACTTGGATATTTGCTTAGGCAAGCATGTTCATTACTTAGATTTATATAATATACATGATGATATAATAGTAAGAGCATGCCATTGGAAAACAGTTACTGGTCAAACTAAGGCTTTTATAGACTTATTGCAAGTTGCCTTCAAGTAGATGGTGGCAAGACGTACTTAAGATGAACTATGACTGCATAGAAATGTGGATTTAAGGTACATTGAAGTAATAGGGTTAAGGTTATTGAATAGCATGCCCAATAGGCACCAGATTCGAAAGATAATGTATTTGGCTTGGTAGTCTAGTTTGGCAGTTTATTACTTTCTTTTTCATCTTTTGTTTGGTTTTCGTTTTCGTTTGATGATGTGCTTTGACTTGCCTCTAACAACCCATGCTCCACAAAAATGCTTACACAATCATATTCACCCGTCCCTGAAACTCATGCCCACTGGGCATGGGATTTAAAAATGGTAACATTCCTAAGGTCCTGACTGGAATTGTTACCACCCAGACAACAGTACTGTATCCATATCTTGTGCAAACACTCAAACCAAATTCAAAGACTCATGCACTACGCTAAAAGCTAGTGTAAAGATCTTTCGAGTGTTTTGAGTTTGAGAGAATGAAAGTTATGAGAGGATTAGAAAGCTATGAAAACTAATCAACGAGAGAGATCACAATCAAGGGATCGTAGATCTGAACTCCCGCGGAAGACTGTAAAGTGTGATAGAGTAGGTTGTGGTAGTAATCCTACTCGTTCCACGGTCCAAAAACGGAACGCGTGGAAGATTCGTCTAGCATTTATCTAGTAGCGTGGAATCTCTCCACGCCAGCTAAATATCTAGCGCGATGTTTCAGCATCGACCTAGTATGACTAGCGGTCATGAGAACCCTGTCTCAATGACTATTCACGAGAGACTCAGTCATGAGTCGAACTCAAACCCTATCTAGGATCGAGTCGCGAATAAGGCTAAGAGCCGTGTATTGCATTCGCCCCCTGACAAGGGTCACAGAAGGCACGACATCAGTCGGACAAGGAGAACATATGATTTAAAGTGCGGGGCACTCTCATGAGATTGGATGTAGACATGTGCGTCGCACGATGGCAATCCTACAAGGGGATCAGGCCTTGTATGGGTGTATATACCTTATGTTCCAAGTCTGGTAGACTGTGCCGCCATTGGCGGTAGCATGTTGGAGCCGTACAGTGCCATTGTCATTGACTCGGTCTATAGTGTAAGGACCTTTGTACTTTGGCTGACCATACTTGCGGTGCTGATACTGTTGAATCATCACGGTATCGTTGACATTGTATTAATGAGGGACACGCGTCGCGTTCTCCCTATCGTTGTTCTGTTGGATGAGTCGTTGGCGACGTTCCTTGATGTACTTCCAGTTTGCTTCGAAACGGACGTTGTGAATCGCGTCACGGTTGAACACGAGCTGTGCAGGCGTTGCACGCAAGGTGGTATGAATCGTGGCGTTCATTGCGAAGCGAACCGCCGTGAGGACTCCATCCCAGGATCCGTTCACGAGGTCGTCTTGGCACTTGATGTTTTGAACAGCGATCAAGTTGCGTATGGTCTGATGAGCACGCTCGACCATGGAGTTGGCTTGAGGGTTGCGCGTGGTGATGAACTTGCGACGAAGTCCATATTCATCCCGGAGAGTCTTCTCGACCTCTGCGCGGAACTCACGTCCTCTATCCATGATAACCTCAGCCGGCCATGGATACCGAGTAAGCCACGTTTGTTCTAGGACGATGGCTACTTCGTCTGCTGCCTTGGAGCAGATCTCTGCAATCTCGAACCATCCGGTTACGGGATCAATCATTGTCAAGCAATGAAGTGTACAGGAATTCTTTTTCTTAGGATCCCCGACGTTGTAGGGTTAGGGACCTATCAGGTCAATACATAGTCTTTCCCAAGGGATCTCCTCGCAAGTCTTTGGAGGCATCAATCCCAGCTTACGCGTCTTGGGTTTGTTCATCTGGCAGCTTTGGCAACGCTGACATACGGCCTGCACAGTCTTGCGCAGTCCTTTCCAGGTGTAGTGTTGGCTGATGGTTAGTTCTGTGCGAGTCTCGCCAGGATGCATCAGCACACCATGGTACCATTCGACTAGCTTCTTCTGCATAGTTTAGGTACGACGATCTTATCGTCCTTAACTACTAAGTCGTAAGACTTATCCCCTCTGGGGAAAGATTGCTTCTTGTAGTCGTTTGGCTTGTCCCTGAGGAGTTTCTTGATATCGTTGTCGTCTTTCTGACGATGTTCGATCTCGGGGAACGAGAGAGGGAACTCGCTAGGGAAGTCCTCTTCGTCTGCAGCCATGAGCTCAGCGATCTCGCTGGCTCCATTTGTTCTGAAGAACCGTCGTTGTTGGAGATGTTAAGTCTCGACAACGCATCAGCGACGATGTTCTGTTCGCCCTTGTATGTACCGTAGTTCAGGGCCGTATTCTTCCAGAATAAGGCGCCATCGCATTACGCGATCGGTATTGAAGTTCTTACATGTAAGATTCTTTGTGGTCCGTATGCACAACGATCTTCTGTCCCAGAAGAATGTTACGGAACTCTTTTAGAGTTTCTACGATACTGAGAAGTTCCTTCTCGGTAACGGTGTAACGTGTCTGAGCAGGGTTGAGCTTCCTGCTGTAGAACGCGATAGGTTTTCCTTCTGGGAAATTACTGCACCTAGTTGAGTATCACTCGCATCCGTGTGGATAACGAATGTATTGTTGAAGTCAGGGTAAGCGAGCAAGGTTTCTTTGCTGATGATCTTCTTCATCTGGCTAAAGCCTTGTCGTGTGTTCGGCTTCCCATTTTCCACTTCGTTGTTTTGGAAGTCAACGAAGCGAGTGGGGCCAGTACATGTGATCGTCTAATCCACATGTCTCGATAGTAGTTCACTAGTCCAATGAATCTACGGAGTTCTTTTCTGTTGGTAGGAGGAGCGATATTCTGGATCGCGTCTATTTCTTGGTTATAGGTTGGATCCCTTCTCGAGTAATCCAGTAACCTAAGTATTCAAGTTCTCCTCTTGCGAAGAAGGACTTGGTAGCATTGATCTTAAGTCCGGCTTCTCGAAGCCTTCGGAGAACTTCATCAACTTTTCAACGTGATCGGCCAGATCGCCGTTAGTTAGGATGAGTAGATCATCAATGTATGCATGGACGTATTCTACGTCGTGCATTAGTGTTCCCATCTTCTCTTGGAAGATGTCGGGACTATTGCATAGGCCCATTGGCAACCTCTGGTACTCGTACTTTCCCCACGGGAGTACGATTGCAATACACGGCTCTTAGCCTTATTCGCGACTCGATCCTAGATAGGGTTTGAGTTCGACTCATGACTGTCTCTCGTGAATAGTCATTGAGACAGGGTTCTCAGACCGCTCTAGTCATACTAGGTTGATGATGAAAATCGCTCTAGATATTTAGCCAGCGTGGAGCACTTCCACGCTACTAGATAAATGCTAGACGATCTTCCACGCGTTCCGTTTTGGATCGTGGAGTGAGTAGGATTGCTACCGCAACCTACTCTATCACACTCTACAGTCTCCCGCGGGAGTTCAGATCTACGATCCTTTGATTGTGGATCTCTCTCATTGATTAGTTTTCATAGCTTTCTAATCTCTCATAACTTTCATTCTCTCAAACTCAAAACACTCGAAAGATCTTTACACTAGCTTTTAGCGTAGTGCACTACTGCTGTTGATGACAGTGCAGATCGTCTCAAGAAGATTCTTGATGCAAAATACGACAAGCTGACTTAAGGCAGTTTGCCAAAGTCAAGATCAGGCGACGAATCCACGTTCATCCGGAGAGTCTTCTCGACCTCTGCGCGGGACTCACGTTCTCTGTCCATGACAACCGGTCATGGATACTGGGTAACACACGTCTGTTTCAGAACGATGGTTACTCCGTCTGCTGTCTTGGACAGCCCTTGGTAGTTCATTGGTCCAATAATCCACGAAGTTCCTTCTTTTGGTAGGAAGAGCGATAGTTGGATCGCATCTATTATCTTTTTAGTTAAGGGTTGGATTCCTTCTCGAGTATCCAATGTCTAGATACTCAAGTTTTTCCTTTCGAGGAAGGCCTTGGTAGTGTTGATTTTAACCCGACTTCTTGAAGTCTTTGGAAAGGTCATCTAACTATTCAACGCGTCTGCCAGATCGACGTCAGTTAGGATGAGTGATCATCAAGTATGCACGGACATTTCTAAGTCATGCATGCGTGTTTTCATCTTCCTTTGAAGATTCGGGACTATTACATAGGCCCATTGGCAAACTTGGTACTCGTGCTTTCCCTCGGGAGTGCAATGGTAGTGTTGCTTCGAGTGAGGTGACAGCTCGATTTGGTAGTGTCCCGTGTTCAGTCTAGACTAGTACGACTTGAATCCATCTAGGTTAAGAGCATGTCCTGTATTTTTGGGATAGGATAAGGCTTCCGCTTACTATTTTGTTCGTTCCCGGAATACAGAGAGAATCGTACAGATCCCTCTTTCTTGGGAATGATAAAGTTGGTGCCGCCCACTCGGAACGATTCACCTTCTTGAGACTCCTGCTTCGCAGAGACGTTCAACCTCCTTCTTAAGAGTGTTGGTATGGACCCGTGGAGTAGGTGAGCCCTAGTATAATAGGATTAGCGTCGGGACGAATTCTACTTCGTAGTCGTCCATTCGCAACTCTCCCCAAGTATCCTCGACTGGCCGAAGCACTTGGTTGAAAAGGCATGAGGCAGTTCTTGCTCTTCCTTATTTTACTGTTTCGACCTGGCGCATCTGCCTTAAGTCTGTTGTTCGTATGTCGTATCAAGATCTTCTTGAGACTATCTGCATTTTCGCTGACACTGCAGGATCGGGAATGGAGAGTTCTCCTTTCTATCAGTATCGCCATCTTTCGCAGGGAAAAATACGCTGTTCCACTCCATGACATGTAGTGACATCAAACTTGATTCTTAGGTCGAAGAGTGTGTCTTGACCTATGATCATGTCTTGCGCCCCCAAGTTCTTGGTGACGTGCAAATTCCATCGATAATTCTATTATCGTGGAACTCAGGAATCACGAGTGTGCCCTTACACTTCGTGCGGGGTTTCGATTCCTTCATAGAAGCAGTCCGTAATGTTTGGACGCCCCATGATTCTTCATGAGTAAACTCTTTGCATGAGTTTGAGTAATTAAAGTTCCGGATGCTCCTGTACCAGTAAGCAACAGAGTGTAACGGTTTTTGTTTCCCTTCTCTCTCGTCTGTTAAATCTAACAATGACGATAGTTTCGAGGTCTCTTGTCTTGCGACGTTGATGAGTTGATTGGCCATGGACGAAGTTAACGATGCTGAACAGATCGTCAGAGTCTAGTTGAGTAGTGCCAGGCAATTATCTAATTTGCGGTAGACTTCATTAGTTGCAAACAAATCTTGTTACTATTTAGTGAGATATCTTCATCACTTAGGTATGAGAAATCGGAACATGGTTCCGTTGAATCATCATCCTGGCCTAATCCTCAGACGAGAGCTCTCCTCCGAATGATTGAAGTCGAATTCGGCAAGCGCCTTGTCAACAGCAGCCATCTTCTTGTCCATCATGTTGATGGATCCAACAGAGGAGTCGTCCTCGTTGTCGGAATGTCGACTTGCGCTTGGCAACATGGTTGCATTCGCTTTCTTCTTGCGATCAGCCTGACCGCAGCGTTGGAAACCTTCTTCATGAGGACGAGAGTTCCTTTTGGTGTAGGTCTTGGCGTCGGACTTGCGTTTCCAAGTCTTGTTCTTGTTGTACGCTGGCTTGTTATCGTTGTCAGACGAGGACTGAGACTTGGCCTTGAGCTTCTTCAAGTCATGCAGTCAGCAGTGTTGTGAGTCTGACTCGTGGTAGTCCACCACTTTTCTTCGCTTGGAAGAATGGTCGTTGTTGCGAGTAGACTTGTACTTCTTGCTGTTGTCTTTTCTTCGTAGGAGCTTGCTGGCATCACCGCCCTTGTCAAAGTCTTTCGAGGATTCCATGCGTTGCAGAATCCAATTGTTTCCCGATAGGAGCTGAGAAAGGATCGAAGTCGTGTCGTCCATCTTCTTCATCCACGAGCGTGGAATTCCATGACAAACAATGTCAATGACTTCGTCATGGTTCAACGTTTGGTTGGGTCCAAAAGGTGGTAGACAGGAAGTTCATCGGGTGTTCATCCGACTGAGGTTGTTGACATAAGCCCGAGTAGACATATCAGCAGGCTTACGCATCTTGCGGCGCATGAAGCGTTTCTGCTTTTCAAGAGCCTTGTAGGACAGACCGCTTCGATACAGGCATTTATGCCAAACGTAATGTCAGTCGTCCAAAGCAGGCTGAGCTGCTCCGTTTCAGGCAGCCTTGAAACGTGTTTGGAAAGTGGCTTCGTCTTCGCCGCCACGTACATCGCGTTGAGCATCCCGTGACTGCAATCTGGCGCAAAGCATTCCAACGTTTTCACGGTGGCCTGCACACTAGATTCGTAACTGCTCTTGGCAGAGCTAGAAGTCATCTCCTTGAGAGGTTATGTTTGTGCCAGGCGTAGCAATGGCGCGACCACGAAGACCTTCTCCAAACGTCCAGCCCACTTGATGTCTGACGTGGAGTCTCAGATCCATTGATGATTTGACCTTGAAGGTGTACTTGGCGCTGTTAGCATCTGCTGGAATAGTGCGAAGTTTGTAGGTGGTAGAGCGAGAATCGTCGATTCGCATTCATCATCGAGGTCGATGAGAGGAAGGATTGGTTTGTCACGCAGCTTAGACTCGAAGCTGGTGTATGCGTCTTTGGAATCTTCATGGGAGGAATAGGTTGAGGGTAGCTGAAAGCTATTGTGTTTGTTAACAAAATGCACTACGCTAAAAGCTAGTGTAAAGATCTTTCGAGTGTTTTGAGTTTGAGAGAATGAAAGTTTTGAGAGGATTAGAAAGCTATGAAAACTAATCAACAAGAGAGATCCACAATCAAAAGATCGTAGATCTGAACCCGCGGGAGACTGTAGAGTGTTATAGAGTAGTTGCGGTAGCATCCTACTCCACTCCACGATCCAAAAACGGAACGCGTGGAAGATTCGTCTAGCATTTATCTAGTAGCGTGGAAGTGCTCCACGCTGGCTAAATATCTAGAGCGATGTTTCATCATCAACTAGTATGACTAGAGCGGTCATTGAGAACCCTGTCTCAATGACTATTCACGAAGACATCAGTCATGAGTCGAACTCAAACCCTATCTAGGATCGAGTCGCGAATAAGGCTAAGAGCCGTGTATTGCAGTAGGATCAGGAATGAAGAAGTTCTCTTCTTCATTGGTGTCGCTGTCTTTCATAGGAATAGATGCGTCGTCTCACTCCACTACATGGTAGTGAAATCGAACTTGAATCCTAAGTCAGAGAGAAGTCTCGACCTATGATCATGTCATACGCCCCAAGCTCTTGTGACGTGTAAATCCCACTCGATAATTCTATCTTCGTGGAATTCAGGAATCATGAATGCACCTTTGCACTTCGTGCTGTGTTTAATTCTCCTGCAGGGGTAGTCCACATTGTTTGGACGCCCCCAAATCCTTCATGCGTAATTTTTAGCATGAGGTTGAGCAATCAAGGTTCCGGATGCCTCTGTATCCAGTAAGCAACGGAGTTTAACGGGTTTTGGTTTCCCTTTCTCGTTGTTAAATCTAACATAGACGATGGGTTTGAGGTCTCTTGTCTTGCGACGTTTACGAGGTGGTTGGCCACGGACGAGGTTAACGATGCTAAATAGATCATCAGAGAGTCTAGTTGAGCAGCTTCTAGGCAATCATCTAATTTGCCGTAGTGTTCATCAGTTGCAAACAATTCTTGTTTACTAGTTAGTGAGATATCTTCATCACTTTGGTATGAGAAATCGGAACATGGTTCCGTTGAGTCATCATCCTGGCCTAATCCTCAGATAGAGATTTCTCCATCCAAGTGATTGAAATTGATAGAGGAGTTGTCCTCATTGTCAGAGTCTTCTGATTTGCGCTTGGCAACATGGTTGCGAAGTTTGCAAGTGGTTGCACGAGTATCGTCGATCTCGTTTTCTTCGTCATTGTCGACGAGAGGAAGAATGGGTTTGTCACGCAACTGTTTCTCGAAGTTGCGGAACGCATGCTTTCCTTGAGCCATCTTCATGGTGAAGGAATAGGTTGAGGGTAGCTGAAAGCTATTGTGTTTGTTAACAAAATGCACTACGCTAAAAGCTAGTGTAAAGATCTTTCGAGTGTTTTGAGTTTGAGAGAATGAAAGTTATGAGAGGATTAGAAAGCTATGAAAACTAATCAACGAGAGAGATCACAATCAAGGGATCGTAGATCTGAACTCCCGCGGGAGACTGTAAAGTGTGATAGAGTAGGTTGTGGTAGTAATCCTACTCGTTCCACGATCCAAAAACGGAACGCGTGGAAGATTCGTCTAGCATTTATCTAGTAGCGTGGAATCTCTCCACGCCAGCTAAATATCTAGCGCGATGTTTCAGCATCGACCTAGTATGACTAGCGGTCATGAGAACCCTGTCTCAATGACTATTCACGAGAGACTCAGTCATGAGTCGAACTCAAACCCTATCTATGATCGAGTCGCGAATAAGGCTAAGAGCCGTGTATTGCACTCAAACCAAAAAACTAAGAATTGGGCATCAGATTCGAAAGATAATGTATTTGGCTTGGTAGTCTGATTTGGCAGTTTATTACTTTTTTCCATCTTTTGTTTGGTTTTCGTTTTCGTTTTCGTTTGATGGTGTGCTTTGACTTGCCTCTAACAACCCATGCTCCACAAAAATGCTTACACAATCACATTCACCCGTCCCTGAAACTCATGCCCACTGGGCATGGGATTCAAAAATGGTAACATTCCTAAGGTCCTGACTGGAATTGTTACCACCCAGACAACACTACTGTATCCATATCTTGTGCAAACACTCAAACCAAATTCAAAGACTCAAACCAAAAAACTAAGAAATGACGGAGTCACACATATGCTAGGCAGCGCAGCAGCAAAAGAATCTTAACCCTAAAAAAAATCTGTTCACCACATTCTCCACCACCTTAATGTTTTACGTACTTTCACACCGTTAGCTTCAACGCAATTAGAACTAGACGTTATACTTCAGACTCACACGGGGGTAAGCTATGAAATTCTTGGATCTCCTTCAAGCTTACTCACTCGGCTCCGAGTGTGACTTCCCCTGGTATTGTAGAGTAGAGGGCGACAAAATGGTCTCTCGAGAGAATAGTTAGTTGGTACGTCGGTACTGGTACCGGTAGGCTCAGCGAAAGGGCACGAAATCGCGATTTACAAGTAATTCTGCATTATATTTGGGTTTTGATTTTATATTTGGGTTTTGATTTTTTATTTTGGTTTCGATTTTATATTTTGGTTTCGGCTTGATTTTTCTAGTTATTAACCATAGTAATTTGGTTTCGGTTTTATATTTTGGTTTCGGTTTTATATTTAGGTTTCGATTTTATACTTTGGTTTGGAATTGATCAATCTATTTGGATTCGATTCTAAAAATCCTGATTTCCAGCCCTTTCTCTGTGGCATCCACGCATGACATGTATCCTAGATGTATTACGTACAGCATTTGCCCTTGCACCAGTGACGTCATTGGTGGTCACGAGAATCCGGGACTGATCCCTCATTCTTTCATCGCAAACGCAATAACCAACCAACACCAAACACCAACACATCAAAGATCCCTCTGGGCTCTGGAGCTGTTATCGATAACAGCAGACCGAGTGCTTCTACTGTCTGTCGAGCTCGCTTAATACGATCTCTACTAGTGAACTCATCGAACAAGATGTCCAACCATCACGAGACGACGTCATTGCTTCGGCCCTTCACTGGTCGTCCAATCCTGATGGGTTTACCAGGGAATGGCATGACAAGCGATGACGCCACCCCAAGACGGGAGAGAGGTTCGGTCATGTCGAAATTCGCTGCCCTAGCCGCTCTGGCGTTGGTGTTGGGCTGCACTGTGTTTACAGGAACTTCCTTTAGGTTTTCAGTAGCCAAGGATACATTTTTTACGCGTAGCGATGATGTTGCCTACTTGGAAGAGAGGATTGATCTCTGGGAAGCCTGGAAGCAAAGGGGTAACCTCGTAGAGGATCGGGTGTATCTCCACACGAGACACTACTCTCCAATTGAGGCAAAACACGAGTTTCCCATTTATCTGAATCATTCCGATGCCTATGCTCATTTGGTGGCTGACGGACACAAGGGAGCTTTTCGGAATTCGGCAGACTATTTTCTCTACCAGCAAGGCTTGGATGCACAAGTCAATCAAGCCTTTTGTGCAGTGGCTGCCAGTGTCGCACTCTTGAATTCTCTGCGAGGAATCCTCGAGGAATTGCCACAGGATCCCATTTACAGCCCTTATCCGTACGCGACCCAGACAGATATATTCAACGAGTGTACCCACACCAACGTTGTGCGGCAAGACGACACATTCCAAGGAATATTAAGTGCCCCATTTGGCGTGTCTCTGAACTCTGCCGTGGGATTACTCCAGTGCAACTTGAATTCAGAAAGTTGGGACGTCCAAGTCACACATGTGGATCCGGACAAGGTTTCGCATAATGACATGCGCCAGACAATGAAAGCGGCCCTTCGCGATCCAAATTCCCGTGTCATGGTCAACTACGAAAGAACCTCGGCGGGTCAAATTGGTGGAGGACATTTTAGTCCTGTGGGAGCTTACTCTACAGCACTCGATGCCTTTTTGATTATGGATGTTGCCAAATACAAGTATCCCAATGCATGGATACCAACTGAAGTGTTGTATCAATCCCTCGGTACCATTGATTACTGCGGGCAGTGGGCAGGGCCGGCTGCACAAGCCTTGTTGCCACCTGCCCTTTTGCACCCAGCGACCCCGGCAGACATGGAAGCTGCAAAACGACAACTGGGTTGTCAACCAAAGCACCGTGGCTTTATTGTGGTCTCGAAGAAGTAAACAAAGGAGCTCCCTTTGAGCTATTGCAACTAACAGGAACTTAGGCTATGTATTACTGTACTGCATGTTCTTTTGCATTGATTGCTGAACTCTCGCCAGGGAATAGACTTGTCGGCCTGGTGAGGTTTGGCACATTCGTAAGGTATCTATCTGAAGCCCAGATACACTTGTTACCCACTATAGCCATCATAGAGCTTCTGTGCCCCAGTGACGCGGCAAGTGATGTAAGGTTGCTACGATATTGAACGGCAGTACACCCCTTTCTAAATAGACGATCTCTCGTATGATGAGTTTGCAAATGCCATCGCGCCAACATCGGGTTGCTCATCCCAGTCGGCCAGTCCAACCTCGTAGGCTAAATCAGCCTTGCGAGCCCTCGAAGCATCAAAATGATGAGACAATCCCACCTGGTAGGAAGGAAACGCTCAGAGAAGAACTGACGAAGGGCATGATAGCATGTGGGCGTTGAATCCTTGAATGGTACTTGCCCCAGGTATATCTTGCGCAAAAGCAGGCAGAAACCCAGTTGTCGTAAAGGTTTGGGAGATCCTGCGACGATGTTGTTCATGGAATGGGCTCCAATAGACGCCCAAATTCCATGCTTTTCAAATAAATGGCAAAAGCTGTTCCGAGAATTGACGAAGGCGTTGGAACCTTGCATTATAGCCAAAACAATTTGGTCTGCGTTCAATTGGCGCATTCTATCCTTGAGCTGTGAGAACGCGAACAAGAATTGCCCAGTGTCCCAATCACCATCATTGTGGCGCATCACCATTCCGAACGCCATGTCCCCTGTTGATTCTTGGTCAATGTCTGGAATGTGGTTTCCAATGTGATTCATCCCAAATACTAGACTGTTAACCAGGCTCCATGAATCTCCCATTTCACGTGATGTTGAATTCTCCCCCATGCTGATTTTTGTGGTGTTTGTAGTGTTGTCCTTCCTGCAAGGCAGCAGTCGATCTTGGATTTCTTCATGGATTGGTCCAATCAAGTTGGATCTCAACGGTTAACCGTGCTGGGTCTTGGCAGCCACGAAATAGATGCAGTTCATGTACACAGCATAAAGCAGGGTTGGTAGAAAGAACACTTCCAAGCCTCTACCAAATTGTTTCTGAAATTGCAAGCCCCATGCGCCTAGTGCTGAAATTCGAAAGATAGCTTGAGCCTTCTTGGAGGTATCGTACAAAAACAAAAGGAGCCTGGATGCTTTGCGCTGCAATGTGACACCATGCTTTGGATGAAAGAAGAGCGGTTCAAGCACTAGTTTTGCAATCACATCCACAGTTGTGTCCCGTGGCAAAAATGCGACATAATGATCACCCAAGAGACAGTGGGATGCCCCAATTCTTAACTGTACCAGTATCTCTGTCACTTTGACCTTGAGGCTTTTCCAAACCATCCTTGGACGTAACCCAGCATGGTCCCTGGTGGTGTTTCCCTGATCCCCTGATATCTCAGTGCTGGTTTTATTTGAAGCACCGCCAAGATGAAGGTCATCGTTATTAATGATATGCCCGTTGTTCGCTGCAACGTGTCCCCTTTCAGGTTTTGCAGTGCTCAACGAGTTCTTTACAAGCCTTGCTGGAATTCGAATGCCATTGCCTGTAGGCAAAGCCACCAAGACGAAGCAAAGCAACGCTTGAAGGATTGGCATGGTGTGGATGAACAACTTGTACTATGCTTGTGTCTTAGAGGTCAACAGAGAGTATACCAGAAGAGCTAGTCTCTTCTCGTGTTGGTGGCAATGACAAAACGGTAAAATCTTCCATGCAAAAACAAATATTAATAATAAAGGAACGATAACTACTAGTAGCGAGAAGTAGCTAGTCAGCACGTTAAACCACCGAATCGACCACAAACGCTCCAAGCTGCAACCCCACCACCCACCACCCACACAAACCAAGCAACCCTCCCAGCCATCGATCTCTTGCAAACTCAACTCCACCAGTCTCAAGAGGAACAACCGTGGTATACCTGACATTGTCATCATCATGAGCGCTCGTGCGATTCGCAAGCTACGAGAAGACCGAGCCGCACTGGCACAGGCAGAAGAGGAAGACGACGATGAAAGCGAGGAGGAAGAACCAGTGGCTCGTGGGGCGCCCAAAAAGTCTGCATTTGCCATGATGAATGACAGCAGCAGCAGCAGTGAGGAAGAAGACGAAGAAGCAGCCGAAAAAAGTGATGAGGAGGATGGCAATGACGACCAAGAAGAAAGTGACAAGGGAAGCAACGGCAAAAACCAAGAAAATGCAGCTGAAAAAGAACCCAAAGACGATGACGCCGAGGAAGATGAAGGAAAAGTAGAAGAAAATCTGGATGCCTTGTTGGAAGAATTCAAAGAACACGACGAAAAGAAACAATCTGCAACTGAGAGCGAAAAACCCAGTGGAGATGTATTAGAGCCAATGGTTCACTTTCAAACCGTGAGAGCCAATGTGGACATGCGAGATTTAGACGTCGACCACGTCATGAGAACATCCTTGTTGATTGCCGAGCCTACTAGAGACGGCAGCAGCAACAACAACGACAACAACAAGGGCAAACGACGGAATCGACAGACCTTCCTCTTTGGAAATCCACGAGACTTGCACGTCAATGTCAAACCACCCCATTATGTGGGAGGTGGGATTGGAATGTCCACTTATGATCGAGAAACCCATCGGGATCTTCCTTGGCCGTACAATAGCACTACCAGTGGCATACTGGACCATGGTGCTACCATGGACACATTGGAAGCCATGCAGGATCGTCGACGATGGTTCACCTTTTTGAATTCAGATAGCTACGATAAGGATTGTCAAGATTTTGAACGCATTCAGGCTTCGGGAGACATGAATGCCCTCGTCATGTTTGTGGCTCATCACCCATTCGTCACAGAGGCGTTGGTCACATTGGGAATGATGCTCTACCATGCCAATCAGGCGCAAGAGGGACTCACCTTTTTGAGACGATCTTTGTGGGTGTATGAATCGGCAACCCTGTCTAGCTTTAGTTCACGCATCTTTCAGGATCAATGTTTTATGGATTGCAACCAGCCAGAAAACAAGACTTACTTCAATGCTCTGTTCCGATTGGCGCGAGTCAACAATATGGCAGGGTAAGACAGAATGGTTTAATCGTTTATGTTTGCGCTCAAGTGTGGATTCAATTAATTCATGGCTCAACTCCCTTCATTCTATCTGTCATGAAAGACTCTCACGGGCCTCATTTGCAGTTGGTCGCTACATATTGGCACTGGATCCGTTGCGAGATCCAACGTGTATACTACTGGCGCTAGACTGTTATGCGCTCTCTACAAACGCCGATCACAGCTACCAGTGGATTGTCGATTTGTGCGACAGTCAAGAGGTACCCATTTGCTACAAAGATGACTCAGCGGAATATTGGGGAAATCTCACGTGTCTACCCAACTGGGCCTATTCGTATGCCCTGGCACTGTACCGTCTCAATGATTCTCGACCCTCCGAACGATCCAATGAAGCTTTACAAACCGCAATCAGCAAGTACCCATCCATTGTAGATCTTCTGCTAAGCGAAAATGATGTCGACATTGCCAGCAGATCGTGTCGCATTGATTGGCAGGCCGTGATGGATTATACTGGTACTCGGGCCAATGAAATTCATGGCTCCACAAATAATGACCACGACGACCCGGTTGTGCGCATGGCCACGGACAAGGCGTACGACCTCGCGAGCCGAATCTTTGCCAAATTGAACGCCAAACTCTGGGCGGGGGATGATATCATGCTATGGCTACACAACAACCTCAAAGAGCTCAAGGCGTCTTCTTCCGCAGACAAGTTTCCATTGACGCCCTTGTCACCATCGCTCATGCGATACTCGCGAGTCGATCCGGACGATTTCTCCATCAAGTTTCAATTGCTTCCCGCTGAAGCCAATCCGCTGGACATGGGACTGGTGAACCATGCGTTGGTGATTGATCCCAATCGACGCCGCTTTCTTCGTAACCAGCAACGAGGAGGTGGAGCACAGCCTGATCTTAACGATTTCTTGTTTGGGGATCTGGGGAATGCCGCGGTACGTCCCACACTCTTTGGTCCACCAACGCATCACATTGATCTCGATTTGCCCATGATGGAAATCTTTTGGCGTTCGTTGCTACCGTGGAATCGTGTTGATGAAATCCCGAGGCCACGACCGTGACCAAGAACACACAGTACATACGATTTGGTTTTCCACTCACAGCTAACATACCGTACTCCACTCTACTCTACAAACTGCTACTGCTGCAGGTATTGTAGGAAATGATACCAATATTAGAACAAAACATCACTAGACTATCTTATCTCTCTGTGATACTTTCTAACATTTCAAAGTAGGTTGGGAACGTTTTGGCGGTGCAACCTGGATCATGAATTCGTACATCGACACCACCACAAGCCGCCAGACTGAACGTCATGGCCATGCGATGATCATCGTACGTCTCAATCAGCACATTGTCGTTGATCTTGTTGTCCTTGGGAGGATGGATAATGCAGTAGTCTTCAAACTCCTCCACGGTAGCTCCCAACTTTGTGCATTCGGCCACAATGGCCTTCATTCGTTCCGTCTCCTTAAGTCTCCAGGAATACACATTGCGAATTGTCGTGGGTCCGTCGGCAAAGAGTGCTGCCACGGCCAATGTCATGGCGGCATCGGGGATCTTGCCACAATCGACATCAACTCCCTTGAGTCGCACGGAAGGATCCCGCGTCACCGTGATACTCTCTGGTGCCCAAGTGACTTTAGCTCCCATTTGTTCCATGACATCGGCAAAGGCTACATCTCCTTGAACACTGTCTGATCCACATCCTCGCACCTCGACAGTTCCTCCGGTAATGGCAGCTCCGGCAATAAAGTAACTGGCCGAACTGGCATCTCCCTCTACCAGGATGGATTTGGGGCTAATGTATTTTTCCGACGCTGCTATATGAAAGGACGGTGTTCCATCCATGTCTCCTTCAATTTCGACATTCACACCAAACTTTTTCATGAGTCCAATGGTCAATGCGACGTAGGGAGCCGATATCAATTCGTCCTTAATGGAAATGGTGACATCGCCATCGACCACTGGAGCCGCCATGAGCAAGGATGACAAAAACTGGGACGACATTTTCCCACTAATGGAGCACTGATAAGTGATAAAAAAGAGAGAGAATAGAGAAAATGGAGAGTTTGTGGTGAGCAGACCAGAAAGGTACACAAAAGGTGTAGACAGATGTGATCATCCCAAAATTCATTGTCGGAACACACCTTTCCTCCTTTTAATCCATTGGCGTTGATGGTGACGGGTGGACATCCCGTTTCTTCGACGCAGGAAACATCGGCTCCCAGTTGCTTTAATCCATCCACCAAATCGGCAATGGGTCGTTCCCTCATACGAGGCACACCGTCCAAGACGAATTTTCCCTCCCCCATACAAAGGGCTGCTGCCAAGGGTCTCATGGCCGTTCCAGCATTTCCCAGAAAGAGTTCACAGACTTCCTCCTCCTTCAATGGCGAATTAATGGGTCCTGCTTGACCCGTCACGGTCACAGAGCTTTCGGAATGCTTTTCCACCGGCACCTTCATTTGATCCAGTGCTTCTAGCATGTATCGAATGTCGTCGCTGTCGAGTAGATTGTCCACTTTGGTGGAACCTTCGCTGAGAGCTGCCAAGAGCAGACAACGATTGCTCAGGGATTTCGAGCCTGGAAGAGTGACGGTTCCGTCCAAGCTCTTGATGGGAGTCACGGTCAACGAGTTGGTGGCCTCGTCCACAGCTGGAACGGTTGCCTTGAGTGCCTTGTTCATGACATGATGGTGGTGGATGGTGGTGGGTAGAAAACCCAAGGACCCTGGAAGCAACAGCAACAAAGATGCCAATAGCATCGAATTGGATACTTTCGTGAACATGGCTTTACCACTTGAAGAGTCGTTGCTGTCGGTGGTGGTTGCAACAAATAATGCTCCCGCGATGGAATTGAATTGGACGAAGAAAGGTTGGAAGAAAGAAAGAGGCGACCAAAATGAAAATGTGGGGTCGAAAATGATTGGTCTGACGTCAGCCATGGTTGGAAATTCATCTCACAGTTTCGCTGGCTTCTATTATCGGTAACTTTCCCATAATTTTACCATCTCCTTTGGCCAAATATCTTTTTCTTGCCATTTCTTCGGAACCTTCTCAGGAGAATGACGAAGCGAGTAGCCACAACCTCTGTTGCATACAGTCGTACCCACGAGTTATCAATAGTTAGTTGTCAAAGCCCACTCTGTCCCTTTGTTCTGAAAAGTACCTAGCGCTAGCCAGTTGTGCATAAAACAGACGTGAACACAAGCAACATGGCGATCGATATGGGTATATTGCAGGCTCTGGCCGCCAACGTCCTTTCGTGGGTATTTTCTACGTTTCTTCCCGCTTTCATGCCCAAACTGCTTCCCGCCATTGAAGCAGAGGATACTAGTACTCGGGCTTCTGCCGAGTCGGAAACCAATCAAACCAAATGCATTGCCATTGGTCGTCCCGGCGGATCGGAACAACTCCGCCTCATTGCGCTCCAACCAGGCATTGCTACCTGCGGCTACAACATAAAAGGGTTCAAATGCCCTTTTACCAAACCATTGAAGGACGACACCCCTCCCGACTGTGTGGTACTCCAAAACGAAGCCTTTAGCGTCAATTACGCCGACTGCTGTATCCGATGGGGTCTGTACGAATCGGCCAACCAATTCGTGGGATGGCCCATTGTGCCAGGCTTTGATGTGGCGGGAACGGTCGAAAAGGTGGGATCTTCCAGCTCGTTCCAAGTGGGCGACAAGGTCTTTGGATGTACCCTCTTTGGTGCCTACTCGACACGGGTCTTGGTTCCCAGTCTGCAGTTGAAAAAGATTCCAGAGGGTCTTTCCATTCCACAAGCAGCTTCCTTGCCAGCCGTCTCGTTGACCGCACTTTATGCCCTCTTTTTGGCAGGCCATTATGGCAGCCACTATAAACTCACGAACCGAGCTATATTGATTCATTCCGCTTCGGGTGGGGTGGGCAGCATGCTGGTACAAATGTCCAAAATTTTGGGTTTGAATCCCATTGTAGGAGTGGTGGGTCGAACGCAAAAGGTGGAGGAAGCCAAACGATTGGGCTGTCATGTCGTCATTGACAAGAGCCAGGAAGATCTCTGGCTCAAGGCAGAAGAGGCATCCCCGCAGGGTTACTCTGCCGTTATGGATGCCAATGGCGTGTCCACTCTGGAAGAATCCTATAATCATTTGGCCGCGAGTGGTCGACTGATTGTCTACGGTTTTCATTCCAATCTACCCATTGGCCGCGCGGCACTGTCCCCCATGGAATGGATAAGCATGGCACAAAAGGCATCGAGTATGCCCAAATTTGACCCCATGGATCTGACAAAGTCCAACAAGAGCATCTTGTCGTTTAATCTGTCGTTCTTTGCCGATGAAACTGACGTGTTGAGTCAATTCTTTGATCAAATATGCGAATGGATCCAACAAGGCAAACTGGCACCCCCACGAGTGGTGGAGTACCCCATGGACCAAATAGTGGAGGCACACGAGTTGATTCAAAGTGGCAAGAGTATTGGTAAAATTGTCTTGACAACCCCAGCAGAGCCCGACACTATTTAGTTATGATAGTGGTAAACAAACGAAACAACAGCAGATTGATATATTGTCAAAGTTATTTACGATGTTATCCCGCCAAAGCAATCGCCAATGCTTCCTTCTTCATTCTTAGTTTGCGAATTGTCGTTGTCACCGTTGCTTACCCAAACAATTCATTCAAATACTTTTTGTAGATTGCCATGAATTTCGCAATAAACGCCTCCAGATGAAATATTTCCTTACTTCCCATGGCAATCCGATGTTCGTAGAATGCGGCCCATTCGAAAACTTGTGGTTTCAAAGTATCATCTAAATTCTTGGTCAATTCTTGGACCAGTGTCTTGAGAATGACGGATGCAGGAATGCAATTGACCAATAGTTCGTATAGTTTTTCGCGTGCCGCCAGTAGCTTTTGGGGAGTTTGTTCGGCGGCAATATCCTTGGCGAGTTGTGCAATATAGAGTTCCCAGTCCGTTTTGGGAACGGGTTGATTGGCCGTCAACCCGTCTCGTTTCTGGACATGACAGGCTTCCATCATGAGAATGGCCCGTCGTAGATTGCGGGAACTCTCCCGAGCAATGTTAATGGCCAATTCATCGGGGAGGGTAATGGATTCCTTGCGTGCCACGACTTTGAGGACGTCGCAAATCTACCGTATTCCCATTAAAATAAAAATGACATCAGAATAATACAAATTAAAATGAGAGACCAAAAGAGGATGAATGAATAAATCATTGCTCCACAATTTTGTGACTCATGTGCTTGCTTACCTCATCATGCGTGGGAGCTCCTACTCTGATTCCCAAACAGCGACTTCGCACGGGTTCAATGACTTTACTGAGATTGTTACAGCACAGAATCAATCGACATGTGTGACTGTATTTCTCCATGGTCCGTCGCAGCGCCGCTTGGGCCGGTCGACTCAATCGGTCCACTTCGGACAGCACCACGACTTTGAAATCGGCGGCCTTTTCTTTGGATGTTGTCACGTTGGTATTGGAGGCAATTTCCTTAATGACACTTTGCACGACGAATCGATCGTTATTACCGGCATCTCCCGGACTGATTTCAATGTGATAATTGGACGTGATCATGTTGATCTCAATCGTCTTGTTGGACGGGGTCTTGAAGGTACGCTTGTCCAGTTTGAGACGCTCCGTGCCGTGGCCAAACAGACCTCGTAACAAGGACGAAATGCGTGTCTTTTTGCCACTGCCCGAAGGACCGTAGAAAAATAAATGCGGCATGGTTTGAGGACGAGACGCCATGGCTTCCAATCGAGACGTAATGTCGCCATGGAACGTCAGATCCTCCAATTTGGAAGGACGGTGCTTGTCGACCCAAAGCATGGTTTCTTTCTTTCTTAGTTATTTAGTTGGTTGACTGATTAAAGAGTAGAATACCAAAGTGGATTGTTGATAAGGTATATGATAGCAAGATGGACTGAGGCGGCTGAGAAAGTGATTGTGGAGGGAGGAGGGACCTCTTTGTTGTCATTGGATCTTCGAGCCAAAACGCGCGAAACCCAAGATTGGTTCAGGCCGCACACTGGCTCTGGATCTTTGTCATTGCTCTGGTTCAGGAAGGATTGCAAACGCTAGCTACATCGTAGCTACCTAGGAAACGAAAGTTTGCTCCCATCGAAATAATAAGGCTTGCAGCGGCAGGGCATCCACTGAAATGGCACTCCAGACATATCCTTCCCCGGATAGGTAGATACAAGTACATGTAAGTAGAAGCAAAGCAGCAAGGAATGCCCAGAGGAAAGCTGAGAAGAAAGAGGCAAGCAACGTACATGCACGGCACGACAAAGTTGTTTTTTAGCGCCTGGAAAGATCAGGGCGACAGTATACCGTAGGGAGCCATCTTTTGCATCCAAAGAGTTTGCATTTAATTTGTTCTTTCGTTTGTAATAGTGCTTGACTGCAATAACGTCGACAAGGACACTCTCCGTATCGAGGGAACGAATTGAAGAACTGAATCCTACAGGTCCAGTGAGATCAAGTAAGTACCGGTACCGGTACGTGTTGTAGTGCGATGCAAAAGACGAATGATAGGCTGTGGGAGGAAACTTGCCAAGAACACGCGGCTTGTTTCAAGCAATGGGGAGTCTCAGTCGTCCGCCGACGGGATCTTGTGGGCAAGCAACTCTTCAAAAGGCGATTGCACGGTAGCAATAGAGCACCCTGGATTGGAGCAAAGCTTTTTGGCCTTTATGAACGCTTGGAGAAGGAAGCAATGCTTACAGACAATGCTCAGCAACAGAGCTCCTTTGGCTGACAGTGGCTTATCCAGGGCCAGTTGAAGCCACTTGCAGAAGAACATGGCCGCACACGATGCTGACTAGCATGGCTCAGATGGTACCATGGCGTCAGGAACTTCCTGTTTCACTTTTCACTTACCTTCCTTGATAACTTGAGTACTACTAGCGTTTTATTAACACGTGTTAAATCGTCTATACTAATGCCGTATCCAGTCTAAAATGCGCATAATGTACACGTAAACAGTGTAAGCGTAGAGGGCGTCATCACATCCCGTGCAGGTGAGTGAACAAGATCAGTTCTCAGATTGTCGGCTTTCCGCCACGGCAGTCTTTCGTCGGAATAGAATCAACGGGTTCCGGCTGCCACCTCCTATCGAGAAGCGCCGTTCCAACGGCACCTCTTGATACCAGTCATTCCTGCTGTGGGCTACCAAGTCTTCTCCTCCCCATCTCATGGCCTCATCCTCGCTCTGTTCCTCGTCAGAACCGTCGTCAGCCAAGAGTGCTTCGGCTCGTCGTTGAGCTTGACGGTGACCCATTTCAGCAGCTGCCATGAGCCATTCCAAGGCCTTGCCACGGCTTCGTTCTACACCGACACCGTCGAGGTAGCAATCTGCCAGAAGGTAGGCGGCACCGGAATGTCCCAAATCGGCAGCCTTGATAAAGTACTGGACGGCTTGTCTGGGATCCTCCACCGTCCCGTCTCCCATGTACAAGGAACAGGCCAGTTCGTACATGCTTGCCAAATGACCTGCATCGGCTGCTTGTCTCCAGTACTAAATAGTGATTGCCGAGAATACAAAACAGGAAAGATACACATCATAGACACTCACGCTGGTTAGCTTGCTTGTTTGACCTTCTCTGTGAATCACGAACGATTAGAAGAACGCACCTTGACAGCCAAGTGAGGCTTGGCTTCAATCCCTGCACCCCCTTGATTCCAGACCATTGCTGCAGGCAAAAGAAGGGTTGATTGAGTCTGGTCTGCATGGCAAAAACCACATCATGAAATGCAAGCCCGCAAGGTAGCTCGATACCTTATGCACACTAGTACAGTACGTACCATACAAGCACAGTCCATCTGGATGTCCAGCGACGGCTAATTTAATGACAATCTGAAAGCCCTTTCGTTGCTTTTCCAACGATGTTTCTTCAAAGAGATAGTAGGATGCAAGCCGGAACTCCAAATCTTGGCGCATTTTGGTGTCGCCACCTTTGAGGTAGTTCTGTAGATCTGTTTCCAGGGCCGAGACATCTCGTGCTTGGGGAATGTTGTTGGGCCATTTAATGGATGCCGGAGACGATATCTTCCATTGCTTTTTGATTTCATTTAACCAACGACTGTAGAGTGCGAGCTTGGTAAGAAAGTAGGATTCTTCCTCCGTCATGACTTCGAGGTTGTCGTCGTCGTCGTCATCATCCACCGTCGCCATGTTGGGGGGCATCTCACTGGCGGCAGCTTCGCAGTTGGCTTTCCGGCTAAGGAGCAGCGACTGTGGAAGCTTGTCGTGGTTCGAATGGTTCCATCGTCCAATGGGTGTGCCACAGTAGTAATAAGCTGGGGCTTCTCGGTTCTCTTTCTTGGTGGTATTCTTGTTGGTAGAAGCAGATTGCATCACTGTGGCTGCAGCAGTGCTTCCAGCCAAGAGGATTAGGCTTTGCATTTTCCACATTTTTTTCTGCCTGGGCAGCAATACCCTGGTGGTAGCACCGAACATGATGGCTGCAGAACCCAGTGGATACCCAGATTCTGATGGAGGGTACCGGTAGCAATTCCAATGCTTCGAGGGATGTGTTGCAACCCCTTGTTTCCTCTGGTTTCTCTTCTGGATAGCTGGTTGCTAACCGCACCAGTTCAATCGAAGGTAGCGGTATCACCCTTGGCCACAAGACGAAGCAATCACTCAGCCCAGTGCAAGAGGTGATGCTGCTTCTATCGATCTCTATGTAGCCAACAATAATGAAGGCTTTACGCCTAAATAATGCCGTCAGTAATTCTCGTTCAACCAAAAGTGAGGCAATAGGGGTATTTTGGTCAGTCCCTCCACCGTTGATGTCAAAGATCGGGGGTGAAGAAATTCTTAATTCTTTTTATCATAAAAAGTTGTCTAAATAAGGCTTGGAAATGTGGATTGCCCCCCTAACATTTTTATAGCTGAAGTCAAATACGAGTTCAAAACAAGCGAGCTATTACATAATGGGTCAAAGCTAAGAAAATGCATCCCCCCGAAACCTTATCCCCCATGGTACACGCGGGCGCTCTCCAAAGAGGAAAAGATCCAAAGGGGTGCGGCGTTCCCAAGACTTGCTCGATCTTCATTCTTCATCCAACACACTCGCATCGTTGTCATTGTAACCAAGATGATGGTGGGCAACCATGTCCTGTTGGGCCCTGGTCCACTGCTATTGCTACTCTTGGCTGTATTATCCCAAGAGATTGCTGGTTTCGTGCCCAGCCACCTGTCCGTCATTAGAATCAAGAATAATGAGGTGAGCTGTCCGATACCCCTCCGATCGGATGATACCCCATCCAATACCGTGTTGCAAATGGGGTTGCGCAACTTTATCAAGAAGAAGGTCCTTCGGAGAAACAACGAGGATCCATCAGGAGGAAATGATAATTCATCGTCCAAAAGCGCAGCCAGTGGTACCGGAATGCCAAACAAGGATCCCACTGGAGGCAGCCGCAAGGATACCAACAAAATTATTCAAAATGCTGCAGCTACCAAGGCTGCCAAAAGTCAACCACCCAAAAAAGTCCGCATGGGAGAGGATCCTGCCACGGGAGAAATTGACGTGGAATCATCCAAACTAGGTCCTGAAACAGTCCAAGAACGCATTAGCCGTATCAAACGTGGGGATATGAGTGCCGCCGAAAAGCAAGCTTTTCTACAATCTGCCTTGTCCACGGGAAATACACCCGAATCCAGATTACCCATGATGGGACGTTCCGATGCCAATACGCCACAGTCGGCATCGCCCTTTCCCACGGACTCGATCTTGAGAAATATGGCAATGGGTAACAAAAAGGACAATGGCACAAATACTTCTTCTGGTAGTAAAACCAGAAGAGATGTACCCCTCGAAATCGCGGATTCACAATCCAAGAAACGAAAGTATCTAGATATGGTCACCGACCCACACAGATTCGACAATTATCAAAATCTTCAAAAGAAGGGCACCAACGAAGCGGCAAATGGCGAAGATAATGGTGGGGATGCAGAAGCAGAAAACAACAATGAAGCACAGCAACCCAACGTTCCTCTCGATCTAGGTGCCAGATTGGGGGCCCATGCCATGGAAACGGTAAAACGCAACAAGGAAATTCGAGAACGGCAGGAAGAAAAGGAGCGGCAAATGGAGGAACACCGACGAGCACGGGAGAAGCGATTGGCCGAAGCGCAAGTGGCAAGACAGGCAGAAATGACGAAACGAGAAATGGATATCCAACAACGACGACAAGCCAACGATCAGGAATTGCAAAAGAATTCGCAACAGAACAACTTGGCCGAAGAGGCTCGTAGATCGGAGTTGATGAAGGCACAGGACGACTACTGGGCCAAGAAACTGGCAGAGAACAAGAGGGCAGAAGAAGCCAAGGAGGAAGCCGTCAAGGCAAGAGAAGAGAAGGAAAAGGAACAAGAAGAGAGAAAACGGGCAGCTGTAGCCGCCGCTGCTGCAGCTGCGGCGGAAGAGGTAAGAACGAGCATTGATGTTGCTTTTCAAATGGTTGGCTTTCGTTTCTTATTGTGACTTTCGCGCTGGATTCAAAAAGAATGGCGAAGACAGCAATACGAATGCAAACACGCTAGAGAGTCTCAACGACGTCGCGCAAGCACGTGGCAACAACATGGTCAATCAAGCTTCGGAAGCATCGGGACGATCGTCCTTGAATGATCTTCCTCTGCGTGGCTCTTCCGAACAAGATAGGAGACAGGCTGGACTGGAAGATCAACAACTGCAAGCGCTGCGATCCCTCAATTCACCTCTGCCAAAACCAGCCTCTGGACCCAAGAAGCGCACCACCTTACGAAAACCACCCACCTTTCAGCCTCAAAAGCCCGTGACTGCTCGCAGTCAAACACCGGCTCAAAGTTTAGGAGATCTAACCAACACCATCAAGAACCCCACTCGGGTTTCAAACGACAACCAAAACGAACAGGCGGCCCCGGCTCCTGCAAAACCAGAGCCGACGCGACCACCCCAAGACGAAGCGGTCGGACGATCCTTCAATCCTTTCTCGAGACTTGGTGGGGGTGGCAGGAATGGCAAAACGCCTCCAGCTGCAAAGGCTCCTCCGTCGCCGCCTGCTCGAAAGGGCCCGATTCGCATGGAGCTACCACTGGGAGATGAGGATGACGAGGAACCGGCCATGACCGAGGGAATGACCATTGGTGAGATTATGAAGCGACAAAAGGCAGCCAGCAATGATGATCAAGACACGCGATCAAAGCAGTGGGGAGTGGACATGTCTAGATTCCAGGAGTAATGATTGCTTCATTTCGTCGTTGCCGTGGACCTCCTGCTACTGCACGGTTGAATCGTACGCTTTTGAACAGATTACTACTTTTTCAATACACACCTAGACTTTAGAGAACTGTAAAGATAATGCCTGAAGAGGTCACATTTGATTGGATTGAATGATTCGTTTTCAAGTTTGTTTCAACTCTTCCATTGTGTGTTTGGTACGGATTTTGAAGCCCTGAATACTAAGTGCCTGCGAAAAGCTAGCTAGCTAGTGCCAGTGACAAGTTCGTGACGACAGGATGTCGGTTTTCCTTTGCTGCTATCCTGGGCCATCGACGCATGCACAGAGCGTTGGCTTTCCTTGCTTCGAATATCATCCTGGTTGAAACGAACTGCATGTATATTAAACGGATCGGTTCGTCTCAAGATACTGAACAAGAAAAGTCGTTTAGCTTGCCAAGAAAACATGCTACGAGTACGAAACCTACCGTATCGGTACCGGTACATGTTTGATGATCGTCACGTGCCAGTCAAGAAGATGCCGCCACCAGTTTGCATTAAAATGACACTATTCTTCCCATTTCCCGACCTACATGTACATGTACTAGTCGGGATTCAAACGATCACACTACCAACCAGCTGGAGCTACACCACAGGCATCTGGTGCTTCCACATCGAGGGAGACACACTGGCCTATTTGTTGTAGTTTAAAAATCTGGTCTCCTCCATCTTTTCCAAAATGTCTTCATCCACATACTTGACCAGCTTTTTTGGAGCAGGATCTTTGATTCCGTCAGAACCGTTCAGGAGGATAACATTCTCTGCAAAGGCTGGCGGTAACCATCTTTTGAACACTTTGACAACATAAGAAAGAGCATATGGCACAGGGTAGATGATGAATTTTGCACTGCGACCTGGGTGCACCTGCACGAAGGCGCTTGTGAGAATTTTCAGGTAAGAGACAATAGCGAAGATCAAATGGTTTGGCCATCCTGCGCCTCTGCGTGAGTCGATCATGAGCACCATGCCTTTACCCGTGCCATCAAGGTCTACCTTGCGACTTTTTCGTTCCAAATACAAAGTCATGGCGAGAGCATAAACATCTCCAGAGGCGTTCTTCAAGTCCAGGCGAGCAGCCAAGTATTGAATGAAGGGCAGTCCATCCTTGCAAGCTGCATGAGAGCCATCTTTATTTTTGTGCATAAAACACATACGAGGAAGTTTATCCAAGTTGCACAGCCTGTCCTCGAACTTTGCCAACCCCACCAATCCAGGAATCAAATCTTCTTTGCACGTTCTTGCTGCATGAATGGCAACATTTGAGGCCCATTCCCAATCTTCTTCATCACTGCAGTTGACACCAAAGCTTTCCTGGGAATCCAGATGATACATTTTTCGGAATTGAACATAATTTTTCAGTTTTTCGATGAGAATGTCCTCAGTGCCACCATTCTCCAAAGTGTATTCCCGGAACCGAGCGCAATCCTGTTCGGACAAAGTGGGGAACTCTTCGTGAAGAATACTAATGTCCCCATCCAATGAGCCAGTTTCCATCGAAGTCAATTGGGGTTTGCAAACATCGTCGCTGCTACTAGAACTAGGGAAGCGTATTGGTTAGACAAAGGGATACCCACTGTGTGTTGTTTCGAATTACAGCCATTTGCTGGGGGATCGACCTACCTGCTACTGGCACCATGTCCCGAAGTTGGTTGCCAATGAATTACAGCCCCATGAGACCCGAGTGTTCCAGATGACCGTCTACGGCAAATGACACCAACCATGGTTACTTGCACCGTTTGTTACCCTGTTTGGGTGGTTTCAACTTTCACGTGTTGCTGCCGTGTTCTTCTCTTTGCGGCTTTGCCATTGTGCCGATGAGTGCAGGTCATGGTGGTGGCATGGAGAATGGTGACAGGGGTCGGTTGAGAGTTGAGAGTTGAAAAGCGCGCGACTAAACATGCGAGCGTCTTGATTGATAAATCTTTGAAGTGTCCAGTCGGAGGCGCAATGAAAGCCCGCCTAAACACAAACTCCTTCGACAATTGGAAAGATTTAATAGTCAGACTGCTCTTTTTCGGACTGGTGATGGTACTATATATATTAATAGTACTACTAGTACGACTGCACCCTACTACTGTACATGCACCTATTTTAATATTATTCGTGCCGGTACCCCAACTCAACACCATGATGCATGAAGCTATGCATCAGCGGGAGGGCGCAACAATCACGATGTCAAGCCTACGAGCTAGCTACGGTAGCATAGTTTCGAAAGCCTGTCAAGTCTAGAGCTACAGGTATGACCATACCACACTCCAACGCCTGGACGACCCCAATACACAAGGTAATCAACGACCTCAAGAAGAGCCATGGCCTCGAATGGATTAGAACGTCCATGTCCTACCATCGATTCACCAACCTGCGAGAGATGTTCATGGGCGACCTATCGAGGAAGCTCACCAAAGACGTCATCTCCACCGAGTTCCAAAATGAAACCTGCAACTGCAAGCCAGGAAACAAGAAAGACGGTCAATGCCGATTTGACGACCGCTGTAGAAATAAACTGGCCATATACTGCATCAAATGCATTAACTCGGGCAAAGAATACGTTGGGGCAACCCAACAAAACGTCAAAGAACGAACATACCAACACTTCACCGATGTCATGCGTCTCCTCTACGGAAAACGCAAGTCAGATTCATATGCAAGACACTTCGCCAACGAATTCCAAAACTTCGCTTCTCCTTCACCATTCCGACTTAACGGTGACATTCAAAGGAACAGCATCGAAATTAGCATCCTATGGCAAGGCAACCCCATCAGCACTGTCAAGACCTTCGGGACACGACACTGCAGCCTATGCAACAGGGAGCGACTCGAGATACTGAAAAGATCCAGAGAATCGCCAGAAAAGCTTATCAACTCCTGCAACGAAATATACGGAGCATGCCGACATAAACCTCGATTTCATATGTACCACAATAGCCCAAGCACTGATGATTCCCAAGGGGGATGAAAAAGTCAAACAACCGAAAAGTTACCACAGAGTCAAGCCTGTGTTTTGGCGATTCGGCAGTTTGTGCTGATCAAGAGTAAAACTACTTAATTCAGTCACTTTTTGCTAAAATCGTATGATACCGGTAATATGAAAGCTAGAAAGGTACCTCGGCCAGCAGCAAATCTAGCTAGCTGCTTTTTGCCACCACTCTTCAAGGGCATTGTAGAAAACTTCGACAGGTACCGGCATGTTCCGGTGCCTGGTAGGACGTTGTCTACTCCTGGTAGAAGTGTTGAGCGATCAAGCCTGCTGTTGCTGTCTAGCATACCGGTAGTTTCGGGCCTGTCAAGTCTAGCTACAAGTATACCGGTACCATGGCCAGCAGCTAATCTAGCTAGCTGGTTGTGGCCATCATTTGATCTCGTTCCATGCATTTTTACAACTATTACGTGCTAACAATTGGCAATGTGTTGTTCTGTTTGTCCCGATGTTCGACACCTTTCTCTCCCATAGCTTTGATAGCCGTGTCGGCATCTACATGTATCATCGCCATCTTGGGGGAGCACTTTGCTCCCTCGTTAAACTTTTGCTTGCGCCGAGCCATCAAAAGCCCAGGCCATAACAAGTGCGTTTGTTTCAAGAAGTAAATATCTCGTGCTTTGTTCACTGTCACTCAAAACCATTGATATAGATCATCACCTCATATGATGTGCCTTCAGCATCCCGCCACACCCCGAAATTTTCTCTTGCCAGATACGGTCTTCATAGTACTCTCGCAGCGTATTCTCCAGTTGTGGCGTAACCTCTCGTCCGTCTGGATGATTCCCCATCTTGGGCTTCTTTATGCTCTCTTTCATTCTGGCCGAAACCATTTCCAGTTCTCCCTTCATCAAGGCAAACGTATTGTTGATGCGCTCCTTCTCTTCGTGGGGAGCAGCAAGGAACCACAGGTCGTTTAGAAAGTGTCTCGTGACGTCTGCATTGGCTCCCGATCGTTTGTGTATGACCACCATAAACTCCTCCAAACTATCCAATCCAGTGTGTCCTACCGCCAGGCCCAAAAACTCGTGAATGATGGTAAGAGTGTTCATTTCGTTGGCAACAACTCGCGTCAGTGGTTGCGAGTCCTGAGAGATCTTGTGGAAATAGTCCTGCAAGAATCGAATGTCATACATCATGCGACACAGCGCTCTGGCCGGGCAGGCAAAGGGCAGCGCCTTTCGCCGATCCTCTTCGGATTTGCCAAACTTCTTTGTGGACTTTCGTCGCACGTAGGAGCTCTTCTTCAGCAAGAGTTCGACAAAGAAACATACCGTGGCACGTACAAGGGCAACCACCACTTTGTGATAGAGGAAATCATTGCAAAGAAAGTTTTGCAGATCGTTGTTGTATTCTTCAAACCCTCGCAGCATGGTCAGAATCACCTCGTTGTGTGTGTATCGATCTTCCCAGTCTCTGCTAAACAACTCCTCCGTGACGGTGGATTCTCTGACATTTCTCATGACGTACAAATGGCTCGACTGTGATGCATAAACGGCATCACTGACAAAGAGTGTCGCCAAGTCGTTGGCTTCTCGTCGAATGACTTCGGTTTTGGTGTCTCCGTCCAGTGCGTTCCACTCTAGGAAGGGGTATTTGAGCTCTAGATCTGTCATGAGGTCTTCAATCCGTGTCATCATGCGAAAGAAATCGTTTGCCGTGGCACAGCACATGTCAAAGCTAGTCAAGAAAGTTTCCCGATGTCGTGTTTGTTCGGCCCAAATGCAGCGAAAGATGGCCAAAAGCGCATCCTCAATCACATCCTCTCCGTCGTCTGAATTGAGAATACCAGCGTCTTCCAAAAAGTCGTGTAAAACGTTCAGTTGGACATCTACCAGAAAGAAGATATCTTCTGCCAGTGAGGTTGTCAGGATTCCAGTTGTCACAGACCGATTCATGGGGTGGTGTGTTCTACATTGTGTTTTGTTGCGTGGTTTTGTTGGTGATGAGTAATGGAGGTGAGATATAATGTTTGTAGAGAGGACGACTGAACCTGCTCAAAACCAAAGAAAAGCACAAGCTAGAACGTACCGATAGGCATTAGAGAGACTGGCTGCTGCCTGCACTCGAAAGCCCTGTAGGAATTTGCTAACCGGAACACTCCAATCTTGACCTCTTTGAGGGGAAGAAACCTCCATGGCCATTGACCGTCGCGGTGGTGTCACCACTTTGGGTTGCAAGTGTCGCTTCATCCTGGCATTCATGCCTACACTGTTGACATCGGCAATGTGCTCCGAGATTGGCGTCGTCTCCATAAAGTCACGGGGATTCATGGAGCCAAAGAAACTTTGCAGCACTGCCGAGTCGGTCTGCGATGTCATGGACATGCCAGAGAGCCAACTCGTCCCGGAGGACACGCTCAGCTTGGGTGGACCCATCGTTACCGTTTTCGTCCCAGATTCGGTTGAGCTCGTACTGGTAGCTGGTTAGTGGGAATTGTGAAAAGTATTCTTCGATCGAGAAGAGTGCCTATCCAACAAGCCATCAAGGGAGTGACAGGCGTGTCTCGTTTAGTGACAACAATAAACGCTTTGCGATCCGTTCGATCAATCCGTAACACTTGACTGCGCACCCTGGAACGGTCTACAGTCTGTATTGATGAATTGAATTGAATTGACCTGGTCCAGGCAAGAAAGGGTGTCGGAGATCGTAGAGGTCGTCCTGATGCTGCTTTTCGACTTCTCTTTCGATTTCGTGGAAACAGAATTCAAAGGGACTTGTCGCATTCAAAAACGACTCAAAAAACGGCAAATCCGAAGCAACAGTTATTACGCTGGAGTACCAGTACTGTACACGGAACGATACCAGCGCTCCATGTTGTGAGCGGAGAAAAATTCACTCGACGACTTGCACCGTCTCACATCTTTAGCTCTCAACAGAGAAACTCAACAGCTGTAGGTAGGTAGCAGGTAGCTTGAGATTAGCGGCTTTAGCTTGACCCACCAGGTCGTTGCAACTTCTCATAGTTACATCTAGTAATCTCTTGACCGTTCAATCAGGGCTACGGTACATCCGTACCAAACCTGGCTGAGTTTAGAATTATCTTTTCCAAGGCTTGATTGCTTGCTACGTAGCACATGCTTCCGTGGTTAGCCTCCTCAAATGCATTTTGGGTGCTACCATCTTTCTTGGCCTCTCACTGCAATGAAAATGTTAGATGGAAGCTCAACGAAAGCTATCTAGGCAGCACAACTAGCTAGTACGGTAGGTACCGGTATGAGTGGTCTATTGGTTGCCTGTGGTGTTGAGTGGTGTTGTCTTGGTGGTTGTCGTTTTTAAAAGCTGGGGTGCGGCCTTCTAAAGAATGAGGTGTTTAGATATCGCTAACCCTACCAGAAGTGACAATCTGGTTCGATTTTCCCAGCCCTCAACCGCGTGCTTCCACTACTACGGTATATAAGGGGGTTTAGAGTAGGGAAATTATCTACGGAAGCCAGCCGGGGCCAGGCTTAAGCAAAGAACAGTCGAAATTCAGGACTAGGTTCTGTGGGATCAGGGGCAAGAAATGGAGGACCATTACGGGGGGCAAAGGGTTTGGCTGTGCGGGACCCACGGAGACATAAATGGGTAGCTTTCACAAGGGCAATTGAGATACGGGTCTGCATGAAGAACATCATTTGAGAGTAGGAAAATTGAGTTTTGGAGGCAGTAGCAGAAGCAAGGCGTTGTAAGAGAGTCTTGGCTTGAGGGGCAAGCATGCCATCCACTGAAACAACAAAGGGGTGGAAGGAAGCGCGATTGGACTCACACGCGTCTTTATATTTGGAAATTTTACGGTAGTACACACCGTCACTCCACCACGAGAGCAGCAGTGCAAACAACACCATGACCAAGACAGCCTTCATGGGAGGGGCGTTGTCCTTCAAGGGCGACAAGAAGAAAAAGGCCAAGAAGAAGAAGAGCAAATCCAAGCATTCTGTGGACTCTGACGACAAGAAGAAGTACGATGATGACGATGCGCTGATTGTACGTGAAGACGAGGACGAAGAATTGACGGAGGCCGAAAAGAAGGCAAAGAAGAAAAAGGAAGAGAGGGACAAGGAAGACCTTCAAAAGGCCGCCAGCAAAAGTCACCGCGAACGCATTGAAGATTTTAATGAAAAGCTAGGGAATCTCACAGAGCTCAACGACATTCCAAGGGTAAGACTGCGACGGAAAATTCTGCTTGTGTTGTTCCCGTTTTCCCATTTCTCATCCGAACTGTTGTTGTCCGTTTTCGTCGTTTAGGTGAGTGCTGCTGGTAATGGTTAAATCAACTGCATCCGCAGCGAAGAGTAGTACCATAGCGGTACTTGTAGGCAAACAATATTTTCACAAAGAGAGTGGGGGGAGCAACGAAAGGAACAACGTGGCTGTACCCAGCGTGATCAAGCTAGCTAGAGAGGGTGTTCAATGATCAGCGACAATAAACTCGAATCAATCTCGATTGGATTAGATTACATATTGATCCGCTGAATGATTCAATGATTCAATCGGCGAGTATGCAAAGCATCGGTAGTTATGCAGCATTCATATTTTTATAGCAATGCGCAGAAGTGTCTTCTCCAGCAGTTGTGTAACATGTAGCTGCTAGCTAGTTGTCAGCTACCAGTTGAACCCATGGTGTCCTGAAAAAGTCACCAATTCCGGTGAAAGGTGCCCAACATCACCCAGCGTCCTGCAACTTACCCCACCAGTCGGCCGAATCGTCAGATAGGTCAAGGAACAATTGAAGGTACACAAACGGAGCCATGCTTCGGGTGGCAATTGCAGAGCTCTTTTTTTGTGTGACGGATTGTTGAGTAGTGTGCAAAATGAATGTATTAATCGGGGCAACATCAGAAGATTATTAGTTCGGTGTGATCGGGCTGGTACTTGCCCTCAAATAATCACGATCGGCGGCAGTGCATCTCGCGAACTTACCTGAGGCAAAAGTATCGAATGACATTGGCATGACACACAATGATTTCGTATTCGTGTCTTGCAGCGGGGGAAGTATCCTCTGGTGGCGGGACATCCTTGCCATCATTTTCTAAGAAGAGAGCATCGTCGGGCATTGCAATTGGATCTGCCCTGTGAAAGTTCTTTTGGAATGCCTCTTCGATGCGGGCGTGTTGCTCTTGTGTCTTGTGAATGGTGTTATCGCTGACTTTGCCTCCAGATGGAATGTGGTGTGATGGCCTATGGTAGGAATGGATTGTATCATTTCATTTTGTCGAGGGAAGGAAGAGAGCACAAAATCAATATATTGAGAGATGCCAAGACAAAAAGCTTTTGTGATTTTACAATCACAACTAGACTAACTCACCTTCCCTCATTGAGCAATGGATCTGGTTCGGCGCGCTCTACCTGTGGGAAGTGAGAAGCAATGATATCACAAGTCTCCTTGGCTCGTGCCATTCCAGAGACTCGGACAATTTTGATATTGCAGGGACTGTCGGGATCTCCTTCGGCACCCCGAATCATTTGGGCTAATCGTTTCCCCGTTTCATTGGCTTGTTTCCTCCCCAGTTCTGTCAGGATTCGTTTTTCATCTTCCTTGTGCGTTTCATCGTATTGACCGTGTCGAACCAGGATGATGTGTCTTGTCACTCCATATTTTCTCAGGTACCGCCTCTTTCTCCTGTCCAGCTTGTCATTGCCTGACGGGATGGGCTCTCTCCCATCCCAATTTTCGTCGTACATGGGCCACTCCAATTTCGGTTGGAAAATTTGTGAATTGGGGATAATGTCATAGAAATACCCCTTGGCATCTCGCTGGAATCCAGCGTTCCCAGTGCCAGTCTTGGGGCTTGTGCTGTCGACGGTACTAGTACTGCTTGAGGATGACGAGGATGATTCATTCTCCTTCTTTTTAGCAGTCGCTTCACAATTTGAGAGTCCCTGATAGCTGGACAGTGCAAAGGAAGTCAACGCAGCTGCAGCCATTACCGGCAGAGCCTTGGTGGCGCTACGGTTGGCAAACCGAAAAAAGGCCGACATATTATTGTGACCAAGGGTATGTTGCTACCGATGCCCTTGCCCGATGAGAGGAAGCCAGAGGCTTAATTAGATGAACGGTCGGAACTGTAGGAGTGTGCAACGCTCGACCTGCTATTGCTGGAATGATAGTGCAGATCGGGAGCGACTCGACTTGTGCAATGCAATGTGTAAAATGTACCGGTTGGGAAACGGCGGATGGTAGCTGGGATGGCCATTGTGAGCTCGTGGAGGGAGAGAAAAAATCCAACGGTAACAAAGATACCGACCCTTAGATACGGCTACCTACGACCCCGACCAAAGTCCATCTTAGCTGGCTTTTAGAGCAAAAATCTGGTCGCGAGAGCTGGAAGGCACCAGGTTTTACCCGCTTCGCCAAAAAAGTCGCGATAGTCGCGCTAATGTCGCGCTAAAAGTCGCGGTATAGTCGTGCGCGACTTTAATTTGAATCCAAATAGTCGCGATATAGTCGCGGTAAAGTCGCGGTAAAATACTAGTTATTTACAAGCAAAGTCGTCCTAAAGTCGTTCTAAAGTCGCGAAAGTCGTTCTAGTCGTGGTGAAAAGTCGCGATAAAGTCGCGGTGCGCGACTTTAGAACGACTTTCGCCACTTTGGAACGACTATTGACTATTGAGAGAACCTGGAAGGCCCGGTCACGCGACTGCTGGTCGCCAAAAATCAGCATAAAGTCGCACACAGCATCAAAGTCGCATCAAACGTCGTATGTAAAGTCGCATACGAGTCGCATGAAAGTCGCGTGCGACTTTCTCGCACGCTTTCTATAAGCAAGCTGACAGAGTCGTGTAGGATCGCTGAAAGTCGTTTGGAAAGTCGTACCAAAGTCGCATGCGACTCGCACACGACTCGCACGCGACTTTATGAACGACTTTTAGCGATCCTACGCGACTTTGATCGATCCGGGACTTTAAGTCGCATGACGGGGCCTTCCTGGTGCCTTCCTGGACAGATAGTCTCTAGAGATGATGCAGACCTACGGTACGAACTGGGAGGTTGGTCTGCTTCGATTCCGGTGGAGCATTTGTTTGGGCGCCATGTCTTTTTCGAGGGTTTTGAGAAGATCACGTTGAAGGATGGTACGCAAGGCTTCATGCTGGTGTATGGCTCTTGAAGCCACTGTATCTTGGGAGTTTGAGATTATTTGTTTTGTTGCAGAGTGGGCCATTCTTGCAAAGCTCTAGCTGGTACGGTCCACAATTCACAACTAGAAATAAAAGCGAAGGTATAATACAGTTTGAATTGCGCAGGTTTATCGCTCTAACTATTAGCTTCTAGTTACAACAATGATCATGACATCATGAAGGATGAGGCCCTCCCCAAGAAGCTGTCAGTCTGCCCGGAGCCACAATTGCCGAGAGCCGGTGCACGTAAGGGGTCCTCGAGAGCTACTAGCTAGTACACGCAAGCATAGCAGCAGAAAAGCACTGTGACAGAACAAAGCGCCAAACATAAATTAGATATGATGTTCACTTGTGCGAAATTGGTAAGTTCTTTCAATGGTATTCCTCCTAACATTTGTATGATTCAAGGGGTAGGAGCAACGTTCCAACCTTTCTTCCACCCCCCCTCTTCGTGAGCGCTAGTGAAAGCGATTTGCGACAATTCGTTGCCCATTTTGATGACATACATCGGAGTGACATCACCAAACTCCCGAAACCAGCGAGATCCAACAACTTCACATTTCATTGGTTTGGACGGATCGTTGTCAAAGTAGGTCATCAGTTTCTGGCCCTGACCATGCTGAGCCCCGTCTTCTCCGAACACCTTGTCATCCTTGAGAAAAATTTGCGGATATTTTGATTGCATCTTGCTGAACCATTCTTCCAACTCGGCATTGGGAATAAATTTCCCGATATCGGCGGACGTAGGATCGCTGTCTTCTTGTTGGCCAAACATTCTATTCGGGCAGTGGTTTACCAGGCTCCCATTCACTATCATCCGATGTGGAATGTGGAGACGGTTTGGCATTTGGTCACCAGGTTGAGCAAATTGGCTTTTGCAAAGATGTGCTTCGGTGCCTTCAATTATCCTAGCTGGCTTGTTTCTGGAACACGTACTTTTGTGTCAAGTTTCAAAAGTTTTTTCTTATTGTTTTGTGGACACCATGATGCTGTTGAGACGGCTCCTAATGTTATATTTCAGCATCACAAGCAGTGCATTGACTCGAAACATTGGAGTCTTTGGCCTCACTGCTTTTTCCAGGATACCCCTCTCGCTGTCCACGTCTTCAGCTGGCCAAAATTTCTGTGAAGCCAAAATGTCCAATTCTCCCACAACTGCCGCGGAGGCATCCGACGAGACAACTCATACCCGAGACTTGCAACAACAAGACACAAAAGATAAGGATCCAGAATTGGGCCAAAAATCCTGGAGATCGTTAATCGAGATTTCCATGGCCCGATCCCGAAAAATTCGAGGATCCAACTATGTACAACTTGCCACCGTAGATTTGGAAGCCATGGAACCACGGTGCCGTACGGTGGTCTTTCGGGGCTTTCAAAAATTTCCAGCTGACCACAAGAACAACAGTGGTGCTTGCGACGACTTGTCGACTGTCCTGAAAATGTGCACCGATGCACGGTCTCGCAAGGTCCAAGAGTCCCCAGCAGGAGAGATTGTCTGGTGGTTTGCCAAATCCAGCGAACAGTATCGGATGCGTGGCAAACTCTTGTACGTGGGCGGTCAAAATGATGGAGACGATCCAGAACTAAGCAAAGCTCGTAAAGAGCTATGGGGGAATCTCAGTGATCCAGCACGAGAAAGCTTTTTTGACCAAAATGTACCCGGAGCACCCACGACAAAAACGACAGCAACGAATGACGAGAGTGCACCTGCTGGAGGACGAGATGCGTCTGCTGGAAAGCCATTGCCTCCTCCCGACAACTTTCTCCTGATGCTTCTGTTTCCTCATCATGTGGATTACCTGAATTTAAAGGAAAACTATCGGCAAGTAGATACCTTCTCGAAAGATGAGAGTTCATGGTCTTTTCAACAAGTCAATGCCTGAAGGAAAGCAACTGCAAGAACTACCTGTCCCGTTTCAGTGTAGCTTGGCAAGAAAGGAACAACGCTAAGGAAGACAGTGTGTATGATAAAGTTTCATAACAACTAGAAGTAGATACCTTCTCGAAAGATGAGAGTGAATGGTCGTTTCAACAAGTCAATGCCTGAAGGGGTTGGTACGGTATCTGCCTAGCCACCACTGTACATAAAATGCAGCTACGGTACGGTAGCTTGGCAACAAAGAACAACGCTAAAGAAAGAGTGTTTTATGATAAGATAGCAACTAGAGTACGGTACTAAAAGACGTTGCAAGGACACCAAGCTAGCTAGAGCCTCTTCCTTCGTTCTGACTACAGACACTCGATCACTTCCACTAGAAAGACAATCACCACACAACAATCACGAAACTTTTTCATCCCCAGACATAGAATATTGTAGCGAGTTCACGGAGACCGGGCACGACATGTCCACGTACAAACAAGCTAGCTAGCGCCCCTTAAGGAGGGGAAACAGGTCGACTTTGTGTTTGCTGTGTGCTTCGTGATCGCTTCCAAGAGCGATCCAAATATGAGAGTTGAGGTGTTGTCGATGACATGTACAGGGGACGGGATCCTCCTGTTGTTCCATTGGGCGATGGTTTGACATTGTCGTCATCGTCATTGGTGTTGTTGCTGATGTCATTATCGTCATCGTGGTCTCCTCCTTCACTGCAACTACTCTTGTCATCGGAATCATCCTTGCCTTCTCCTTCTTCTCGCTTGTGTCGCTTTTGTTCCCGCCCATCCTCCTCGGCGGCCTCCTTGTTCCTCATCATTTCCTGTACGTACGGATCGTACTTCATGACAAACTTATCGCGGGCATTCATGGCTTTGGCTCGATTGGCGAGATGAGGATATCGAATTTCGAGTTGACACAACCACTTCCACGCCAATCGCTTTCGTCCGACCCGTGTCTTGAGCCATACTTCGTCAAAGTTGCGGGAGGAGCAAAAGTTCTGGGTGATTCCAACCGTGTGTGTCAAGTTGAGTACGGCGTGCCACCATCCATTGGGGATAAAGACGGTCTCTCCTGGACCCTGGGTAAACTCGTAGCAGGCAAAGTCTTTGTAGTCGCTCCCTTCCGGTAGAACTGCATTGCAAAAGCACGCCGCGGCAGCCTTGCGCTTGATGCGCGGTAGAATGTACATGAAATAGTGTACTGGTTCATCGTCTTCGTCATCACGGACGAGATCCCTACCTTTGACGACCGACTTTGGTACGTGTGGTGGAAAGAGGACCCATCGTTTCTGTCCGTGGATTAGCGTGTTCCACGCGCTGGTGTCGAGAGGATCAATGTGAACCGATGTCCCGGATCGCTCTGTGGGTACCGTATCAATTGACATTAGCAAAACCTATACACAAGTCTTGTCCATGACGTATGAATAAAGTTATCAACCAAACTGAACTGAACGTACCAGGCCCGACCAGGAACCAACGATAAGGAGGACGACGCCGTTCACTGCAGAGTCGAAAGAGATCCTCCTTGAAGTACGATGGGACTTTGTAATCTCTCAGAATTTTCTTGGCAATCTTGTCGTCTTCAAATGCGGAATCGAAAATGTACAGAGGAGAATCGTCGTGATTGTTTTGCAAATATCGGAGGAAATGCTTCAGTTTGACTTTAATGCTATTTCCATCGTCGTCTTCTCCGCATTTGAAGGCTCGTTCTCGTAATTCTGGGTCATTCTCCAAGGCAAAAAAGCCCCAATCTCGCAGCGCTCTCCATTGAGGAATCTCCTTGCCTCCATCGTGACCAGCAGGGATGTTTCGAATCACGGCTGGAATTTTCTTGGCTTCGTACTCGCTGGCAAATTGTTGGGGTGTCACTGTCTTGGCGTCGACCATGGCAGGGATTTCTTCGCAAATACGAGCGTTGCTGTTGATGGTGTTGATGTTGCTGCTGCTGCCATCCCCATTCTCCTCGTCATCTTGTTGCGACGGAATGAATACTTCATAGTCTTCCGAGAGCGAATTCACAAATGCCGGAAAGATCTCAAACAATCCATCGTCTTCCCAATCTTCCAGTTCTGGTCGATGCTTGGCCTTGGCCCGTCGCATCGTAGTATGCCAACCCATCGTGCTGCTATCACTCGACTGGGTCCAACCAAATGCCGATGCTGCTACTTGAGAGGGAAGCAACCGCCAAGTCACAGACTCGTCTGGTGCTGCTGTCGGGTCCGTGATCTTGGAAACACACACTCGACACAAAAAGGTAGCGTAGGCTCTGCTGATGGCCACCCGTCTATGCTGTTGAACGCAACAACGCTCACCAAGAAATTCGGATTTTGGCACAGGCAGTCTTCGCTTTGGCAACAACGCTCACTGGCAAAAGGCACCAGCCCAAACAACAATGGCAAGACAATGACGATGACCTGCCGCCGTCCACACACAGCACCGTCACTGCAGTCGTTTCGACACGAACAGAGTGACTGAAAATGGATTAAGGATGGAGCTTTCATTAGTTTTGAAGCTGTCATAGCTGTTGAGACGACTATAGCATCTGTGGATCTGAAAGCAATCTATCTTTACTTGGGCTGCCAGTAGCTACCAGTAGTCCTCAGCAAGATGCAGGGCAAGGACTGTTGTTAGGTACCGTGGGGCTATTAGATTCGTTAGGTATTTTGACAAAGGAGAGTCTCAAGGCAACTTGATGTGAAGTGGAAGGGTAGAATAATGAAGCTATCAAGAGTGTCCTGCTGATGATCATGATCAGCTCTGGCTGGCAAGAATACAAACTACAGTGCCGGCCTGGCCTAGCACAACCCCCCAAGTTCCAAAAATACACATACATTGATTTGTCAACAGTTCGATCTATTATTCACATTATATATATGCCAAAGACTCAAGATCCAATCTTGCAAGCTTCCACAGCCTACATTGGAAGGGCCCGAAATCACGATTTTTACGAACCCATTGGCTCTCTTTTCTCATGTACTTATGAACTTGGCCTTGTGCCTGCAGGCACCGAACACTTCATTCCACGAGTTGATGGGGACGTTAGGAGAGGGGGTTCCCTGGGGGTTTCTATCCAACGAAGATACTTTCCCTCGTCTCTGCTTCCTTCAACTTACTCTTTCAATCTGCCAGCAATGCTATTGTCAGTATAGTGCGGTACCACCTACCAACCAGCCACCGCAACCCAGAGCCCATCCGGTAGCGCCTACACCTCTATCCAATTGCCGCCAGCAGTTGTCCTCCACCTCAACGTAAACTGCGGTACCTCTTTAGCTAGCACGTAGACGGACCAGCTCTACGGACTGGCCCTCCGGTGCAGATTCATTTGACAATTCCAAATTCGTTTTGTCCAAACCAAAATCAGAAGCGGTCATTGCTAACAGAAATGGTCATTTCGCGAATCCTGCATTGAAATGACTGGTTATCACAAAGAAAAGATTGAAGAAAATAAAATGAATTTTATCACCATGGCAACAGTGTTGACCAAATGGCTATTAGCTTCACCAATACATTGATCTGATCAACTCTTTGCTAGGAGTGGCTCCCCAACACACTCACAGACACTCCCCTTCAAAAGAGTCTATCAACTCTAAGGTTTCCTATGGAGCCTCAATGAAAAATCAGGCTTGGATTGCATTTTCTTGTCATTTTGCCATGCATTTCTCCATGGGAAAGGTGCTCCTGTCCTCACTCTCAGCACCCAATCTGCACTTAGAGTATGGTAGAGGAGTGGGTTGCTTTGGATGAAGACTGGAGCACCCACCCCAAAGATTCAAAGGAGAATTGTTGGCTCCAATGTGTCAATATTGAGCTGATTATAGAGCTGATTTCATGTAAACTTGTAGTCAGCCGACAAGTCAAAGCAGTAGTAGAGAAGATGCCGCTTGTTCCTTTTGTAGTACGATCCATAGTAGCAGCAGTAGTCGAAACGTCACGGCCGATGGCCGATCCATGGAAAAGGTTCGCTCCGTGAAAGCAATCCACCGAAAGCTGCAAGCTTTCACACACAGTAGAAGTTTAGAAGTTTCGAGGCGTCGCTTTCGCTTGTTGTTGTATTAGTAGTATGGTAGTCGCTTGTTGTTGCAGCAGTAGCGGTAGAGGCTTCAATCGATCGCTCCGTGGAAGAAGAAAGAAGTCTTCGTGTTGATTAAACACTAGAGAGACTTCGACCGAATCGCTCCGTCGAACCGAAGAAGATCGGTCGACCGATCGATCCGTCGAACGGCTGCAGCTGCCGCTGCTTCAAGCCTAGCCAAAGAAGAGGAGCCTGTCATGGTGGTGAGTAGTAGCCTTTGTTGAGAGGAGTAGCCGCTGTACAGTCGTAGAGGAGATAGCATCATCTTGATAGATTCAAGTCAATAGAGCACAATATGAAAAAAGAAGACCACACGAGTGGCTGGGAGCCATGGATGTATGCATCTAAGTCTTTTCTGAGTATGTTAAGGCTTTTAGTCCTGATGTCTTAGTTCCCATTCAATTGTCCTAGCGGGACCGTGCTTGCGTTTGCGTCAATAGCTTCGATACAGCCTGTACAGTACATGTAGCTTCTAGTAGCGACGGTGCTACCGAAGCTTGTGCCGGTACCGAAACAACCATGTTTACACCCCACTCTGACAAAGATTTAACGGGATAACTGTTGCAATTTCTTACGGATCTTCCATGCGAGAGGTCGGAATCTAGACCCTTCTCCATTCCAAAATGCAATTTCAAGGAGTGGACGCCTTTGAGACAACGTGGTGAGGTTGAATTTTAGGGCCAATCTAAAAAGATTGCGTTTAGGGGGTTTGCAACTCTTGGGGGAATAGATGATTGATTGCGCCGTCCACCAACGTCCTGCCTCTTCCAAAAGATATTTTACCCCCAAAGTCAATGACTCCCCCGTCACACTGCACGGCTTACAACGAGTTATGAGGCCAAATTTGGAATGCTTTTTGAAGATACGGCCTCGTACGTGTCAAACCTCCCGCACAAAGGTTGACACCACCAAAGTTTATGGCGTCTCACGTCCAAGCAAGCCATCAAAACTTTTCCTCACAATAACCAATCAAGTTAGCATTTCTTTTGTGCTTTCCCACAAGACAGAAAACCAAAGACGCCAAATCCTTTTTTGTTGTTGAACCCATCAACCATGATGAAATTTAACAATGTGGCCCGTGCCCTGAAGCCTTTGACCGGCAAGAGAATGTTTGCTACCGCGACTCGATCCACAGTAGGAAAGAACACAGGTAACAAAGAGTTTTCCTCCCTTTCCGTCGACTATGAATCTGATCCTGAAAATGGGGGCCTTGATCCTTCTGTTAAATACACTAGTGTTGCTGCAACTTCCCGTCAGTTATGCGATTTTGAGTTGATTGCCAATGGCGGCTTTGCACAACTCGATGGTTTCTTGAACAAAGCTGAATCTGAATCAGTCTGTGCCAACTACCGTCTCACCAACGGAGAGCTGTGGCCTATCCCCATCAACATGGACATTGACGAAAAAACAAAGGCACATCTTGAAGATAACGACGGAAAGCTTCTTCTAACTGATGCCAATGGGGTGGAACGGGGTATTTTGCATGTTGAAGACATCTGGAAGGCTGACAAGAAGATGGAAGCCGAGCTTGTCTATGGTGGAAATCCAGACCATTGTGAAATTATTAACTTGAACGAAAACATCAACGAGTACTATGTTGGTGGTCAAGTGGAAGTCCTCAGCCTGCCCGAGTATGAAGACTACAAAGAACTGCGACGCACACCCAAGGAAGTCAAGCAATTCTTCCAAGATAACAAGTGGGACAAGGTTGTCGCCTTCCAGACCAGAAACCCAATGCACTTTGCTCACATTGAGCTGACGAAGTTGGCCGCCGAGCGCATTGGAGCCAAGGTAAGTTCCTGGAGAGAGCTGTAACTACAAGGAGGTTTTGTCAGCGTTGGTTCTGATTTTTTCTTGATTGTTCCTTCCATTACAGCTCTTTTTGAACCCTGTTGTTGGTCCTACCAAGCCTGGCGATATCCCATATGATGTCCGCATGAAGTGTTACCATGCTGTCTTGGATGAATATCCCAAGGATCACGTGCTCTTGAATACCTTGCCCCTTGCTATGCGCATGGGAGGTCCTCGTGAGGCCATGTTGCATGCCCTCATCCGAAGGAACCATGGAGCCACTCACTTTATCATTGGCCGTGACCACGCTGGTCCAGGCTCCGACTCCAGTGGAAACGACATCTATGGCGCATACGAGGCACGTGATTTCTTGGAGGAACACAAGGAGGAAGTTGGCATTGAACCAGTGCCATTCGAGGAAATGGTTTACCTGGAAAAGGAACAAAAATACTTCCCTCGGTCGGCTGTCCCAGAGGGTGTCAAGCCATTGAAGATCAGTGGAACTGATGTTCGCCGAATGCTCAAGACAGGTGAAGAAATCCCCAGTTGGTTTTCGCCACCACGAGTGGTAAAAATTTTGCGAGAAGCTAGCAGTCCCAAGGCATAGGAGGAAGAACCCGCCAACGACTGCATGGCTCAAGAGGAAAACATGCGATTGAAAGGATGATGCTAGTTGCACAGCAGCCACAAACATTGTTTTTATATCATGTGTGCACAACATACATAGGAACCCACTTTACTTACCACACAACATTCGCAATATTCGGCCGTCTGCTTTTGATTTCATTCATCAGCTCCTTTTTAAACTCGGTACTATCGTTTGGCGGTGGATGAGAGGCGGACCTACTACATTAGCTACAACATTGATCCTCTTTTCGTTTCTTGTGGGCTAGCTCCACCTTCAATTCAATGTGTAGAGGTCCCCTTCCCCATTTGTAGAGTTTCCACCATACGCGCTACATAGTGTCCTGATTAGACTACTAGTGTCCCGCAGCATGTCTGTCACGTTGACGTGAGAGTCTCTTTGAAGCAATATCTCGTGGCAGGTGACAACGTCGCAACCAACCTTGTGTGATTGGTTGGATCAGCCTGGGATCCTTTTGAAAGGCCTTGGTCGCATTGAGCCTGTAGCCGTGAGTGCAGTTTTCTCTCGTTATCGGCCGGAGCTCCTCCTGGGACCTCGACCAGGCTTGTTCGTGCTTCCTATCGTACCGGTACGAGGTTAGACCAGCCTGGATATCTCCTCTGAAGAAGCCAATAAAGGGCCACGACTTCATTCCGGAAGAATAGGCAGAGAATCAATGGCTGTCCTTAGAAGAGGTACTCCTATCGGTACAATCATAGAAAGAGCAGGCGGGACTATCAGCCAGTTTGGGGATCGTAGTACATGAAAACCTTAGAGCAACCCAAGGTGTTGATTGCTTCGTGTAGTCGAAGCTGGGCCGAATGAAACTCGCGCAGAAACAGATGGGTAATACAGAGTGCTCAAGTGTTTCTGTTACCTTCATGCTGTACATATCCTTACATCTCTTCTCTCTATCAACCAACGAACAAAGGGTGTCTCCAAGGAGCCAGGCCACAGGTCCTCTAAAAGCTAGAACACGACCCTCCAGCTCTAATGGCTTTTAGCAAGGGGAACACGTGGAAGCAAAAGATACGCACAACGAGGAAGGTGCCATGATTTGCATCAAGCTGAGCGACTCTCCCACAGAACACAAAGCTGCTGTCCTCCTAATACTATTGGTACCACCGCTGGCAATAAACTATATTGCTTTAGAGACGCGAAACAAGATGAAGCTGAGATTCAATTCCATTTTCCTTGTCGCTGCTATGGCAGGAAGTGAGGCCTTCCAAGTGTTGGATACCCCTCGAAAGAACAATGCGTGCCGTCTGCATGCTGGCTCTGAAAGTGCTGATACTGGAGAAAACGAGGCAATGTCATTCCTTAGGAAGATTGGAAAAGTGGGAGGTGTGGCAAATGTCGACTTTACAAATGTCATGGGAGTAGACGAAGGCCCTGCTGGAAAGACGATTGGCGGCGGAGGAACAAAACCAATGCGAAAGGCAAAGAGCGCCTACACAGCCGTCACTGTGGACGGATTGGTGGACGATTTATCCGAACCCTTCCCGGTATCCAGTTCAGGGACCCAGTGGGCTGGATTCACTGATCAAGTGATGGGTGGTCGATCATCAGGTAAGGGAATTCAACCTTACGGCCGACAGTGAACAGATTGAAAGAGAACACACTAAACAGTCTTCTTGTTTTCTAGGAAGCATCACTCGAGAGGTTATGGATGGAAAACTTGCTAATGTGTTGAGAGGAAAAGTCAGCTTGGAAAATAATGGTGGATTTGTGCAGATGGCAACTGATCTGGCTTTGGATCCGTCGGTGTCCAGAACAGTTGACATGTCAAATTGTAAGTGTTTCAGGCTTGGCAAGCGTGGATATTCTCCTTTGAATCCATCTGACTAGCTTCTGGCACTGGTATCCTCTTGCTTCATTAAAAAGATGACGGAGTTGAATTGGAGGTCATCTACAAAGGGGATCGAGAGCAAGAAGACTTCAATATACAGTAAGTTCAGCATGTTCCAAAAGATCCGTCGTGGTGTGTTTTGCTCATTATTGGACCTGCCACAATCAACAATGCAACAGTCTCAAGAACGATAACTGCGACCGACAATTCTCTTCGTACCGAGGGACGTTTTCAATCCCCAACGGTGAATGGACTACGGTACGAATGCCGTTTTCTGACTTCATTGGCAAGGGTCCCGGAGCCGAGGAAGCGCCCTTCGATCCGTCGACCCTTAGGAGGATTGGCGTAGTCGCAATTGGTAGAGAAATGGAGGTCACTCTGGGCCTTGCTGGTTTGAAGTTCTACAGCGTGCTCTAAAGGTAGAATTCTACCTGACAAGGAGGCTTTGAACAGGAAAATTTGTCTAGCAGAGTACTAGCGTTTCTCTGCATTCTACCTCCGAGCTTGAAGCACAGAATTTCCGTTGCAGAAGAATCTTCCTCTGGAAAGCGCATTCTACTACTACAATACAACTAAAGGATCTTTGGATTTCTAAGTGTTATTCACTGTAATAGTCTTGCGCAGATTTCTCGATTTATTTGCCTTCTTCCTGTTCGTAGTCAGGGTTGTCTTTGATTATTACAATACCTTCAAGAGTGCTGGAAATGCTCAGCACCTCCTCCGTACCCAACTCAGCTCGCTCGGCTGCTTGAATCAATACGGGTGTTGTGTGTGTCTGGAAACCCGTGATTCGCTTCGGTTTACCCGCTTGACCCACCGTCTCGACTGCTTGTCCGACACGGACTGTCACTGGTCGCCAATTGATGTCTTCATCGACCGTGATGAGCATTCGTGGATTCATGGCACAAGTCAGGTAGAACAACAAGTAGTGGCTCTTGTCAAGCAAGGTGTTCTTCAAATCCAAACAAGAGTTGATCAAAACAAGCATCCCGCCCAGCGCAGGTCCATTCAACAACATTTTATCAGAATGAAACGGGTTGATCGTCAACAGTCCCTTTCCCATGTGGAGCAATCCTTGAGCAATTCGAACACAGAAGACATGCCCTGCCTCTTTACTGTAGAATTCACTGAGTTGGCGAAGCAATCCAGCAACACGGGAGTTGTTGGTGCCAGCACTCACGATACCCAGTGCCATGATTGCGTTTTGGGAGATCTCGGCGTCGGGATCATGCGACAGACGCGACAATTGGTCAATGACAGCAAAGTCAGGGTTGGAAATGTTCAGAACAGCCAAGGACAAAGGAACGGCACGTTTGATTGGGAGTTCGCAGTAATGCAACAAGTGATCAAAAGTTCTCAAAACCATCTCAGATCCAACGTCTTCTCCCATTGTGATGAGGCCGATTCCAATGACAGCTGCCATTTGGTGCTCTGCATCTTCCGTCAAGTGCTCCGTGCACTGGTGCATCATTTCTTGAACCTTCAACACATTACCGCTTCCCGTGTATGCGCAAGTCTCCAACAACAAAGCTGCATATTTCGAAATCTTGTGTTCGATGGTGCGGATAGCTTCAATCATGGCTTCTGCCTTCTCCATCTGACCTAGGAACAGCAAGGCAAGACCCAAGCACAAGTACCGGGCATGCGAATGGTCGAGCTCTTCATCTGACGCCTCCATAAGGCGTTGCACAATAGTTCCACCAACGCTGTCGTCACATTTTCCGACAAAAATCATTCCTAGGGCGAGACCCGCGAGAGATACTTCCAGCATCGTTGTTGGCGAGCTTCCGGATTGCTCCACAATAGGCACTAGCATTTCCATGACATCCTCACGGGCAGTTCCTGCGTAAGCAATTCCAAGCCCTGTGCAAGCAGCGCACTTCATAATGTGTACGTCTCCTTCCACGTGTTCGGACAAGAGCGCGAATGCAGGGTCGGCATCATTCCGAATACCGGAACTCAAAATACCAACGGCAAGCGCAGCTCCTGCCTTGACATAGTCCTCCGTAGAATACAAGAACTTGTCAATCTGCGTTAGTCCCTCTTCTACATTCCACAGCAGGATGGAACCGAGCGAGGCGGCAGCCGACATCATTCCATGATCCTTGTTCTTGTACAGCCACTCATTGTCTGGCGTCATGAGCTTATCCTGGCCAAATCCAGTGTTGACAAGTGCGTTGACGAATGTACTGGCTAGATTGGCGCGCGCCGAGTCAATGTTGGCCGAACCGGTGTCCCTACGACGGCTGAACCCACCCGTTTCTGCCAGATGAGACTTGTAAATGTCTTCTGGTGTCTTGGGATCCATGACATCGAGATCCTGCGCCAATTTCAAGAATTGTTCACTTAGCTTTTCGTTTCCAATGAGCTCATTGAGCAATTCGGCGTCTTCGCCCTCGATATCATCATCTTCCACTTCGTGGTTGACACGATGACGTCCCAAAAGGATGGCCATTTGCTTCCTCATGAGAGGGTCCTTACACTCCGCCAAGAGCTCTGTGATGGTTTCCTTGTCAGTCCTATTCATTCGGAGAGCTACGCGGAGAGCATCGAACTGTTGGCCTTGCTTTCTGAAAATTTCATAGGCTGTTTCCAACATTTCCTTTGGCAAAGCAAGGGATCAACGAGGTCAGATTATCCGATGGATTGAATCCTTCATCATTGCGGGATCATTTTTCTTTGCAACTTACGGTAAGATCATCGGGATCAGACATAAAGTCCGCCGTCTTGATAAGGTAGAGGCAAATGCGCTGGAAATTGTTTTCATCGATCGATTCCAGTCGGAGCAAGTTTTTGAGCCTCTGCACTTCGATCAGCAAATCGACCGCTTCGGCCTCGGCATTGTGGGTGACATGGAAAGGGACAATGACATCTACCATTTGCAAAATGTCTTTGAACGGTTCGTCCTGATCAGGGTCTGCTCCGTCAATGACGCGTTGGTTGTATTCCTGGCCAATTTCACCCGCAAGACTGCGCACAAATTCATGTCCCCAAGATCCTAGATTGTCTTCCGCAAACTTGGACTGGGCTCCCTTGCTCTCGAGAGAATCGTAGTCTTTCTTGCCCTTCAATTTGAATTTTAGACTCTCTCTTTCCTCTGTTTGTTGTGCCGACACAAGAATTAGACATTGAACCTACAAGATCGTATCACACAAACTAATCGACAAGCGTTTCATTGCTTACCTGGCTTCCCCATAGTCATGGCCAAGACCGCCAAAACGTCGGCCAATCGAGCTCGCAATTCCAACATTTTGACGTCAATGCCGTCTCCGTCCTTCTCGACAACGGTGTACAGTTCCGTCAAGGAAGCAAAGTGAGGCCGCAGGAACTTGAGCGGCTTGGGCACAGAGGTCATACTGGCCGTGGCAGTTCGAAGCTCTGTCACAATCACATCCAAGGCATTCAATCGGATCTGAGCCGTCACCTTGTCCTCATTATCCTTGTTCATCACCGTATTGACACAAGTGTCCAATCGCTCTTTGAGCTCCTTGTCTTCGTCCGACATGGTGTCAGCCAGCTCCTCTTCCGTCTTTTTCTTCTTGTTCTTGGCATCGTCCTTCTTCTTGTCGGCACCTGCCGTCACCTCCACTTCTTGCTTGTCTTTCGGAGCCATCTTGTCCGATCTCTTGCTAGTCAGTCAGTCAGTCAATGTCGTTTCTGATTGTTTGCTCTGTTTCCACAAGGCGATGGTCAGCTTTTGTTGCTGTCTCGAGGGGGCTTCGACGGGCGGAGATCTTTGTCGCCTTCGTCTCGGATCGATTGGCTTCCTTGAGAATCCGGCGAAGCTGGAAGAGCGTTCAGCCATTTTAAAAGACGGGGACACGGAGTGGAGGCAACAACCGCCAACACAGACCACAGCAAATTTTCCATCTCTAGCTAGCGAGTACTGTACCTGGTAGTCACCATACCGTAGCAGCAGGGTTGTTCGTTCCCAGCCAGCATTTGTCGCAGCTTGGAGCTCGACTACCGGTAGTGTAGACAGACTTTCAAACCACATTTCTTTAGGCATGTCACCATCGATACGGTAGTAATGGTCGTCGGGCTGGTACCACCCAACATCTACGGCATCTCACCATAGACCTATTCCACCCTGGCTGAGACCTCCTCTGGTGTACCGGTAGCTTGTGTTAATAAGCTGCGGATTGATGCATTTTCTGAATTAACTGAAATTGGCAAGCAAAACGATTTGCTTTCGATCAACGATACTTCTCTCCCGCTGAGATACAACCCACGAAATAGCCGTCACACCAAACTAAACGGGATAGACCAAACTAATAGTTGCCATCATAGAAATATTACACTGGGTAGTTTGATTTCGTTTTGCGCTGCGATTTGTTGTTGCGCTGTCGTCCGATTTGTTGACTGCTGGCATCGGTCCTCACCAACCTATTGCATTTCCATGCTCTTATCTACTCTTCTTCCTCGTCAATATCTTCCTCGTCATCGACTAGGTTGTCCAGCATCGACTCCAGTTCCTCTTCCTCACTGACCTCATCTTGAAAGTCGTTGTCATTGATGTCAGTATCCAATGATTTCAACAAATCATCCAATGACATTGTCTTTGGTTTGTCAATGTTCTCCTTTTGTTCCTGAGACATGTCCGAAAGCAATGTACCAGCATACAAATCCTTCAAGAAATCTCCCTGAGCATTGACAAAGCCATCAAATTCCGAGGGCTGAGTGACAGCCCAGTAGCAGAAGGAAAAGAAGGCAATGCCAACACCCAATCGGTAGGGTAGCTGCCCCGGTTTGGTTGGCTCAAAGGAGTAAATTGGCTTGAATGAGTCCACAAAAGAAAGCGTCTCATCGAACAAGTTGGGCAAGAACCAAACCTCAAAGCCAATAATCCAGACACAGAGGAATACGAAGGCTCGAACCGTAATCAGGAAGAAAATAAAGAGTAAAAGCGAGACCGAAAGGTACCAGACAAAGACTCGAAGGAAGGTTGGCCAAATGGGGAAGCACACGCAGAACAGGAATCCGATAATCAAGGCAGTTGTCATCAAATGGCTCACTGTCTTATCTCCCTCATATACCCACACAAAATAGCCAGACTCGTCGAATTCTCGAATTCGAGACATCTAAAAATATGTTTTGAAAGGGTATTGCGACGGTAGCATCAAGAGAAAAGACAACCATCAGGGGACTGCATCCATCAGGAGATAATTGCCTCTTGATAAAGAATCACTTACGCCTAGTTCTCCTTTCCCTCGCTTTTCGGCTCGCATGAGATATTGCACCTTGCATAGCTCTCGGCACACCGCAATGGCCTCTGGTCGATTCTCAAAGCGTGGTAGATTGGAGGGCCATTTCGTTCCTTTCTTGGGTTCCACCAGAAAGTTCACAAGTTTCTCGCCTAAGTAGTAAAATAAAGATAAACATTCCAAATTGCTTGAGTCCAAGAGAGTTCCACGGTTGTCATCCCGTTCCAGTGCATTTCTGCCCAACGCATACCTTTCAGATAATGAACGCGTTTTTCCATTAACAAAGCCTCCCGCACACCGGGGCCTTCGCGAGAACGCAGAAAGTCACATAGCTTCTTGAGATTGTCTTCTTCGTCGTAGAAGGATGGCTCCTTCTCTGCCGTGCCGTTGGTTGTTGTTGCTGCTGCTTTTGCTGTTGCCATGGTCGCTGGTCGATTGTCGTGTTTGCTTGGTTTGGGGTGCTTTCGAATTGTGTGATGGGTGATGTGAAGTCAGCGAAGTTGAAGTACCAAACCTAGCGCAAAACAAACGTGGTCGCTCCTCGCCCAACCCCCAATCGACACGTTGCGCGTGGTGCCAAGGTCAAAACTCAGTTTGGCTCGGAATCGTATTCTGAGAACAGATTCCAAAAGCCTGATTCCTCTCAAAATGGTTACACTCCTCCCTTGCTACTGTAATGAGATACATACATGTATCCCAAGGTTTGCTGCAGGAAAGGAACGGATCTTGTCCTACTGTAAGCACTCAAAGATCCTTTGAGTATTCGCATAAATTAGCTCAGAACAACCACCAGCATGATGTAGAATCTTTATAGTTTGGCAAGGAAGACCATGTTACGGGACAGTTACACTGTCTTCCCCTAAGATAAAGTGAGAAAAAGCACTCATGGCAGAAAATTTAGCACTGGGTTGTAGAAATATGTCATTGTATCATCTATCAGTACCGGTATCTTATGTGCTGAAGGGAGAGTACTAGTACTCACTGAGTATCTTAGCTCTGACAATGATCTGAGAGTCTCCAGTGTCCCTGCATTCTGGAACGCCACATCTTGCTCGTACCTCAGACTCTCTTACTCAGTAAATTCAAGGCAGGAGTGTAGCCTGCACCGAAACGACGACCAAGACCCCCGGCAGAAGCGGTCAAGGCCTCCCCAAGAAACGTGACAAACTATCGTAAGGGTAAGATATATACTAGCAGTAACTAGCTGGTAATAAGGCCAACATTCCCTTTTCTTATGTTAGTTGCCCACTTGAAAATGCAAGAGGAAACCCCTCTCATCCGGAATGGAATAATACAGTAAAGCAGTCAATGGCAAGCCTGCTCTTTCTTCACATCGACGCACGGACCCAGCACGAAAATAAGTTGTTGATATAGTTCCGATGATCGCGAGTGCTGCATGTAATAAAATGTGTACCAAATGAAGTCATAATCACCTGACTTGCCTTTTTACTTTCTGGAAATGGAGGCCTTGCAGTCGACCCACAGCGGTGGCTGCTCGCCTCTGACAAACTTTGCTCCCATTTGCCTCAGAAACAACCTCGTCTCTTCCATATCTGGAAAGTGAAGAGCCCCTCGAAAGTATTCTACGCAGATTGTGGGACGGTACGCCGCAATGATCCGTTCATAAGCCATTTCCCGCATACGCTTGACCAAAAAGTCCATGAGGTACGCGGACATGTGTGGAGCGGATTCGTACAGCTTGAAGAATGCGTGGTAATCGCTATGGACAACAGCTTTCATCACACCCAGACTATGTCGGGCACTGGCCGTCTTGCAGCCGTTCTCCTCCTTTTCCCGAATGATTTCTCTTACTCGCACCAGTGCCCGTGTCAAGTCGTCCCAGGATGTTTGAACCAGTGAATACAAGACGTGATACGCTCGGAACTCATCCGATGCTTCTTCTGTCTGCTGTAGCGCTTCTCCTTCCTCAGTATCCAAATCCGAGGCATTGCTCATAGTGGCCATGGTATCTTCATGTTCCAGCCCCGTGGTTGTCAAGTAGCGTATCATGGTCTGGCATTGATTGAATTCTGCCAAATCCCCATGTTCTAGTAGTATCCTAGCATGGGTTTCATATGTCTCCAACACAAACCGATTTCGTAGCCTTTGTACTGTGATATCTTGGCGGACGCTCTTTAGCTGCTCATTGGCCCATTCAAAGTCTTCTTCCTGGTAATATTTGCTCTTGATATGTGCCAGAGACTTGATGAGCACTTCCATTGGGCGTACATCTTCGGCACGAGCATGTGTTGTGAGGCGAAGGTAGGGTTTCTCGAGTGCTTGGCTCGTCCCAACAAGTTGTCCATGCCGACTTTGAGAACTCTTAGTGCCTCCTTTTCGAGATCCAACGGAAGCAGCAGCGTCTCTTCGCCCAGAAGAGAGAGCCTTGGATAGAAAGTCTGGTTCCTTTGGCAATTCTGATCTCTTGGAAGGAGCTGCTGATACCGTGAATGCAGAAAGTTTGTTCGATGACTTCTTCTTGGTCGCTGATTTATTCCTTCCACCCTCAGCATCAAAGCGAGCCTATGTTTGGGATCAGGAGTGGAAGAAGTATTAGTAATAGAACAAAGGTTAGACAAAAGGGAGAAGATTGAGGGCGATCCAACCATGATGAGACCTCTGTGGCCTTGATTCCCACCTTACGACGCAATCTTCGAAGCTTCTCTTCGGCCGTTTCGGAGATTTGTAGCTTTCGCCCTTCGGATGAGCTCTGCAGAATTGGACTGGAAATAGTACTTGTCTTGGCTTTCTTGATCCCAGCTAGTCCAAGATCTTCTTCGTACACAGCAGCGATTTCTGTCTTCAGTGAAGGCTGCTCCTTTCTTTTCTTCGAGTGTGGATGAACAGACGAAAGACCGTTCTTTAGAATATCTTGTGTGTTTCTTCCTGAAAGCGTGTCCTTCTTCTTTTTCTTGTGCTTTCTGGGAGGTGGCTGTAACGTCGAAACCATCATGGGTATATCGAAACCTTTTCAGAGCAAAAGCAAGGGAGTATTTTCAAACCAGTATCCTGTTTCAAGATCAAGAGTTTTATTATGAAGCGAAAATCGCATCAACTACTCAGGTGATGCTTGTCGTGTCCACCGTGATGGCGTCGATTTGCGATCTGTCGATTGCACTGTTGAAGCAGTCGAAGCACTCGCGATCTCGCGATCGCTTTGCGACAAAAACTGGGCCTGAATGACCTGAGACTCGACTCGAACCGTGTAACAGCTCTACAAGCTTCGAAGTCGCAAAAGCGAAGCAAGTCGCAAAATTCTCTGATGTTGGACCCGTTGATGTCACCGTGAAGCAGGGAGGCTTTGCTTGGCGGCGGGGTTGGGTTGGAAGGCACTTTGCTTGAGCGTCTTAGTCATCAGCACCGCAAGAAGTTTGATGTGCAATCCCATCTGACACCAAGGAGTTGTAATAATAGGTGCAGCCATCATCTTTGTAGAGAACCGATGCCTGGAACGAGCCCAAAATGCTACATTGAAATTCCTTGTTGTGATCTTGAAATGCGTCTATTACCTTTGTTTTCAACCGTCTATTCCCTTTGTTTTCAACTTTACGTTGAAGAGAGATGCGTCCAAGTTTGAGCTGCATTGGGCTTGCAATACTACCGAGACAATGCACCTCTACCGGTACGGTTGGGTGGCCAAGGCTTCCAGTTCATTGAGATGATAGGTCGTTCTTCGGAGACGTCTGTTATAGAAACATGATAACCTGATGAAGCAACCTCGTTGGCAACAATCCTCTACAGGCAGGTGAGGGAACAGCCAATGGGGATACGGTACCGGTAGCTTTCGTTCTTCTTCTCTGGAGAATAGAACTTTAAAAAGCTTTAATATTATCAACTCATCTATTGCCCTATCCCTTCAAGGTTTGCGGAAGACCACCTATAGGTAGACAACAGTTCTATGCGATTGTGCAGCCAGCAGACCTGTGTCCAACCCTGTGAAGGTTTCGTCGTCAGCCCCAACTCCGTCTCAACGAGCCACATCATGTAAATGCAATGTAGTCCCGCAAGAATAGGCAACGGCTACAAAATTCTTAACCGTTGTTTAGCCGTCCAAGGGCGCGCGTATCGCGCACTTTCGACTCCTTCCGAACAGGCAGAGCATTGCAGTCAACGACGCAATCGGTCGGCCATGGTGGATATTTTGCTGTCTGGGAGGGTATCCTCGGAAAGATTTGTTGTAAAGCATTCAACGCAGCCATCTCTTGAGGTGTGCTGCCAACAGTAGTTAGCTAGCTAGAGCCAAAGTCGCCTTATCTTTGTGTGCCTACCTTGGCAGAGTTATCATCGATCCAGAGTTAAGGACTTGGATCTTTCTGTGTCGTGTGACTGTGTCCATTGGAGGCAACACTCCACGGTACCACAATGTCGGAATCCGCCGCTAGGGCACAACGTGCCGCTGCGTTGGAGGAAAAGCGAAAGCGTCTGGAGGAGTTAAAAGCCCGTCGAAGTCAGAGAGGGGCCGATTCGGCTGCTGTATCTGCCAAAGTCAGTTCATCGGCTAATCTAGATGAGTACATCGATGACCTGTTAAGACAGCCAGGCGCGGCTAATACACCGGTTGCTGCTACTACTACCCAAGCTGAGGCACCGGCATTGGTCAATGAGACCGGTGAAACCCCAACGAAAGCACCGGCACAAGTAGCTACAGCGAATAATGTGATTGCACAGGCAGCACCGCCTGCAGCTCCCCCGGTCAAAAAAGTGGAGACGTTTACGGTTTGTACCCAGACAGAGCCTGAGGATTTCCCTGAACAACCTGAACCTGAACAAGATGCCGTTTCGGTTGACGATGACAAGCCTCTTGATGACGACGATGAGGTAGCTCCAGGAGAAAGTGCCAAAGATGAGGAAGGCGAAGATCCGAAAGTGCTGTCTCCAGAAGAGTTGGAAGCCGAGATTGTTTCCAAGCCATTCTCTGAATTTCTCAACACTGCCTCCAAAAAGGTTGAACGCGTCTTGGGAACTCCACAACTAGCTGATTTGCTCGTAGACTATGTTGGAGAAATGGATGGCATAAAGAGAAGCGAGAGCAAGGTGTCTGACGGAAGTGTCTTCTTGGCATCTCGACAGCTTTATCAGTGCCCTAAGTGGACAGCTAACCGCGATGTCACAGACCTGCATTGGTCACCTCTCCACCGGGAATTGATGCTTTCTACCTATGACATGCCCATGTCGGCCAACACTGCCAACCAACTGTCCAAAGGATCGGCAGCTGTGTCTGCTGTGTCCCACACTGACACGTCTTCCTCATCTCTAACGCCACGAAGTGGAGAGTTGCAGTCGGATGGTCTAGCTTTAGTTTGGAGCTTAGCTATGCCAGGTCGCCCTGAACACATATTCACCTGTGGTAGCCCTGTCTTAACAGGTAGATTTCATCCCACAGAAGCACCCCTTGTCATTGGAGGATGTCAGAGCGGACAGTTGGTTGTGTGGGATATCCGAGCAGGACGACTCCCTGTACAAAGGTCCAGCTTGACCACAGCTAGTGGAAACAAGGGCCATGCCCATCCAATCTGCTCGATGGAGATAATTGAAGGAGGCGTAAGTATTTTTGATGTGGCTTTTTGGTTCAGTTGTGAGTGGGGATTTCTTTTGAATACTCATCATATGTTCTGACGGTGCCACGAATATTTCGCTTGCTCAGTCTGGTTTGGTGACAACAGCAGTCGACGGAAAAGTGAATTTCTGGTCCATAGCGAATCTGCGTGATCCAGCAGAGTCTTTGCAGGTAGGAGATAGTGCATCCTGCTGTGCGGTTGCCCCCGAAAGTGAATCCTTGTTGATAGGCGATGGAAACGGAGGGCTGCACACGATTCAATCTGCTTCGTCGACGCAAGGTCAACGTACGGCTCGAAGGACTGTACGAAAGCTTGATGTTACCAGTAGCACACCAGGCGGAGCTGCTGCTGGTGGTGATGACGGAGATGCAGCCGCTAGTCCGGGACATTTCGGTATGATCACGTCTGTTAGTGCCAAATCAATCCCCACCGGAGCCACCAGTCGAGCAGCTGGGCTCTCCAAAGGATTCCTGCGTGGCTCTGGTGGTCTTGTCCTTACCGCGGGTGTCGATTGGTCCACCAAACTCTGGGCACCTGCCTACTCGGACCAACCACTGATGAGTTGGGTCAGCAATTCCTACGACTACATGTCCGATGTGCAGTGGTGATTACGATTGTTGCTTGCTATGGCTTTCGGGTGTCCTGGTATCTCGTCGTCCCTCATTTTCTTGTCGTGTTGTTTTGTTTCATCTGCGTGTAGGAGTCCCATCCATCCGTCACTCTTTGCCACTGCCTCGAGCACTGGCAGTATCGGTTTGTGGAATATCGCGTCGTCCCTGGAAGAACCAATAACTGGTGTCGACGGCATTGTGGTCGAAACAGAGGCAGCTACCACCGGAAAGCGTGGGTTGAACAAACTTAAATGGTCCGCAGACGGACGCCGCATCATGGCTGCCGCTGGAGATCACGTCCACGTTTTGAGCCTTGCCGAAGACGTCGTGCGACAAAAAGGCGACGAAGACAGCCGTGTTATGAGCCACTTGGTATCCCGAGGGCTTTTGGAACGAGAGTAAATAAAGTTATACAGTATTGAAGATAATCGCCACGATACTATAGAACGAGTCCTATAATTGTACCACAACACCAACCCTTCGCATACCATTAATTTCCTACCAAAGAATGACTGATGGTGTGGGAGTACTCATGCAAGAAACAGATCAAAGCCGTCGCAGACTAGAACCTGACCATTTGATCCTCGTACTCTGAGGCCAGTTGAGCTGCTCTATTCTCGTATTGGGCCAACAATTGCGTGGGATTGCCCGCTTCCTTTTCACTGGCTGCTTTGCTGGATGTCGTTTCCTCGGTAGCAGGTGTTTCCAAGCGTGTGGATAGAAAGAAGGGAATATCCTGGGCGTTGGCGGTACATTGCTTTGGGAGGTAGCAAAAATGTTCCATGACGTCTTCAATATTTCGGTCCATGGAGGCAGTTTGATTCTATCGGTACCACCAAAGGGCAGCACATATTATTGTCAGACACTTCTCCAATGGCCATCTTCTCGAAACTAATCGAGATTGTCTATCTTACCATTGCCGCGTTCAATCGTCCCAACATTGTGGGCCAATCTTCCCCCCGTGGGTCATGAAGCATTCGGTCCCATTCGCTTAGATTCTTTCTCAGAATTGTGGATTGTCGGATAAACACCTTCTGCTGCTCTGTGTTTCTCCCTCGTGAGGCACTCATCTTGACAGTCAACCTTGGACCAACTTCTCTGTGTCCGCTGATGGACAACACCAATAAAAGGGACGAGAAACAGGTTTGGCAATTGCTATTAGTACCGAAAGGTTTTCGAAGCTTTAGGCTTTTTAGCATCCATAAATCTGCTCACATCCTCCACTATCTACATGTAGCTACAGTAGCAGTCTACCGCCAGTACCGATAGCTAAAGCTAGTCTGGGTACCGGCTGGTAGTAGCCAGATAGCACCCCAAAACGTTAGAAGCAAGTGTGAATTCGATGGAGTGAAAGGTTTCACATGTCTACCGGTACGACGAACGTTGACTGTATCGGTGTGGTTGTGGCCGAAAGAAATCACGTGCTTCGTCTATCCCTGTGGTCCGACGAAAGGAAGGCAGCAGGAGCTAAACCGAGCTCAAATTTCATTTATTTGAGAACACCTACTAGTCTACAAAGATCAGCTCGGGGTGTCGCACTTGCTGCTAGCTCTGATAGAGAACACCATGACTACGACTTCAGAAAAAGTAGATTGCTGTCACATTGTGCATCCTACTTGCTCAATCAGAGGCAAAACATTTTCGACGTGTGCCGTAATGCAATGAATCTATCATGGATAGATAGACGGCATGGACATTCTGTTTCTTTGTTGTCTGTTTTTCATTCTAAAATAATTCTCCTTAGTTCGTAGGTAGATTGTTATAGGCGGAATTTTCCCCAGATATGAAGAAGCACAACCACTCCCACGAAGCTCAGCGATGCCACCAGAACTGTAGTTGGTCCAACTTGCAACCCAGGGCTGTCATCTGTGTAGAATTGAAGGATATTGTTACCAGCACCGGCAGGTCTGCCTCCAGCCGCTGCCCCAGCACCAGCTGATCGAGCCGCTGCACGTCTTTGGGTTGCCTGGAATTCGTGGAAATAAAAAGGGAAAACGAGGGCATGAGGACAAACACTTCTTCGAGAACATTCTTCCCAGAGATCATGTGGAAAACAGGCGAGTCCCTCAGAAAGAGGCAAAACTTGGGGGCCTGTCCTGGATTGCTTTCTCATTACGCAATGACAGGCAAGATCGAAAGAAAGCCAACTGAATCGAGAAGAGCCGCATCAACAGGATCTGTCCTTCCAATCATAACTTAATTAATCCAATAGATAGAAATTCAACACATCAATCGAAACAACGCAGTTGCTTGCCGCCGCTGTTGCTCACCATCTTGGTCTTCTTCTTTGGCCAAAGAGTTGCTTGGTCGGTCTTCCAACGCTCAAGGTGTGCGGTTGTGAAACAAAGGTGGGATGACAGACCGATACTTCAACACTTCAACAGTAACCTTTAGAAGTATAACCTTATAGTACTACTAGCTAGTACATCATTCGGCTTTTTTTCAGCGTTCGTCTCCTGTTTCCTCAGTTTGCTCGCTACTTGCATCCATATGACAAATACATGCACAACCGAATATTGTCAATCCAGCCATTGTAGCCAGTTACTGTAGAGTTACATCAATCGGTGACAGTGGCAACAGTACCGAACACACTCAGGTTCCGCTTTACTGGCTACACTTCGTTACCGGTACCTTGCATTGGATCCTTATGACGAATACATGCACAACCGAACATTGTCAATCCAGCCACCATAGCCAGCTACCGTAGAGTTCATCGATCAGTGACAGTGGCAACAGTACAGAACACACTCAGGTTCGACTTTGCTCGCTGCACTCGGTTACCTCGCATTGGATCCGTATGACGAATACACGCACAACCGAATATTGTCAATCCAGCCATTGTAGCCAGCTGCCGTATAGCTAGTGGCAACAGAACTTGACTTGCGCATACAGGAAAATGGGTACCGACACTGGAATCACCACCTTAACAGTAGGAAATAACAAGAAGGGATGAATCCGGTAGGAGGATCCACTCTCTTGTGTGTTGTTGCCTCTTCCGGTGGCTGTTGCCTTTCAATGACTCGACATTGATAGTAGGCTCCTCTGTTCAGGCTGCTGGTAGGGCTGGAGTTAACAGAGCCTCCTCCTCCGTAGCGGTAGCCTCTCATCTTCTTGTTATTTGGAGCGGTCGATCGAAAAGGACTCGACAATGGTAGTTCGCCGGCCGTCGGCAGTGCAGCAGAGAAAAATGCACTACGCTAAAAGCTAGTGTAAAGATCTTTCGAGTGTTTTGAGTTTGAGAGAATGAAAGTTAGAGTTCGCTGAGCTCATGGCTGAGACGAAGAGGACTTCCCTAGCGAGTTCCCTCTCTCGTTCCCCGAGATCGAACATCGTCAGAAAGACGACAACGAAATCAAGAAGCTCCTCAGGGACAAGCCAAACGACTACAAGAAGCAATCTTTCCCCAGAGGGGATAAGTCCTACGACTTAGTTAAGGACGAGAAAATCGTCGTACCTAAAACTATGCAGAAGAAGCTAGTTGAATGGTACCATGGTGTACTGATGCATCCTGGCGAGACTCGCACGGAACTAACCATCAGCCAACACTACACCTGGAAAGGGCTGCGCAGACTGTGCAGGCCGTATGTCAGCGTTGCCAAAGCTGCCAGATGAACAAACCCAAGACGCGTAAGCTGGGATTGATGCCTCCAAAGACTTGCGAGGAAATCCCTTGGGAAAGACTATGTATTGACCTGATAGGCCCTTACAACGTCGGGGATCCCAAGAAAAAGAATTCCTGCACACTTCATTGCTTGACAATGATTGATCCCGTAACCGGATGGTTCGAGATTGGAGATCTGCCCAAGGCAGCAGACGAAGTAGCCATCGTCCTAGAAAAACGTGGCTTACTCGGTATCCATGGCCTGCTGAGGTTATCATGGATAGAGGACGTGAGTTCGCGCAGAGGTCGAAAAGACACTCCGGGATGAATATGGACTTCGCGCAAGTTCATCACCACGCGTAACCTCAAGCCAACTCTATGGTCGAGCGTGCTCATCAAACCATACGAACTTGATCGCTGTTCAAAACATCAAGTGCCAAGACGACCTCGTGAATGGATCCTGGGTGGAGTCCTCACGGCGGTTCGCTTTGCAATGAATGCCACGATTCATACCACCTTGCGGCAACGCCCGCACAGCTCGTGTTCAATTGTGACGCGATTCACAACGTCCGGTTCGAAGCCAACTGGAAGTACATTAAGGAACGTCGCCAACGACTATCCAACAAACAACGATAGGGAAGAACGTGCCCTATCAATACAATGTCAACGATACTGTGATGATTCAACAGTTTCAGCACCGCAAGTACGGTCAGCCAAAGACAAAGGTCCTTACACTATAGACCGAGTCAATGACAATGGACTGTACGGCTCCAACATGCTACGCCAACGGCGGCACAGTCTACCAGACTTGGAACATAAGGTATATACACCCATACAAGGCCTGATCCCCTTGTAGGATTGCCATCGTGCGACGCACATGTCTACATCCAATCTCCGGAGAGTGCCCCGCACTTTAATTCATATGTTCTCCTTGTCCGACTGATGTCGTGCCTTCCGTGACCCTTGTCAGGGGGCGAATGCAATACACGGCTCTTAGCCTTATTCGCGACTCGATCCTAGATAGGGTTTGAGTTCGACTCATGACCGAGTCTCTCGTGAATAGTCATTTGAGACAGGTTCTCAATGACCGCGCTAGTCATACTAGGTTGATGATGAAACATCGCTCAGATATTTAGCCAGCGTGAGTACTTCACGCTACTAGATCGGCTAGACAACCCTTCCACGCGTTCCGTTTTAGGATCGTGGAGAGACGTAGGATTACTACCACAACCTACTCTATCACATCTTATAGTTCCCGCGGGAAGCCAGATCTTACGATCCTTGATGATGATCTCTCTCGTTGATTAGTTTTCATAGCTTTCTAATCT